GCAACGGTTTCCGTAACTGGTGGTCAGATATATCGGTAAGAAAATAGTTAAGTATGAGCATGGCTATACTAACACCACCCTCTTTCTTTATGTACGAGAAATCTCTGATATGAGTATAACTATCCGAACAACAAGTCTTTACGATTACGATTACGATACGATGTGATGTGATGTGATGGGATGGGATGGGATACGATACGATACGATACGATTACGATACGATTACGATACGATACGATGGGATGTGATGTGATGGGATGGGACAGGATGTGATGAAAGCAACGGTTTGAATAACTGGTTGGCAAATATATCGGTAAGTAAATAGTTAAGTATGAGCATGGCTATACTAACACCACCCTCTTTCTTTATGTGCGAGAAATCTCTGATATGAGTATAACTATCCGAACAGCAAGTCTTTACGATTACGATTACGATACGATACGATACGATGTGATGTGATGGGATGGGATGGGATACGATACGATACGACTACGATACGATACGATGGGATGGGATGGGACAGGATGTGATGGGAGCAATGGTTTGAATAACTGGTGGTCGAATATATCGGTAAGTAATAGTTAAGTATGAGCATGGCTATACTAACACCACCCTCTTTCTTTATGTGCGAGAAATCTCTGATATGAGTATAACTTTCTGAGCAGCAGTCTTGTTGTAGTATGAAGCAAAAGTATTTACCTCCCAAATAAGTCAGAGGTAAATAGGCAAACAGTTTGAAATTATTTAGACTAAAATTTAAGTTTTTAAGAATGTTAAGCAGAAATCTTTTCACAATAATATCTTATGTAAATCTTCATTAATAACCAAATAAAAATTGAATTATTCAAACTTCTTGATATTATACTTGGAATAAAAAACATGAATATTATTCTCGTAATAATTAAAGCTCTTTTATATCTCCAAGAAATCAGCTAAACAGCGGCTGTATATATATAATAAGTAAATTCAAGTGCTTAACAATATATATACGTGCTTGAATTCTGGCAGTTACCCTAAAAATCATTATTTTTTCTACCTGACCAACTGTTAAAATGATATGTCAATTAGGGTATATCATTTTAAATGAAAAAATAAAATAAAAATATTTATAGTAGAGAGACTGAACAACTCATCTATTTAAGAAAATGACAAGCGTTACATATCAGTACATGCTCTATGCATATGATCAAAATCTTTGCTTTTGATAGTAATCAAGACTTTCACATCGTTGAATTTCATGGTTTTTTTTTGTTTTTTGTCTCTATTTTTTGTGTATCTTTTGATTTTTTTTCATAGTGTTTAGTTTTACGAGTAGCGTGTATACGAAGAGCCATAAGCTTTTTCGTCTAGTTTTTTTTGCAGGTGTATGTGTCATTAATGAAAGGATAGAAGAGAATTGCGTTAAAGTAACTGGTGTGACGATTGACATTCTTTAAATGAAAATTAAAGAAGCATGTATTATGTATTACACTCGCCTATAATAATATTATTATCATTATTGTTATTTTGGAATGGGTTTGAGTTTCACCAAGAAACATATAACCGTACTGAAGCTCTGATTGCAATTTAGCGAGTGGGATAGCTGAAAGAAAAATGAGAGATTTGTAACGATTCTTGAAATAAAAAATAAAGGTAGAGCTTTTAAAGTATAGCTTGTACGGAGTGTATAATAAAAAATAAAGAATGGTACAAACCAAAGTGTCTATACCAGCAATTTTAATAATATCAGCTATATAGAAATAAAATTTTATGTCACAAGGTAGACAGACACTTGTATTTCCTTTTATTTATTTATTTTTTAATATAAGCTATTCATTTTTTTTTGCATCAGGAATACAAAAGTATGGGAACTGTATAATAGAAACCTTTATATATCAGCCTTTAATTATATAATCGCATTGATTTTTCTGTCAATATGTTCAACGTATGACATGTATTGTATATATCAATATAAGTAACACCATGTTTTCCACTATGTTTGAGGAATACGGACCTATATTGATCCATTCCCGCTCTCATATTATTGCATACGGAAAAACTATATAAAAAAACTATCAAACACCTTGCAACAGAAATAAGAACCCAAACAGAAAAATATTATTGAATTATTTTAAAAACGATAGTGGTCATATACCAGAAGTTGCTCTAGTATTATATATATCTTGACATTGTACTTTGGGTACAATGTTACACCGATCTTTTCCTTCTAATTCAAAACACACACACACACACAAGAACCAGAAATGGCTGGCCTATGCTCAGCGTCTCGGGACGCCTAATTAAGAATAGAGTTATAGCATCTAAAGGGAACACTAGAGATTTATGTTTTTATCCCGAAGACGGAAAAATAAAAGTATAATGATAACCTGTAGAAAACTCAAAGAATTCTTATATAAGATTAAGAGTCCGTACTAATAAAGGCTTAATCATGACTAAGATGTTGTTTGTGTGGATAGAAGGTATATGTTTTATGCAGAGTACCAGAAGCAGATATAACTTGATATTCACATACAAGGCTTATTGGGATATAATTTTCTACCTCATATAGAATCCTTAATCCAAGATCCTAGCAGGAAGTTTAGTTGTCAAAAATACAACATTGCCTTTTTTTTTGTTTTTAGCCAAAAGTCAAAGATGATAGAGCTAGACCAAAAAAAAAAAGGTTAAATCTTTTTCAGGATAGTGTTGGCCACCGAATGGCATGTTTCAATTAAACTTAATATATATATACAAAAACGCACGCTTTTCAAAGGAAAAAGTTACCGCCTTCAATGAAAATCTGAAAGCGGTATACAGTTAATGTAAAGTATAAAACATCATTTTTAGTCAAAATGTGCCAAAACATGTACAACTGTGTCTGATACCAAAACTCGGATTAAGATGATACGTGGTGATACTATGGAATATTGATTTAGATTCTCTTATAAGTATTGCTTGCTTTTTTTTTGTATTTTATCAAAAGTACATTATTATAAGAAACTAGGTAGAATATGATAAAAGAGCTAGATAATTTCTATTATTAAATCGATGGAGTATATATATATATATATATATACAAAAAGAAGAGTTATACCAGGCATTAGTATGCATAAATCAGACTATGCCAACCTTCTCGGTCAATTAGACAATACCATTGGTTAGAACATTAAGCATATGTTACAAATTTATCCAACGTGGTCAGTGTGATGTTTCAAAATGGCTAACACCTATTTTGTTATTTTGTTATTTTATTTTGTTATTTATTGCAATGTGGTCCTGTCAAAAAGTTCTCTGTGACTTTTTATATGCATGCAAATACAAATACACACACACACACACATATATTTTAAATCTCTTTATTGATATTATTCTTATAGCCCTTTCCTTTTATTTTCTTTCTTTCTTGCTTTCTTTCTTGCTTTCTTTACAAAATATTACAATCAGCTTGTAATGGGATCTTCATCAACCAGTCATCATCGATCTCGTTCACCGACGCGTAAACAAAGACGACGCCACTCTCATGGCGATGAATACAGGCATTCCCACAAGCATAAGCACAGACGAAATAAAAGTCGCTCTCGTTCTCGTTCTCGCTCTCGTTCTCGTTCTCGTTCTCGTTCTCCTACTAGGCGCTCTCAAAAAGTCGCTCCTGATAATGAGAAAACGAAACCTGAAGCTGAAAAGATTGATGTTATTGCTCAACTAAGAGAACTCGCTCAAAAACACAACAACACCGCTAGCAATAACAACAACAAAAAATCAAGGAGAAAGTCTGGTGATGGGCATAGTCATCTGTCACGGCGTACTCCAATGGTTCCAAAGACAAAAGAGGTTTATGAAAAAGAACGATCAGTGATTAATCGAGAATATGATCCACAGACGGGTAGAATGAGGTGAGTTTTTGGGTTTTAGTATACATACAAATGCATATCATATATATATATATATATATATATATATATATATATACATATATATAAGAAGAAAGAAAAAGGGAAGGTGAAAGAAGGTGGGGATGGTCAATAAGACACATAGGACTATATACATATATTTTTTTGAGGCTGTGTATGTGACATATGATAAGACTTGTGAGGGCAACAGGTGAAATTCTAGAATCAATTGTCAGTCGGGATCAGCAATACCAGATTAATAAGGCTGCAACAATTGGAGACGGAATTGCTTATCAGGCACAGATTGCTAAGAAGTGTTGATTTCCAAACATCAAAAAAAAATCAAAGTCTCGCACAAACAAACATACAAAGATGCATATTGGGTGCCTAGAACTTGGTGGATCCGTCTTCATCTGTGGGTCTGCTCTGTGTGACAGTACAAATTGGATTGGATTGAATAAGCAAATGAGCATTTTCAAAAAAGTCAATTCAATCATTAAGTAATAATAATAATATAATATTAAGCTTTATTATTATTGTCATTAAAATATCAAATTATAAAATATAACTAATTTATATATTTATATTTACTTAATATATTGCTTTTATTATTGATATTGTGCCTTTGAATATTTTCTTATATATAAAGTATCTGCTCAGCAGAAAATAAAATCCAATAAAAAAAAAAGACCATCTTTGATATATATAAAGCCAAAAAAATAAAATGCCAAGCCAGTAAATGCGTGCCGGTTTGTGTGTGCATAGGGTGTATTTGAATTTGTAGTTTAATATTTATATATATATAATATATATAGATAGATATATAAATAATCCAAAATTCAAAATTCTTGCACGACAAATCCATTACTGGTGATTAAATATTTTTAAAAGCATGGGGCCTCCCCCGATATATTGACCATCTTTTATATATATATATATATGTATTTGCTTTGAATGCTTCAACACGAGAAAGATAAAGATCGCTCAAATAGACCACACTCCTTAATTCATAAAAATAATAATAAAAGAAAAATAAAGAAGCAGATGGTACAGAACACCAAACAAAAAACGGCGCTTCAACAACTCTAATTATAATAATCACAATAATCACAATAGCAATAACACAAAGCCTTTCCAATAATTTGTGCCTTTATCTTTGATTCACATTCATATCCTCATCTCATTCACTCACTCACTCTCTCATCAACCAATTCATTCTTTCATTCTAGTATGAGTATGAATATGAATATGAATATGAATATGAGTCTGAGATGAGGGTAATATATGTCCTGTAGTATGCTAGACTCTATTGTGCCATGTAGTTTATTTTATCCAATCAAATATATACGTATTTGAAAAAAAAACCAATTGTGTAAATTCATTTCAGTATACTTCTTTACTGTTGTCTATGTGCTTCCAATTGTACCAATTGTGTCAATTGTCTAGAGTGTAGCTGTGAGAGTCTTATTGGCGCGAAAACAATTTACCAATGAATATTAAAGGAGTGCCAACTCTGTGTAGCTATCGGCTTAAAAAGGCAGTGGTCTGCCTGCTTACAAAGGCAAGATATATATTAATGGTGGATGTTTTCCGACGCATACAAAATCGTGTGGGCCTTTTTATTATTATTAATATTACTATTACTATCGTTATAGCTACCAATATTAATATTATCATTAATAATACTAGTACTAGTACTAGTACTAGTATTAATATTGTTTTTTTTTTACTTGGTTTATTATATTAGTTTTGGATTGTCTTGGTCCCCGGGATTGTCAAGTTTAACCATTTGAGCGGGTGAAACCCTTGTACATGGAATTGTGTAAAAATGCCGTGAATATATTAAAATAGATATTGATATATATATATAGTAGTTAAATAGATAGATAGGTTCTTACCTACACGAAATTGGCTTGCTTTTATAGATGTACGACAAAAAATATAGTTTTTGATACTTGTAATATCTTTACAGGAATGGATAATTAGATATATTCACACACACACATACACTTATATATACCTACATAGTTGTCTAGTTACTTAGTTGCCTAGTTACCTAGTTGCCTAGTTACCTAGTTACATACTTACTTATATAGCTATAGAAATACATATATAATTTAAACTATATATACATAATTATATATATATTTATATATTTTATTTATCTGAAATTCAAAGTCCTTGTGTTATTTAGTCCTCCCCCTCTTCCCCCCCCAAAAAAAAAGAAAAAAAAAAGAGAAAAAAAAGAAAACATATTTTTCTCGTTTTCCCATTATCGCCTGCTTCTCTTCGTTCCTTTCCTTTTTCTATACCATTTTATATTTTTTATCTATATTTTTTATCTTATTTTATATATATATATACATAAATTCTCGACAAAAGGATACGCTTATTTCTGTATTTGTAGCTTTTTGTATTATTTCTCTCTCTCTTTAATTATCAGATCCCTTCAAACTATACCATTCGTTAATGCATTCCTAGACAAGTCATTTACAACAATAGCATGCACCCTGACAGTTCATCAACCACCACCACAATGTCTTATGTCGGAGCTGAGAAACTCCAGCTGGACGGCCACACAGCCTCGAGCACGAGTGTCTACAGTAAATTTCGTCTTCCCGGCAACGCTCACCCAGAACAGTTCAACAACCCTCTCCACAAAAGAACCACTACCTCTGACAGCCTTAGCTCGGTGGGATCCTCAAACGAGAGCGTCCCAAGCTCATGGAAACCCTCAACATCAACCTCAGCCACCGCACTCACTCCCTCTGCAGCCATCAGAAACCAATATTATCAGTCCCACCAATACCTTCAGGATTATTCTGCTCAACCTTCATCGTATGATAACACTCTCTTTTCTTTCTTTCTTTCTTTCTTTTTTCTTTTTAAAGAAAATTAACTAATTATTATTATCATCCTTACTACTACTGCTACTGCTAAATATACTGATATTAAACATGATTCTAACTCTATGTTTTTCTTTCATTAATATTAATTGTCATCAATATATACATATATGTATAAAGATTATACTCTCAAGAATCATTGGACGACTCTGACCACACTACGTTAAACGATAGTAACGATGATCTGATTTATCGACCAAGTGCCGCTCCTTCTGGCCCACACAAGTCCTCAGGTCCACCCTCATTCCAAAGTTTCAGCGACGTAGGATCCATCATATCTCTACACACCGAATTTACCGAACTCGACGACTCGCGCTCAATCTCAAGTGTTCGCACGGTCGAGAGTTTCAGGAGTACCGCCACCACTGCCACAACCGCCACAGTTAGTGGAAACAACCTTGGACCACCAATCGGACACAGAAATAAGACTGGAAAGATCATTCGGTCTGGAACGATCTTTAGATCCTCATCTGGCCTTGAGCCAAAGATCGTTGTCCAGGATGGCGGTTTTGAAAACGAGAGTAGCCACCACAAGGACAGTGACAAAGCAAGCATCTACAGTATGGCAGGAAGCAGTCTTTTGACTCGTCTGTCTAAATCAACTGCTCCCATGCGTGCAAAGCTCTCGGCAATGTCAAGCAGAAGTAAGTAACTCTTATCTAACTATAGATTAGCTTAGACTACATACCAATAAAGAGAATATATATATATATATATATATATATATAAAAGAAAAGAAAAGAGAGAGAGAGAAAGAGAGATCGAACAGCCTTCCTTCTTTCCCTTTGGTTGTTTTGTTTTACTTACTTACATATTGATTATTATCATTATTATTATTTTTAAAAAAAAAGCCAACCTTCGACACCTTCGAGGAGACTCATCGGTTTCTATACACCCTCCGATCAGAAGAGCGGCAGAGAGTGTTTATAATATGCCTGTTATGCCCCGTGTAACACCACGAAGATCAGTAAGACGACCCACTGGAGAGAAAGCCCAATCGCCTGCGTTTGGTAGTCAGCTCAAACTCTCGGAGACACTGGCAGTAAAGGGAAGAAGTACCTTGGTCTACCCTGCCTTACTTTCGAAAGTTGCCGAAGCATTTAAGGACAGGGTGGCATTAAACACAAAGACGAAAGATAGCATTGAATATAAGGATACCTTTGATGGAAAAGAAGCTGTTGTAAGAAACAAAGAAACAAAAAAAATCACTTTTATCAACTATTTTACTTTTATTGATTCTTTTTTCTCTCTCTCTTCCTTTTGGCTATTAAAAAAAACAACAAAAATTCTAGGATAAATTGGCTTACATCATAAAAACTCAAGACCGAAACCTCGCATTATTGTTGGGACGTGCCTTGGATGCCCAAAAGTTTTTTCACGACGTCAACTATGAGCACCGACTACGTGACTCTGTAAACGAGCTTTATCAATTCAAGGAGCGTGTCAATATCCGGCCATTCAGCACCTTGATCCCTCAGACCGAAGAAGTCTTTAGTCCATTCGATGACGATCGGTCAGAAGCAAACTTTATGTCTACATCAAAGGATGACGAAGATAATGCTCCCAACGGAATCTTTACAGTCTTGACGGATTGCTACTCCCCTACCTGTACTCGCGAACAGCTCTGTTACAGTGTTCTGTGCCCAAGACGTTTAGAGCAAGCCAGAAACTCTGAGTGGCGCAAGAACCATCATCGTTCCACAAGCAGATCCTCTCTTTTGAAAGAACAGGTAATATATATATAAGGAGATGTTTTTTTTTGGGTATTTTAGTTATCTAACATTGGATTTGTTCATGTTTGTTTTTCTTCTTCTTTGGTCTAATAGGAAGAAGAACGTCTGTGGATCAACACTGTTGATAAAAAAATATATGATTCACTTTCAAGAGAAGAGAAGAAACGCCAGGAGCACATCTACGAACTGTTTTACACCGAAAAGGACTTTGTTGATGATCTTGCTTATGTTAAAAAGGTAACGTATATATCCACACAATAGTGTACATACTTACTTAGTCACCCACTCACTCGTATATATATATACATATGCATGCATTTATATTTGTAAATGAATTGTATCTATTAGTACTGGATTCAACCTTTGACGGACAGCGACATCATTCACATAGACAGACGACACGACGTGATTAGGGAAATATTCTGGAATATTAATGAAGTTCATGAAGTCAATTCTAGACTGTCAAAGGCTTTCAAAAGACGACAAGACGAGAATCCTGTGATTGATCAAGTTGGAGATATCTTACTTGAGCACGTTGGCAGATTCCAGCCTTTTGTTAAATATGGATCGCATCAGATTATCAGCAAGTCTGCTTTTGAGAGTGAGAAATTGAATACCCCCGAGTTTGCTCTATTTGTAAAGGTAACAATATATCTATATATATAGACAGAAATGCTTTGATTTATATTCTATTTGTTTATCTATAAAAGATAAATTACCAATACTCTGGTTATTCTAACTATTAAATGCTCCCCCTTTATATATATTACAATATAAATAAATAGGTTACTGAACGACTTGCTCAGTCTCGTAAGCTTGAATTGAACGGATATCTTACAAAGCCTACTACGCGTCTTGGTCGTTACAATCTTCTTCTTCGCGAGATTTTGAAGCACACCCCCAAAGAACACCCTGATCAAGAAGCTATCCCAAAGATTATGAAGATCATTTCTGAGTTCTTGAGCAGTGTTAACCATGAGACCGGAAGAACTGAGAATCGGTTCAATCTTCAAATGTTGAACGAGCGTCTTTTGAACAAGCAGATGTCTGGAATGGTAAGTTTTCTTTTTTAAAAAAAAATCAAGATTGTCATTAAGTAAGTATTGGGAATAATAAATCTAATATGTGTATGTGTTCTTCTTTGGTTTACCTAAACATATAGGACTTGGATCTCTTGGCCGAACATCGCGAAATTATTATGAAGGGAACTTTGAAGAAAAAGGGATCTGGATCCGAATCCTCTGACATGCATGTGTTTTTGCTTGATCATTGTCTTTTAATTACTAAGCAAAAGTTTGTACAAGGTGCTGAGAGATACAAGTTGTATGGCAAGGTAAGAGAGGGAAGAAGAAGAATAAAATAACCAGTACCTTAACTATATGTATACGGAAATATTTTTCTTTCTAGCCTATTCCATTAGCAGTACTTTCCATTTGTTTGCCAGATCAGACAAAGAGATCTAGTACTATACTCCCTTATGGCAGACCAAGTACGGGTTCTTTTACTTCTGCAGCAAATGGATTGGAAATCCCTCCTCTGTCGAGCAACAAGGGAGGATATCCTATTTCCTTCCAGCATTTAGGAAAGCAGGGAGCTGGACCTATCGCACTCCATGCCACCACATTCAGTTCTCGCCGCCAGTGGGTAGAGAAGATCGAGAGCCAGCAACAGGCAATGATGGAAAAACAAAAAGTATTTGACATTGTACCTGTTGTCGACAATTTCTTCAACCCTTTCAACAGAGTTCACTGTGCAGCCACATTCGGTAAGAAAGTACACACACACAAACACAAACACAAACACACACACACATATACATACATACATACACGTATGTATGTATATATGTGTGTGTGTGTGTGTGTGTGTTTGTGTTTATGCCTTGAATCTTTATAAAATTACGAGATATTAAGACACACACACACACACATATATATATATATATAAAATGTACATATTAGATAATGGAAAATCTATTCTCTTTGGCAGTGACCAAGGCGTGTACCTTAAAAAAGAGGGCAAAGAAAGCGACTTTATAAGAATCCTGGACATGGCCAAGGTTTCCCAGATTGACATCCTCGAAAGCTCCAAGTTGATTCTGGTGCTTAGTGAAAAGAACCTCTATACATACTCTCTCGAGACCCTTTTGGGCCATGAATCTGGTATCAAGCGTGGCCGAAAGATAAGCAAGCATGTGGCCTTCTTTAGTGTCGGACCGATTCTGGACAAGTCGGACCCCGAGAAGCATATCCAGAAGATGCTGGTGAGCTTTGTACGCATAAATGCCATCACATCCACCATATCTATCTTGGAACCCTATGAGAATATGGATGCCAAGAAGAAAAACAAGCACAACATCAGCCGTCTGATCCGAGGTTCGAATGAGGTTCTGAGATCAAACAAAGAGCTTTATGTATTTGGTGAGGCGTTTTCGATCCAATACTTTAAGAATATCATTTGCGTTGGTTGTCCGAAAGGATTTCAAATGGTCGATCCAAACTCGGCAGAAGTTCAGAGTAAGTTATCTTGATATTGATCTTTTTTTTATAACCAAACACATTTGATGTATGTGTGTAATGGTATTTGAAAAGCTTACCTCTTGGGTTTACAGGTGTTTTGGATCCTGCTGATGAACGCAACCAGATAATCTTTGAAAGAGAAAGCATGAAGCCTATTTCGATGTTCAGACATCATAACGGTAGCATATTGCTATGCTACAATGGTAAATATCTACTTCTTTTAAATATATATATATATTGATCAATTTTTGTTATTTTATTTTTATCTATAGAATTTGCCTTCTTTATTGACAAGAAAGGCAAGAGACTAAGAGACGATTGGGCTATTCACTGGGAAGGAAGCCCGACCGCGTGTGTATTCAGATTCCCATATGTTGTAGCGTTCAATTCGACATTTATTGAAGTGCGCCACATAGATACAGTAAGTTTCTCATACAATACAATACAATACAATACAATACAAGAGAAATTAAAATAGTCATGTCCACAAATGGAATTTACTGATCAATTTCCATACCATCCTTATTATCATCTACCTTTTTTTTATTATTATTTTCAAAAGGGCGACCTTCATCAGGTCATACCAGGCAACAACATCAGATGTCTCAGACCAAACTCAACAGACAAGATCCATTGTGTTATGGATGATCGTATGGCTCGTTGCGAAGTTGTATTTGAACTCAAGTTTATTGACAAGCCTTAAAACCAAAAGCAACAAACAAAAACGACATTAACGACAATATCTTCAAAAGATATATATATATATATATATAATCAAGTACAATTTATCTGCCAGCCAAAAGAAATAAGAGCAATCCTCTTCATATTTCTCAACCTTTCTCTATTTCTCTCAATCCCACACTACATATTATTATTACCACTGCCACTGCCACTGCCACTGTCATTACTACCACTACAACTACCACTATTACCATTATCATTATCATTACCATTACCATTACCATTACCATTATCATTATTATTACTATTACTATTACTATTACCACAAAACCAATTCGATCCGATCCAATTCAACCCAAATCAAACCAAACTACCGGAGATTACAACCACTACCTTTTCTTTTCGTTCAGTTTCATTTCCCTTAATTACATATCCCACACTCTTTGCGATACACCATTTTATTCAATTCAATTCAATTCAATTCAATTCAATTCAATTCAATTCAATTCGACCCTATTCTAACCCTATTTTATTCTATTCTTTTTCCTCTTATTTATTTATTTATTTATTTATTGTTAGTCATCAAAGTAATTCGATGATCCTTTACCACATTCGTTTGCACCTACGATTTCATTCCCTATCTTTTTTTTTTCTGTACCAAAATGTAATGTAAAACACACACACACAACCCATATAAACAAATAAACAAAACAATACAAAAAATAATATATATATATATATATATATCCGTATATAGTCAAATGTGGGGAAAGTTACCTACATAAGGAGGGAGGAAAGAGACCTGTCATTTCATAAATACATGGATATATATATATATAAAAAAGTATGGAGAGAGAAAAGAAATTTAAAAACAGATTCATACATTTACAAAGTTGAAAAGCATATTGTGATTCCCACATCTACAATTCTTAATGATGAACAATAATTAACATGATTGGGTGTAGAAATTCGTTGTGAATCTAGCATGCCATGATGAACTAGATTAATGCGCAATATTTGTAAGCAAAAAAAAAATATGAAGTTTCGGTACCGTTCGATCATCTCCTCAAACTTTAGGTATAAAAAAAACAATTGGTGCTGAATTGAGTGAACACAAAGTATTTGAACACTTTGGAGGTAGCAAACTAAAATCCTTATCAATGACTGCGAATATATTGGTCTACTATTGGTTCCAAGTTTTGTTTTTTGTATTATATAAACCTTTATGTATGTATGTATGTATGTATGTATATCTAACACACTTTTTTGTTATGCGAGGCGTTTTGGAATCTTATTATCTAAAACGAAATGAAGAGAGAGAGAGAGAGAGAGAGAGAAAAGCATGTGGATATCAAAGATGAGAAATCAAGACAGAAAAGGTTGTGCTTTTATGATCAACAAGAAGTATATGATATAATATTCTGTTAAATATCTTACTACCTTGGGTATATAGTCAATGTCTTTCTTTATAGCTTGGCATATATAGAGAGATGGAGAAGCAGTGTATTTAAAACAAGGGTGAGAAGCACTCTTGAGTATACATTGTATTTTCTCACAGTATACCTGAAAAAAAAATATAGGAAAGAAAGCATATTAAGATTTCATGTCGGACAAAGGGAAGATCATATTATATAGCTTATCTGAAAGAGAGAACCATCCAAAGTATATATGTAGCGAGATATTTACCGGTTAAAACATAGCTAAGAAAAATAGACCTCGTTTGAAAACTAACATTATGCTTGTATCCTTTATCTTTTAGATCTATTAACAATTGTTTTATCTTATTTTTTAGTTTCTCTTTAAACTTAAGGTTGGGTTTTCATTACTTCTGGCAACTGCATTGGCTTAGACTATTCTGACCTCATATCTAAAACAATACAAACTTGTTAATTTAATAATTTGATATAAATATATAAATTACATCCACTATACACACACTGTTTCTCTGGCTAAATTTGGTGTCTCCGTAGCCTATCGGCTCTAGTTAGAGTCGGGAGAATAAATAAATAAAACACCAGCACAACTCTTTTCAAACTGCCAGGTACAAAAAAAAACCCCTCCTCCTCCTCTTCTTCTTCTACTTCTACTTCTACTTCTTCTTCTTCTTTCTTTTACTACTACTACCTCTCTCACTTGCTCTCTTCTTATCTCATCGCCGAGAATTCCTTTGTATGGATATCGATTCTGTTTCTCCTGTTATTCAGTCATTGCCTTTTACAGAGACTATTGACATTTCACCAATGATCTTGTCTCATAGCACCACAACCTCTGACGATTCCCATCAGTCTTCTCAAGACTCTGCAACCAACATTACCAGCAATGCACCACAGTATTTTGAGATCCCAAAAGATTTCCTCACTCAATCACTGGCTTCGAACCCGGCTATTTATATTATCTCAGGAGATCAATACAACACTCTCCAAAAAACCTACGCCAGCCACCCACTCCCGGACGATGTCTTGTTTCCTTGGTTACATGGTGTCGACGGTCGCTCATATCAACAGAATCTATTCTTTGGAATACGCCGCAGTATAGTTCCTAAATACCGTGGTCTTATGATAGTCCATGCAGACCAGACTTTTCCAAAAAATGATACCTACGACAACAACAACTACTACTACTACAGCAACAACAACAACAGCAGCAACAACCGCCGCCGCCTTGTAGATTCTGTGCTACCAAATGACATTCTGTCACCAAATGGCTCTGAATTTTTACATGCCTTTGAAACGGATGCCTCTATTAACCTGCGCAATTTTAAGATTCAAGTTGGGCGCTGTGCAACAATAAGCGATATTGTTGTCTATGGTGCAGATGCAGAGAGAGTGGCGTCTAGGATAAATGCAGCCCAGATCAAATTGAGAGAAGAACGTTTGAAGCAGTTGGAAAAAGTAAAGAGAACTGCAGGTAGTAGAGCAATCGCAAACGCAAATACATTTGAGTACAAGACTCTAGTAATCAAAGGTAATACAATATTATCAAATCTTTTATTTTTTATTTTTGAAATTAAACAAAAAGAAGAAGAAGCTTTGTAGCAAATATATATATAGTGTAGTCATTGATGGTTTCAGATCAAGAATTTTTTTTTTTATTTTTTTTGCAAATTATAAGAAATTAACGTTTATTGCCTTTTTCTATATCTGTGCCTGTGTTTAGATCCTTTTGACGTCTTTGAGAAAAATTACCCAGAGCTTGTGTCCTGTGATTCTAATGGTGTTCCTATCAACCGTATCAGCTTTGCAGAGAGAGAAAAGGAAGAAATGCTGAAAATGAGTACTGCAACAGAAGTAACACCCAACATATGGGTAAGAAACAAACAATGGTTATCTAATAACCTTTTGTAACTATAGATTCTTAGTAAAGTACAACCAACTTATTGGTTTCATTTTTTTTTAAATTTTTATTTATTTATTTATTTATTTATTTATTTATTTATTTGGATGGGTGGGTGGGTAGGTTGGAAATACACAAGATACACCAGCGTCAATACAAGTATCAGATCAAGATGGAAAAGATGAAGGCGATAACTATAATGATAACGATACTGACGACAATAATAAAAACAATGATGATGATGATGATGATGATGATGATGATGATGATTTTAGCTTTGAAGATGACAATCCTCACCGTTTCTCGATCTGTATCGAATCACATGATCTTGCCGACATGCCTCTTCCATCAACTCTGACTCTTGCCAAAGAAACATTAAATGAGATTCCGGTTGGCGAGGTACCACCCGAGATAATTCATCTCGATGTATACTCGACAGGTGTTCCCATGAACCCAGCCGTATTTGATAACTTTTACGCACGTTTGATACCTCTGCTTGAATTTATGGATGATCAGGCCAGCAGAGGAAAACGAATCTTGATCCATTGCTCGGATGGCTATACAGAAACAAGCCTTATTGTCCTGTCGTGGATCATGTACAAAAACAAAATGCGACTTCCAGAGGCCTATGTCTTCTTGCAAAAGAAACGAAGCTTCTTTGTTTATTCTGGCGATGTGGTTACCTTGAAACGGGTAGATAAATATCTACAAGAAAACACGACCATTCCTCCCCGGGAACACAAGCGAAAACGTGAAGATACCTCTAGTACCGAGAACGACAGAGGATTACCATCACCTGAAAGAAGTATAGGAGATGTGGAATCAGGTTCAACTAATGGTAAGGTATCTATTTTCTTTCTTTCTATTCCTTTTGGTGTATGCATATATATATATATATATATGTGTGTGTGTGTGTATGGTCTGGGAAAGAAGAGTGGTTTATTGATTATGTTACTAAACAAATTTCTTTAAAAAAATGTAGATGATATGTATGAACATGAGCATGAAGATGATGAAGAAGATGATGATGATACAATGATTCAAGACAGTACCAGAGACAATCGAACACTACATGCCGACTCTTACATCAACACAGTGTCCAACAATCCTCTGGGCATGAGTGGGATTCTGCCCTTACCAAAGATTGGTCAGCCAGCAGCACCCTTTGTACAAGACATGGCGAATAATCATGATCTGGATGAAACTATGCCATCCTATCTTTTCTCCGAACCTCCTTCAGAGTCTTCGGAAAGGGCTAAATTTCCTTGGTTCTACTCACCTCGGTTTGAGGGCTCCTTTCCATCACGTATACTTCCCTTCCTCTATCTTGGAAATCTCAATCATGCCACTAACCCGGAGATGCTAAAGATACTAGACATTACCCATGTAGTGAGTGTGGGTGAGAATGCTAATCTGGACACGAGTCAATTTGAGCTTTTGTTTCTTGATAACCTATATGATGACGGAATTGATTCAGTGCGTGGACGAATGGATGAAGTAATGGAGTTTGTGGGTATGTATTATGCATTTATATATAATAATCAAAATAGAGAAAGAAGGAAGAATAGATAAAGAGAAGACATTGGGCTACTAATATATATATATATATATATATTAAAATATTTGAATTTCTCTGTGTAATTTAGAGAGTGCCCGTAAACAAGGATCTCGGTGTTTGATACATTGCAGAGTGGGTGTGAGTCGAAGTGCGGCCATTACAATTGCATATGTCATGCACCACCTTCGATACAGTCTTGTACAAGCATACCTTTATGTCCGAGCGCGGCGACTTAATGTCATTATCCAGCCCAATTTAAAGTTTATGTATGAAATGCTGCAACTGGAGCAGCAACTGTTTGGAAGGACAACAATTGCATGGCACACACTTTCAAACGAGATCCATTTATTAAACATGACTTACCGAGAAGCATAACGTAATTACACACTACACATACATACACTAAACTACACATACATACACTACACTACACTATACACACCACATACACATACACTATACACATACACATACGTACATATATTTATATATAAGAAAACCAAACAGAAGAAGAAGAAGAATAAAAAAAAAGTTAATAATTCTGATCTTCACTTTATCATGTCCCATGTATTATATTGACTCTGTGGATATTGTTTTACAGAGTAAGCTAGTAATAATCCCTTAATAAAATAAAAAGGTTATTTACATTTTTAGAGCAAATTCTCTCTCTCTCTCTCTGTGTGTGCATATGGTTTCCATAGTAATAAAACAAAGAGATAGAATGAAAATTAGGTATTGACATTGATAGAATCTCATTTGTACTTTACTGCTGGACTTGCTTCATAACTCTTGTGAGAGCATGGCAGTAAAGATCAGATTATGACTGCTACTATTATGATATTCTTTTGGTTAAATATTGCTCCTTCTTATATCTTTCATATGCATGTATATATATATAATAAATGCAAAAAAAAAGTCCTTTATTTCTTTTTTTCTCTTTTCTATAAAGTGAAGTTCGGAGTGTGTATTTTTTGTTTTTTTTTTTGGAATAGAATACAAGAAATTCTATTTGGTGTACACATATATTTGTATCATTTTCCTTTTGTTTTCTTTCTTGGTTCAGTGTTCAACCGTTCAAAGTATCGATAAATTGATCTCAATTTTAATGGCATGTTGGATCAGTGCACATCAAGCCTCATCTGATAAGTTATCCTTTGTTCTTATTTTGGCAGATACTAAACAAAAACAAGAAGAAGAAGTAAAAGAAAAAGGCTCATAGTTGAGGGATCTGATAATTGATATTTACAAGGCCCATGTATTGCTAAAGAGCATGCCTTTTTTTTGTTATAATAATAATTGTAATTATAATTATTATGGTTATATCTGGGTGCATTTTGTATAATATGACAAAAAGCGTAAAGTTATTTTAAACATGTGTTTGGTTTGTAAATAATAATAATCTGTGTTCCCTTGTCTTGGAAACCCCCCTCCTCCTTCCAAGTATTATTCTATTCCAAACTTATGTATATTTATATTTATATATAATATTTGTTGGTATTTGATGGCGCTCAAGTACCAAAAATAGAGTTAAAAATATGTATAAGTATCTATATTGATATTTATATATAAAATTTCTTACCCATTTGGCTATATACACATACACATTTATATAAAATATACAAATACAAACAATATTTCTATTTGATCAAGCTACTATATTCTATATACCTCAAATAAACATTTTGCCTCTACAAAACTACTTGTTCCTCAACAACCTAAAATTGGCAATTCCAAACTGTCAATTAATATTGTATTTTACAGAACATAAAAATATATTTATATATATTTATATACACACCAAATAAAATATAATAAAATAAAGGGCTGAGCGGGGTCACATTAATATATTTTTATATATAAAATTTTGTGTATAATGTATAATGTAGTGTGTGTACACAGTAGGGGTTTTTTTTTCTTTCTCTCTTTCTCTCTTTTCTATTCCAAGCAAATCTCATTCTTACTGCTGCAAAGGCCAGTGCGTATAGTCTGTAGTTTGTAGTCCTGTAGTTCTGCGTACATCTGTGCCCTTTCTTTCTTTCTTTCTTCCTTTATTTCTTTGTGTGTATCTTGTATACACACACACATATATACATACGCACACGCACGTACGCACGTACGCACGCACGCACGCACGCACGCATATCTCTTACTACCCGTACGTTATTATCAATACAAAATTACATTATATAACTATAAGCACACCACAACAACCAAATACATATATAAAGTATATATATAACAGAAATAACAAACCAAGCAAGACAAAATAAATAAATATAAAAAGAAGAAGAAGAAGCATAAAACCCATCCTCATTACAATATATACATTTAAAGAAACAAAGTTCAACTGATGACAAGCTCAAGACCCTTTAATCCCAACGATTATCCCGTCGTCATTGGAATTGATTTCGGTCTGTATCTATAGCAACAGCAACAGCAACCAAAATAAAATAAAATAAAATAAAATACGACATTATTATTATTTTTATATTTATCATCCTAACATGATTATCTATGTGTATACATATTTACTCTATTTTAAAATAAACAGGTACTACATTCTCCGGGTGCTCTTATTCATTTGTCCACAATGATGAAGTAGTTGACATTGTTAAATGGTATTATTTCTATGATTAATTTCTTATTTTCTATCCATCTACCTACATATATATATATATATATATATATATATATATATATTTGTTTCTTAAAAAAAACAAAAAAAACATGACCATTAATCCTGACATGTTTTAGGCCCAAGCAAAACAACAATGTCTATCCCAAGGTATGTGTCGATTCATAAAGAAAGGTTCTCGTCTTAATCAATACTAATATAATATAATATAATACAATACAATACATCAAGACTCCTACATTGAACTTTTACCAAGGCAGCTCAAATCAAATGGCTCATTGGGGTAATGCTGCTCGCCTAGAGATGCTGCGCCCCACCGCTCGTAATTCGGTGCTCCTCAAACAATACAAGCTTTATTTGGACGAGAATATCGCAAAAGATCTCCCCCCACTCCCCAATGGCCTGACTATTGTTGACGCTATTGCAGATTATCTCCATGCTTTCCATGAGCATGTCGTAAGTGAATTACGAAAGGGATTCGCACGTAACTATGGTCAGCATCAATTCAGATATGTAAGTAAAGGAAACAAAAACAAACAAAAAAGAAATGAAGAGAATAAGAGAGAGAATGAACAAATCATAATAATACTTTATTCTGTAGTGCCTCACAGTCCCTGCAATGTGGTCCGATAGAGCAAAGAGCACTATGCGTGAAGCTGCTATCAAGGCTGGTTTAATCGAGGAAAATGATCATCGTGATCGATTGATGTTGATCTCTGAGCCCGAAGCTGCTGCTCTTTACTGTGAAAAGAAGTGCGAACAATACAACCTTGGTCACAACGATCAATTCATGATTTGTGATGCTGGAGGTAACAATATTTGCGCGCACATTCATATCTATATATCTCCTATTTCCTATTTTTATTTTATTTTATTTTATTCACATCTTCTTTTTTTTAAAAAAAAAAACACGCACACACAATGCAGGTGGTACTGTGGATTTGATTGTCTTCCGTATCGATGAACGCAGCGGACGTAAACTCAAGGAATGGACAAAGGGTCATGGTCAGTCGTGTGGCTCAGTATTCCTTGACCGCCGCATGCGTAAATTGCTGAAGAAAAAGTTCAAGGAATATCTGTCGTCTATCCCTGCGTCTGCATTTGAGACCATGATGGACACATTTGTCGATCTTATCAAACCCCAGTTCGACGGTGTCGAAGACCAGTTCATCTCTCTACCTGCTGCCATGAATCTCGAGTCACTCAACAACCCAGCCATTGGCCTAGAAGACGGTACTCTGTGCATAAGTGCAGCCGAACTGAAACAAGAGGTGTTTGAGCCGGTCATCAAGGAAGTCTTGGCATTGATCGAGGACCAATTGATGAAGGCAGGGTCAATGCAGGCCATCTTCTTGGTCGGTGGCTTTGGATCTTCAAACTATCTGTTTGACCGTGTCATGGAGGACTTTGGCTCTCGTGTTGGGTTGGTGGCAGTTCCGCCCCGTTGTGAACTTGCCGTGGTCAGAGGAGCAGTCTATTTTGGTCTGAACCCTCGCATTGTTACCACTCGTATTCCGAGATACTGGTATGGTATTGACACTACCACCAGCTTTGAGGAAGGCATCGATCCCCCGAATTACAAGATCGTCAGAGCCGATGGAAGTGTACGGTGCGATAACAGATTCTCTGTTTACGTCTGGCGTGGTCGCCCATTAGGTAATAATAAATATGAATATGAATATGAATTTATTGACTAAATTGGAATTGAAACTTATTTTATATATATATATAAAAACAAAAATTATATAGATATTGACAATTGTATGTCCAAAGACTTTTTTGCCTATTACCCCCACCACACCACATGTACATTGTATGCAGCCGACACCGAAGAGCAACCCCGCTATATTACTAGCCCAGGTGTCCGTAAAGTAGCCAACTTCACCATTCCTATGCCAGAACTCACTGGTGTAATGGAGGGTGAAAAGGTCGATTTGTCTATAAAAATGTATTTCGGTGAAGTTGAATTGAGAGTAGAAGGTAAGAAAACACAGGCACAAAATGAAGTGAAATAAGATCAAGGATTCTGGCTCACAAATGTATTTTTTGTTTTTTGTTTTTTTTTAACTTACACCTATAATTTTCTTTCACTTTCTATGTACAGCTGTTATTCGCGGAAAAACTTATGGAACAACTTGCACATTCGATACAGACTAAACTGCCACAAGTGTGTGTGTATATTAGCCATTTATAGGAATTTATAAAAAACCAAAGAAAGAAAGAAAGAAAGAAAGAAAGAAGACAAGAAATTGAAATTGAAATTGAAATGTTTTGAAACGCGTTTTTGTTTTGTTTTGTTTTCTTTTCTTTTCCTCACAAACCATTTCTACCATCTCCCTCCGCATCTCTTTCACATACAACCTCTCTTACCCCTCTTCTTCTTCCTTCTTCCTTATTCTTCTTTTCTTCCACAACCTCTTCCTACCCTTTCTCTATCTTATTCCTCATTTTCTTTATTTTCCTGTTCTTTTCCTACCCCCTTTCTTTAGTTTGGATACCTTTTTTTATTTTTATTTTTCTTGCTATAATTAAACATCAAAGGCCATTTCATTAAAGTATTATTCCTTCTTCTTTTTTTCTTTTATATATATTCTACTTTTAGTACCAAGGTAATTAAGATTATATGAACCAATGACAATGCAATAAGCAACAGATTACATATATATATATATTTAATTAGTATCAAATGAAAAAAAAAATGTAAAAAAAAAGTCTGTGTGTAGATTCTTCAAAATGCAAACCTGAATGAAAGTTGGCTTGTCATAATCCTATGACTACACAACAATAAAATAAAAGGAGGGAAAACGACAAGAACAACAGAAACAGTAGAGATTATTGCTATTCTTTAACTAATCGATTAATAAATGCAAGGAGTATCTTTATTCCATTCTTTAAGCCTGTAAAATAAATTCACTTCAAAAAAAAACATTTCTCGGACCAAAGTCATCTTTATACCACTAATAATAAAACTGAGTAAATTGTCTAGCAATCCTACAGGGACGATGTTTCTATCTAGCAAGACTAATTTATCGCGGCCACCTGTCCAGATCGGTGTCTTTCTCTAATCCTTCGGGGCCAAAATGGCGTGTCCTGAAATTCATACTATATCAATAGCTAATTATGCAGAAGATCATAAGGAGTTATTGTCATTACAGACTTTGGGACGCAATCTTGTTGGATATTCTACTTTTAATAATAATCTTATGCGTATCATATCTTTGTCTTTCTTTCATCTATTGTATCTATAATACCATAGTCTGAAAGCACCAACTGGTAAGCAATCCTTACCCACTTTCTTTTTAAAGCAAAAAAGAAAATTCTTTATGAATATTGTATATCCTTAGGGACCAGACATAATTATCCCGTGGCGACAAAAAAAAAGATCATGTTTGGTCCAGTAGAATCAAAATGTCCTCTCCCACCATGAAATGTCATGCCCCATCAGGAAACGCTCGTTTCTATAAAATTAACGTTTGATTATAGTACCACCAATTATTATTCCTTTTTGATAATCTGGTAGCTTGCTTTCACTTGTAAGGAGTTTTCTTCTTGTTCTGGTGAGACATGGTGTGATTTGAATGAGAAAAGCTTTGAGAAAATAAATAAATAAATAAAAGTGTAGTGATGATTCCTTGATTTGGCAGAATCTTGAATACTTTATTCAGTATTGATATGGGTCTGTATGTATGCCAAAAATTTTGTATTGACGAATTTTAGATACTGTGTTGGTATTCTTCTCTTCTCTTTGTAACCATTTCAAAAATACAGAATAAGGAGAGAGAAAGAGAGAGAGAGAAAAAAGGAAGATACTTAAGGTAGTGGTTCTACTCAGACTTTCTCATCTCTAAGTCTGTTTAATTTAAAGGTGTCGATTACAGTTGGCTAGAAGAAAGGAAACAAAAGAAGGTTAGCCAAGGTATCTAAAGAGACAATAGAAAAACGCTGTCTCTATCACTATTGCTATTTGGATGTCTTGAACATAAAGAAACAACTTACAGCCTTTTTACTCCAACCAAGACGAGTGATTGCATTCTTTGCTGCATTTGTCTTTGAAGTAGTCGGCTTTCCGTCCGCATCTTCTTTTGTAACTGTCAATTCAGGAAGTCTCTTTTGCTCAACTCCATTCTGGATCAACAAGAGTGTGGGCAAATCAAATGAAGCAGGGTCACGACTGATACCAAATTCCTGGGCCACATCAGGGAACACATCAATATCAATCTTACCTAAAACAAAACAAAACAAAAAAAACCCCCCATTCGCAAAATATATAAATATATATATATATATATATATGTGTGTGTGTGTGTGTGTGTGTGTGTGTGTCTTACCAAACTTGATGTGTTTACAATCATAGTCTAAAGACAACTTTGCCAAAACACCTTCAAAATTGAGACAGGACACAGACCAATTTGCGTACAGCATCACAACCCAATATTTGGAAGTCGGAGTGACACGATCTGCTGCTTCAACTTCGACCTCTTCATCGTCGGATTTTAGTTCTATAATTCGAGGTCCTTTTATGTCATCCACATCAGAGTAAGCAGGAGACTTCCCCTTGTTTTTCTTGGGTTTGAGGACCTTTTCCCGGAGCATGTTTTCACTCAATTCAATGATCTTTGTTGGGCCCTGATACCATGGCTGAGGGAAAAAGGTAGATAAAACTATATATATATATATATCATGTTTGTGTACATGTGCATAAGCATAAGCATAAGCATAAGCATAAATGTGAGTATGAATGTGTGAATATTTTGACTGTTATTATTTTATATTTTGTATTCAATATATTTACCTCCCCAGCCAATTGAATAAAGTACAAATTTCCAGAACCCATACTCCCAATACAAAACTAGGCAGGTAAAGACCTTTCCGTATAAAAGCAATACACTGGCAAGTTCTTCGGCAGTTGAAGCCATGAATCCTTTCCATACCGAAAGACCAGCTAAGAAATAATAGGCTTTTAAATCACCTTCCTATTCATTGTGTTCAGAAAAGCAAGATGAGCCATTCTATATACTAAAAGGGTTGGAGTAGGTGGAAAGATGGAATAAAAGGCAAGATCTATTTGTGTGTGTATATATATTATTTTATTTTATTTTAAGTTGTTAGAAATATTATGTATATATACATTATTTCTTTTTTATTAAAGAAAAAAAAAAGCAATTGCAGTGTAGTGTAATGTAGTGTAATGTAGTGTAATGTAGTGTAATGTAGTGTAATATTAAATAAATGAATGTCTTACGTTTAATTCAGAAAAATGAGTGACATTTGATAGTTGGTTGTAAAGATGGGTAAAGACATAGGAGAAGCCATAGATAGCATGAAGTACGTAGTATCGATGAAGAAGACGTTGTTTTAGTTCTTTGAGATCTGTCATGCTTTCAAATGTTAATTAACCGAGAATCCAAGTGAATAAACCTCATTTATCTTCTTTTTTTTTTTGGTTTTACATATGCAAATTAATTTGGAATAAAGAAAAAAGAAGCACGTGATTTTGATCCCTGCCCACAATTCGCTACTTGGCTTGACACAAGCTTTTTTATTTCTTCTTTTCTTTAATGAAAATTAAGTAATCACAAATGTATACCTACTATGCGTGTGTGTATATATGTGTGTGTTTAGGGGAGTGTTTTTGTGTTTGATATATCAAATTATAATCATAATCATATTTTGGTGATTATATGGTATTATACAAAAAGAAGAAGAAGAAGACTGGTCTTTTTCATTCTTGCATGTTTTATCGTTATGAATTACAAAACTCATGCTTTGTCATGTTGATATTTATACACACGCATATATATATATATATAATTTAATTTTATTATATTTTATTTCGTTTTTCACAAAGTTAATTGTAATTGTGATTATATATAAAATATATGTATAAAGATGTGTTGGTTTAAAGTGCTTCCTACCTCCTACCTTTTCATTTTGATTTCTTTATCTCTTTTATGTCAATCTTTATATATAAAATATGATAATTCTATGGGCGTTTAATAAATCCAACCGAGAAATTCATTGTAGTTCGCATAGCCGGGTGATTCATTACACGCGCAGAGGGTGGCAGTAACAAGGTGGTTTTCTGGAGATTACTGATCAATTGGACACAGTAGGCATCCGGATAAAGAAGGTGCTCGGAAGTCTTGTCAACCGACCACGCTGCAACGTGTTGCTCTGTCTGTTTGCTTATTGGATCTGAACAATCCAAATACAGAACCTTCATAGCTACAGAAAATAACAATATACAACGTAAAGGGAAGAGAAAAGAAGAAGTTTAAAGTAAAACAAAACAAAAAAAAATACGCAAAGAAACGAACAAAACACAATAATATAATAATATACTATATAGAGTAATATATTCTTATTCTTATTCTTATTCTGCTTCTTCTTCTTGGTCAACAAATAGCAAGCCGCACCACATCCATGCTCAGAAACCCAAATACATATATAAAAGAATAAGCAAAGAAAAGAAACTACTACTAACCTCGCTCGTGGTAAACATCGGCTGGCTCTGATGGGCTAACAAAACCACGATTGTAGATAATTTGTGTATCCCAATTGAATAGCCAAATCTATATGTATATAAAAGCAAGTGAATTAATTAGTCAATAGAAAGAAAGAAAATGATGATTCTGCAATATATGCTTATATAATCCCTTAATTGATTTTACATACCAGACAATAAATCTTGCCAGTATTTCTGCCTTGGATCAAAAATCGGTAGGTGGCATGTGCTTTGGCTGCATTCACAAGATCGCACACCAGGAAATCCATAAATGTGGGCATCTCACAAGGCGTAAGTGTAGGCGTAGGGAGTATTGAGACACAGTATTTGAACAACTTTACTGCTCTCAATATTGGTTCCTCATCTGAGTCACACAATATAAGTAAAAGAAAAATTGATATAATTTGGGATATCTTTTTTTTTAAAAAAAAAAATAAACAAATAATTACCGTATTTTTCATATTGACCTTCACCCAAAGGCATAGAACAACTGGTACAATTGACTGTAATCCATTTGGTATATGTACCGTTATCCCACTACAATATAATTAAATCATTTTTTTGAAACAATTAGTATTGAAACATTCAAAATAAATTATATATATATATATAGAAGAATAAAGAGAGATAAATGTGTACTATAGTAGTAGCTTGATAATGTGACCAAAGTCAAACAACAGAGAGTTGAACTTTTCTCTGCCAAGCTGTTAGATAGTAAACTGAATTTTTAATCTAGGATTTTTGTATCGACCAAAAAATCGTGTATAGCTTAAACACGCTGGCCTTCTTTTAAATCCGAATATATATATATATATATATTATTTAAAGAAAACAATATAATAAAAGAAAAAAACTTACGTTGATTTTTGACGCCACGTCTCGGTCTACTACTAATGAATCTGGTGTCAGATTATCAGAATGGACCAAATAGTATGTTGAGCCAACTAATAGGACATCTGGTTTTGCTAGGATTGGTTTCATGCGCGCTCTGTGCTCTTCTGGTTTGGTTTCGTGACAGATCCAGCACTCGACCAGCTCATACCAGTGCTCTGAAGGCATGTCTTTGTGTCTAAAAGGAGCTTTTGAGTCTTGTGCACGCACCAGAGGGCAAGAGCAGTGGTTGCAAGAAATCAACTCAAATTCTCGTAGTGCTTTGGCAGGAAGCAGTTCTTTAGGTTCATGATCATAAGCTAGCCTGGGCACTTGTTGCTGTTGAGTCCCGATTTTTATATCCCAAAGAATTGTTTCATTGTTTTTATCTGGTTGCTGATCCATATTTGTTGTTGTGATCAGATTAGGATCAAGAGGGATCCCCAAAACAGTCGAATCTATTAACTTTGTAGAGCCTAGCCAGAGACTGTTGTCTTTGACGGCAAGTTCGCGGTCAACTGGGCATCTTTTATCTACAGAGATAGTGGCCCGGAGTGCGTTGATGTTTCCTAGCCTTTCAGAGAAAAAAGGAATAATAGTCATACCAAAAATAAGAGAGGGAGAAAGACACGTAAGAAGAAAGGGAAGGGAAGGAAATAAGTTGAAGTAGCGAATTGGTTTAGTTAAACTAAGATTGGCTGAACCGAATAGCTTGTTTATTTTCTTTTTTTAAAAAAATAAATAAATAAATAAGCAGGGAGACTGCTCAAAGTCACATAATACATAAAAGAATAAGCGGTGCGCTTGGATAAAATAAAATGAAATGAAATGAAATATATATATATATAAAGGGACGTCAGACCCTCTTTAGTATTTGTGTATTATTATTTTTTGTCCTACTACACAGGGCGCACAACACAAAAGAAAAAGAGAGAGAGGGCAAGAAAAGAAAAGACAGTCTATCTTGATTGGTAACAACCAAAACCAAATGAGGCATTATCCCTTCTTCAAGATATTAAATACAATATGAATGCTATAATTTTGACGGATATATGTATATATATATTTTTAAAAAAAAAGAAAAGAAAAAGGGTGTTGCAAGATATTAATATTAATAAAATCGGCTGATTTTTATTTTATTTTATTTTTTTGGATTTTCACCTTGTAATACCAAAGATCTCGAATGATTTGAGTTACTTGCGGAAACTAAAGCTATACATATTAACTTGAACGTGTCAATCGGTTAGGGTTCACGTCAAACCTAGTAACGCTAATATATGTTTGTGTTTGTGTGTCCAGACCATTTAGTTTTATTTTTTATCAACTTGAGTGTCAGAACAAGACATGCTACATAATGTTTAATGTTTAATAATAAATAATATATGTATGTATAGAATGATAATAAAAAGATCTTTCTTTGGCAATAAACTGTACAATATGCCACATTGCTTGTGTAAAGTGTATGTAAAGGGAGTAGGGGTAGGAATTGAGAGAGAGAGAGAGATGTAAGGGGAATGAGGGTGTTCTTTTTTCTGTTCTTTTATCTTTCTTTCTATTTTTCTTTTTGTCATGGTAGAGAAGAAAGACGAAGAGCAATATCCATGATTTTTGGGTGAATGAATAATAATAAGAAGCAATAAATGACAAGAATAAAGCGAATAATAATAATAATAATAATAATAATAGTAATGGAAGTAGTGGTAATGGTAATGATAATGGTAATAATGGTAATGGTAATGGTAGTTATGGTAACGGTGATTAGTTGTGGTTGCTGTGGTAAGGAGTAGTAAGAATAGCGATATCAGACGGTTGGTTTTGTACCATACGCCCAATGGAGATTAAAGTATGTCTGGTATTCTACGCATTCGTCAAATGCTTTGTCCAGAAATCGGTCATAACTCTCCTCAAGATTGTCTCCTTGTAAATCTAGTTGATCGTAAACCTTGCTACCCAGCCACACGCACACTCCCAGGACGCTCTATTGCGTATTGTTTGTTTGTTTAGTATGCTCATTATTTTCTATCGGATTATTTTCAAAGACTTACAATATACATGGTCTTTCCTACTTCGCCACCCCAACAAATGGGAAGCGACCAGTAGTCCGTTGTTATGTCATTAAAATCCCCTCTTTTGAGGATCTCTCCGAGAATCTCACCCCGGAATCCACTCTTATTAATCTTGTAAAGAGCACAGTTAACTAAATAAATCCAAAGATACATATACACATATGCGTGATAGTAATAATAGCATTGCAATTTGTCCAATTAGTAAATATCCAAGATCTTGATCCCATCCCATATCTTCTGCCTTTGCCCCCCTCAACTTACCAGCAGAGAATAGTTTGGTGAATAAAGGTCCTGGCTGGCGCGGGCGTAAATCATACTGTGAGAATGTAATAGAATACAGAATAAATAAACCAAAGAAGAAGACGAAAGTAAAGAAATCAGTGTTGGTTATAATACATATTACTGCCCTATAAATGTACATAATATATATATACATAGAAAGGATCTTACTACTTAAATGAGAGGAGAGTATATTTTTTTGTTTGTTTTTGTTTTTTGTTTAAATAAGAAAATGAAATGAAATAAAACAATAACCTACCTCTATAAGTTCGATTGTCGCACCAGGTTTCATTACGCGCTTCATTTCTTTTATTCCCCAGCCTGTCATACTACTCGGATATACCATGTACATAAACCGTTGATGAATGTAATCGAATGTGTTATCAGGAAATGGTATTCCGTGTATAACGTCTTGTGTTTGGAAATGACAGTTTGTAGGTGCAAAGGAGTGTTTTTCGCCTTGAGGTATAAAAGAGTCTATTATATCGATACCATAAAACGTTGTGTTTGTAAAGTCTGCTGCCATATCTACAATATATATTAATTTATATTAATTTTTTTTATCAGTTTGATAAATATTATCATTTTTTTTTTTACCTAATATCCAGACTCCAGAAGACCCACAGCCAATATCTAGTGCGCGCGATCCTTCTATCTTGAGAGCGTTTTCTATAGGAGCAAAGTGATTGGCCTGAACGACATGCTTGAGAAGGTAATGCTGGCCATGTTCTCGCTCTTCTGCAGTTTGAATAAAGTGCATAATGTCATCGTCTGTAGAATTCTCCATTTCAATCTGAATGTCACTTTGTATATTTTCTTTGTCTTCTGAAGTGGCTTCTTCTATGATTGTGTCGTGACTTTTTTTGGAGAACCGATTGCCCATTAAGAAAGAGGAAGAAAAGTAAAATGTAATTCGGAATAAGGTCTGGGTCTGTAGGAGTGAACGGTTTGTGGCCATGTCACACAGACTTCTTTAATATACATGTTTATATTTATATATTCATTTATTCATATATTATTTATTTATTTATTTATATATACATATCGTTGACAGGGTTATTAATTATTTCGAATATATGATTTCTTCTTCCTTTTTTTTTCTACTCTGATCTTTTAATTTGCTGTTGTTTTTATATATTATAAAGAAGTACCTTGGGCGCGCGTCTTAAGAGACAAATACTTGATACGGTTTAATAGGACAAATAAGGATCAATAAAGAGGTGTGTATTATTTATTTATTTATATATTTATATATTATACAACGGTGAATAAATAAATTATTATAAATTAGTATTACTATTGTTTATAATTTTGTTAAAAGATTTGACCAGAAAACAATGACAACATCATCAAGAGCCATTACTGTTTTTTTTAATAGATAAAATAGGTAGTCACATAGCAAAGGTAATCCACGTGGCTCACACCATATGAATATAAGAAACAACAACTTTTGTTAAAGAAATAGAATAGAATATAAAATGGTTCAATTGTCAGTCTCCTGTTTATAATATCCCCGAAAGTTGTACCTTTTTATTAATTATTCGTGTGAAGCAAATGGCTATAATAAGTGTGATACACACATATACAGCGATAAAACACTGAAATAGACAAACTCATAGTTAGACAAAAAGGCTTATATATATATATATGTTTATTTATTTACGTAAATATGATGCTGTAAAAATTACAGCTTAGTAATTCAAAAAAATATTGAGTATCTCTCTTTCGTTCTCGCCCTACCTTCACCTGTTGTTGCAGTTCATTTTATTATTATCACTGAATTATATAGCCATATGTTATGATTCGGTCAAATATATATATCAAAATGTTTTTTTTAATACATTTTTGAGCCTTGGGTAAAACCTAGAAATATACTACCTATAATAATAATAATAATAATAATAGTAATAGTAAGGTATGTATAAAACAGACCAAATGCCCGTGCGATATCTTTATCTGGAAAATGTACACGAATATCGACATCTTTTTCTTTTCCTGGCTTGTATTCTATAAATCTAGTCTAGGTTTTAAAATTACAAACCATGATTTATTTCTATCCTTATCCTTATCCTCGTCCTTGTTCTTGTTCTTGTTCTTGTTCTTGCTCTTATTTTCTAATTTAATTTTGTTCTACTGTGTATATATCAGCCTCTTGGTTTAACAAGAAATAGTGTTCCACAAACCGATCATTAACTCTGTGAACACATCTATATAAATTGTTATCTACTATGTATCACATTAACCTTGACACATGCTTCAGGTGCAAGTTTTTCGCATTTTTGAAAATAGTAATATAAATATATGTATCTAAAGACATTATTAAAACGCCATCAAAAGGGGAGGCTGTATTCTAGTCACCAGTATTAATGTAGCCTGTACATAGTTTCTTATCCTTATCCTTCTTATTCTTTTTCTTTCATTCTTTAACTTTAATTAAATCTAATTTCTGTGTTTTACTTTTTTTTTTTAGTATTTAAACCATATATTGATACTGACAATTAGACGAATAGCTAGACTCAATAGATCCTTTCCCTCATATAGACATAAACATGGGCATAGACAAACAGATGGATATAGTTAGAATCAGAGCTTAAACTTTGTAATCTTGGACAAAAGATGTACAGAAACTCCACACAGCCCTGTTACTAATATCAGTGTTATGGGATAAACTTTAGACAGACGTTCACTTTATTTTAAGTAGCTATGGTTTATCTATTCACCTTTATTCGAAATATACATATCTGTACTGTAATAACATTGTTTCTTGTTAAAGAAAAGGTAAAAGTAAAGTGCCTTGCTGTTATATCTACTACTACCAGTAATAGTACTACCTGAACTCCCTTTTCATTAAAGATCTTGTTATGTAAAGACCAGTTTACATTTTACAAGGATAAGGTGTAGTGTAAAGTGTATGTGTGCCTAGCGCGTAATAGTTCTTGAAATTATTAAAAATATTGGGATCATTAGCACGTAGGATACCAGAGTCTGGCTGTTTAAATTAGTATTTCACTCAAATCCTAGTCTATATACTGCAAAGTTATAGCACATAAACAGAAAAAATATGTATATAAAAGAGTTGGTGAATAAGTAATGAGTTTAACATGTATATATATGTAAGAGGCAAAGACTTTGGCGGACTGAATACAGTTCCGGTTCGGACTAAGTGAAAGTTACAGACTGTGAATTCATAGTCTGGTTAAATACAAAAAAAAAAGTTAAAACTATAACTTTTATAAATGGAAGACAATAAGTGCCAAATTTACCGCAAATGAATGTCGGTGTACAAACATCCGATTAGGTGTTTTAAATTATAACTTCCATTTGTAGAACTAATTTTTTATTTAACTTTTATTTATATTATAAAGTGTATTGTAATTTCTTTGTCGTTTTTCAGATACATATATCTAATTATATATTCAGAGGGTGTACCTACAAAGAGAGCATTAATACAGTATGTATAATGAACTAATTGTAACCATGTATACTTTTGTCTTTTAACAATTATAAATATCTATCTATATCTATATCTATGTGTGTGTGTGTGTGTGTGTTTGTGTGTATTAATCTCTCAAGACTGCTTTTCCTCTGTCAGCTGACTGAGTGAAATTGAAAGTGCCGTTTGTAATTCTGTGATGCAATGCCTCTTTTATATATTATTTGCCTTGTTATATTATATTATATATATGGTAACCAGTTCGAAAAATGAAGTTGGCAGTCGTCTTTTATAAAAAATAATAAAAATAAAAATAATAATAAAATTAATAACTGTGTTCGTTGTTTAGCATACTTTTTTTTTTCTTTTTTCTTTTTTTTTCTTCTTTTTACCAGACAAGGTAATCTCACCATTTTTGGAAGTGTAAAAGAAAATAACACATACATACACTATACGCGTTCTTCTTGCTCTTCTCCTAATACACAACCAAAAAAAAAGGGGGGGACAAAGGAAAGGCTTGATATCCTCTTTAAACTTCGAAGCTTACTTTCCAACCACCGAAACGAAACAACAACAAAGAGCACACACAAAAACATATATATATATAAAAAGAATTTGGTTGGTCTTATTCTTTTCTAGCTCTTGATTTACTCAATCGATGAGCGAGCACTCTCCAACAGATTTGTCGGATTCCGAACTCTCTTTACAGCTGTCAGATGCATCTACTCTGTCGTCTGATTCGGGCCATTCCGATGATATAGCATTCGATTCCTCTGACGATGATTTACATTTCGATGACGCACGGACCCTCCCCAAGAAAACACCCAAGAACACGGGCACAACCGCAACCACGACCGTAACCAAGTCTACAGCCAAAGTCACGGCCAAAACTACGCGCAAAAAGACAATACCAAAGAAAAGCTTGAAAGCCGGGAAAGCACAACCCAAAAAGACCGCCAAAAAATCATCTTTTGCGCCGAACAATAACAACAATAGAAAAAAAACCACTCAAACACAGCAAAAACGAAAGCAGCAACAGCAACGACAACGAGAAGCTTCTGTAGATATTGAAAAAGATGAAGATGTATATTGTCTTTGTCGAAAGGGTTACGATGGAAAAGAATTTATGATTGCCTGTGACCAATGCCAAGGTGAGAAAATGAATTAATGAATATATAGATATAAATGTGTTTTGGAAAAGAGACTCTTTTTTTTATAAAAAAAAACATAACAATAAACCAACAATTATCTCTCTCTCTATATATATATGTATATGTATTTTTCTTTCTGTTGTTGGTAGAATGGTTTCATGGAAGATGTGTAGGTATTAATCCAAAGAGTGTAACCGAGCATTACTTTTGTGAAGCATGTACAAAAACCAAAAAGTCAAACGAACCTCCTCCCAAAGGAAAGGCACCACAATCAGCATCAGCATCAGCATCAGCATCATTATCATCAAATTCATCAAATTCATCATCAACAATAGCTGGGAAAGGTAATGTTTTATAGTTCTCTCTCTCTCTTTTAGATAGATATATAAATGAAAATATCAAAGGGACCATATTCTTGATCCAACAAAAATAAAGAAAAAGCAAAAACAAAAAACAAAATCCGCCTAACACAGTGCCCAGGCCGTGGTAAAAAGGGGACCTTGGCATCATCAGTATCATCATCAACAATAGCGCCCGAACCCAAACCAGAATTAGTACCAGAACCAGCAACAACAGTAGCAGGATCAGGAGTAGGAATAGGAGCAGGAAAAACATCAATGCCATTATCACTACCGGCATCAACACCAGCATCAAAATCAATATCAACATCAATATCATCATTATCATTATCATTATCATCAAAACCAAAACCAACATTACCAACAACAACAACAACAACATCATCATCATCATCATCATCAGCAGCAGCAGCAGCAGCAGCAGCAGCAGCATTAGCATCAACATCATCATCAATATCATCGCCCTTGACCAGTGCAAAGAAACAAGCGCCGATTTCTCGAAAAAAGACAGTAAAGACATTAAAGACCGTCGAGATACCCAAACCTGTCATTCCACAAGCTCGATCCGATAATGAAGAAGAATTGATGGTAGAAGACGACGACGAAGATGAAGACCTCGACGACATTTGCCCTGTGTGTGATTCAGAATGTACATGTGGAGCTTCTTTTCCAATAGAAAGTATTGCAGCCATAAAAATCACAGGTAAAAAAACAAAATTCATTCGTGTATTCATACGCATATACCCACATACACACAGTTAGCTATACCCCACTATTACTTTACTTTACTTTACTTTATAATATAATATAATATAAAACAAAAGATACTTATGAGAAATACATTAATATTGTTATTGTTGTTTGTTGCTATTCTTATTTCTTATATATACAGAAGATCCAAAAGACGATAAAAAGGTTATTGGATCTGGCAAACAAAAGATCCCAATGTGGCAGTCAAGAAACGACGAGGATGAAAACGATGAAGACGACGAAAATGATAATCTCATGCATATAACACAAACAATACCAGAAATGACAATTACAACAACAACAACAACAACAAAGGCCGTGGTAGTCGAACGATATGATCCTGATTTTGAAGAATCTAAATCACCAACCAAACCAAAATCAAAACCAAGATCAAAATCAAAACCAAAGCCAAAACTTAAACCTAAACCTAAACCTAAACCTAAACCAAGGTCAAAATCAATTCCGACCTCAAAATCAAAGAAACCAAAAAACCAAAAAACGACCAGCGCTTCAAAACAACAAAAAAAAACTACCGTAAGACCATCCTCTATCAAAAGCAAACCAGTCCCAAAACAACCAAAGAAGAATATCATTCTACACAGTGATTCAGATGATTCAGATAATTCAGATGACGAAGTTGTAATTGATGACGATGACATTGATGATGAAATCGAAAACGAAAACAAAATCAGAAACAAAAACAAAAACAAAAATGAGAATTACGATGTCGACGATGTCTATGATTATAATGATATAGAAGATGATATAGAGGACGATATAGATGATTTATTAGATGACCTATCCCCACTCTCTGATCACACATCGGATGAATCAGATCAAGACGATTACATGAGTGATTCTATTATCCAAAGCACATCACCTTATCCAGACAGTCGCACGGGATCCTACACGTCTAGCATTCACTTGGACTCTGGCGATGATGAAAACATCGAAGAAGAAGAAGAGCGGGCAATTATTGAAGAAATGGACTATGATGAGGATAATAGTGACTTTGAGGAAATAGACCACATTAGTGAGGACGAAGAAGATTTAATGGACAGTGAAGATCATTATCATATCGAAGAAGACGATCATATGGAAAATTACTATGTTGGAAATAGTGGGCGGTGGTCATCATCCGAAGAAGAGGAAGATGAGGAATATGACTACAATGATACTCGTGTTCAGAGTGAGGCAGAAATGGCAGACTATTCTGAAGGCGAAAATGAAATTTATGGACATGACCAATTGATTCCATTGGTGGGTGATCACAGTCATTTGTTTGACAGCATAGCAGCGGCCTTTATGCAGGTATTGGCGCCGCTTGCTAATATGCCTTTGGAAAACAATATGCATAATGGCAATCATCATAACCATAATGTTGATGGAGGAGGAGGTGGAGTTACACCTAATGACACACTTCCGGCCGATTTCAACTTTTCGGCATTTGATTTGGCTAATGCACTGGCAGCTACTTCCGAGGCTGTAGAAAGAGCTAGCAAGGAACACTTGAACTCGCATCCAATTGAAGAGGGTATGGATAGAGAGATGCTTTTGGCAGACGGTTCAATAACAATGCACAGAGGGACCATGCATGATCTTGGGACAGCAGATGCATTGAGCGCTTTGTCCGTTCTTGCAGCCGAAGCCTCTTTATCGATGCCTTTGGAAATCAAAGATAAAGATAATCCAAATACCAACTCCACAACCTCCATAGCCACCACTACAACCGCCGCCACCACAACAGAAATCATCACTGCTCATATCCCCACAACACCTATTATTCCAACTACTCCTGCATCAACTACTCCTACTTCTACTACAACCACGCCCACCAATACTCCAACTAATGCTCTTACACCTATTATTACTACTGCTACTTTAAATAGTGAAAACATCTGTTCTTCTTCCCCGGATATCAGTGAAACCCAACCTGATCTTTCTTCGCTTCTGCCATTACCGCCAGACTTTTCCATGTCAATCCCAAATCAGATGAAGTTTCAAGATCAACTTTTAGAGTTGCTCAAACTTACTTCTTCCACCTCTCCGTCATCATTATCATCATCATCTCCTTCTTCTCCAGCATCTGACCTCATCACCACCGCCGGACCGGTATCTAGTACACTTGCATCCTCTTCTTCAATGCCATTACCACTCCTGTCGATTCCCAATTCATTATCACTTTGCAAAAAGACTCTTCCGTATTCAACACCTAATTCACGCCAAATACTTCCTAAACCAACCAACACCAATAATCTCGGTAGCCCTCTTATACACAACCATCACAACCATCACCAGACTGCTGGGATTTCTAGTCTTGGATCTCCATCAGCGTACAATATGACCCTAACTGAACAGCAACTGATGGATGTGCTTCATCCGGAAAGTGCCGATGCCGTAAAAAGACGAAATATCGCAGAGGTGAGAGAGATAGAGAGGCTATATATATATGTGTGTGTGTGTATATATATATGTTTTACTTATTAATCTTGTATATATTATAAAAATAAACAGATGTCTTCAAAGGGAAAGAAAAGACGAATATCTAACGCCAAATTAGGCGGGATTGGAGTCGATGCTTCACAATCAACTATCATGGATGACACTCCTGCCTCACCAAATTCCAATTCCAATTCTAACTCTGCTATTGACAGCGAACCCATCCCAGTACTGATGGACGAGCTTGTTGATACTTCACAGCTCTACACACGTTCTTCCTCTCGCTCTCCCTCCCCTGATCCGGAAATCAACAGCCAATTCTCGCGCGACCTGTCTCGATGGCAGCGTGTACCAATTGGTGCCTTTCGTCTCATGAGGGCTAAAAACAAGTTTTGGCTTGATCGATAAGCCCTCTCCAACCATCTCTCTCTCTTTCTCTCTTTCTCCCAACTTCCCCTTTCCAAAATACAAAGACCAAGACACAGTCAAGGCCAACCACAAAAGCAACAAGAAAACGACGGATTGTTCTTTTTCTATCTTTAATTTTATTTTGTACATTTCATAAAACTTACTCGCGTTTCCTTTCCTTCACCTTTGTTGTTCGTTTTTCTTCATTGAAAAAAGCAAACGAACAAAAAAAAGTATTCACATTCTGTATTTCCTTTATCTTTTTCCCTACCTTCATTATTAATATCTTCTTCTCTTTCTATATTTTTCATTTTGTATTGCCTTGTTTCATTAAAGAAGAATAACTAGAGCTCATATATAGTATATACAAAGAAAATAGACAAATCAAATTAAATTATCATTATTATTAATTTATTACTTTTTATGTTGTTTTTCTTTTTTTTTTCTTCTGGTTTTTGGTTGTTTTTTATTGTTGGCTCTCTGCTTGATCTTTCAGAGCTTGTTTGGCACGCATGTTTTGTCTCCAGCGTTCCTCACGTTCTGCTTTCATTTTTTCCAGTGATGCTTTGATTTCTTCAGAAGTGGTAGGGGGTTTCTGTTTTTATATTATTATTATTTTAAAAAAAAATAACATAAGAAAATCAGTATTTTTTTCTTTTTGGAGATCAATAATATACCTATAGCTATAGTTTTGTACTTACATATGTTGTGTTGTAATCGGGCCAGAACTTGATACCCTTTACATATTGGTCATAAAAGCCAGGACCACCAAAGTACAGCATAACACCGACTGGGAAAAAGACATAGACACCAAACTATTGATGGTAAAATACAAATACAGAAAGGTATTTAATGTCTTAAATCTCATTTCTTGTTCAACCTGAACAAGAAACACCATCTGCTGAACATTATACCTTTATAACTTCTAATCTTGGGCCACCCATTTCAATCGAATTTAATGAATTCCTAACAAGAAATGGGAATTCGTTTGAAGAAGAAAAAAAAATTAAGCTCTTTTGGGCCTTGTAAAATGAATTGAGTTATCATTCCAAAAAAAAAAAAGGAAGGGGGTATAAAATACCTTGTCACAATATCGGCATTTTAAAAAAGTGATTATTTTTCAAAATCTGTAAAAGATAGAATTAATCGACTGATTTTTCCTGGAATAATGTTCTTTTTTTTTCACTTTTTCTTTGTTTTTGACTCAATTTACCTGTTTACTGACTGAAGAACGAAAAGAAAACCTCCTTCGTTTCTATTTTACCCGAAATTTGACCAATGTCTGTCTAATGTATTAATCTCTAAACACTAAAAAAATTGAAATTTTCGGCTTTTTTTTTATTACTTCTTTCAAAGACAAAACAGTAACAATTCACGTATAGAAAGAATCAATTGATTGGTGAGAGACTTACTGACAAGGTAGTCTATACATAATTCAACAATAAATAGTGCACATATATATATATATATATATATTACAGCTGCTTTTATTCTCAATTTCAAATGAATAATCAAACTTCAGTGCCTATTTTTTTTTTGTGTATTTTTTTTATCCAGCACTAATGATTTACATTGATCCACTGAGATTCCCTCAAATGTCTGACTTTTAATATATTTATTTATGTGTGTATGTGTGTGTGTGTGTGTATCATACAAGCTGTACATTATCGGTGATTTTATATATATTCGCCGATTGTACGTAAAAAAGTCCGCTATACTCCAGCTTGGCCTGGCAAAGAAAATCACTACCCCATCAATTCTAGGTTGGTAAACTAGATTTACAGTGAATGAATATAACGTATATACATATAACTATAAGTATATCAATTAGCTAACAAAAGGTTGACGGCAAAAAGAACAGGAAAATTAAAAGAAGGAACAATAGCGAGGCTGATAGTGTTAGCATAAATTACAGTTCGCGTTTTTTTCCTTCTCTTTGGCCCTTCCTCCATTAATGTTCTGCTTAAGTTCATTTTGTGAATGACCCTACTATGTTTGCAATTGGTGATATTCTTGCTCCCAAACATACACTCGTAAGGAATATATATATATATAGATATTATTTTAATAACAAAATATGTATATAAGCGTGTATACATATATATATATATACATTCTACCTCCACAAACACCCACTCTCTTTTAGAACCCAATTGAAAAGTCCAAACAAAAGGAAATCTTCGAGGGTTTACCAATGTACAATATGTAAAGCTTAATGTGACTAATGATAAGCATTTAATACAACAATCTAAGCATATTATGATTTTTAAATATCAAGTATTAATAATAATAATAATAAGTGATTTATATAAATATTATGTATACACTTTCAAAATGACAAGCAGAACTAATTTTTTTTTACTCAGGATAATGTTCGGGTAGATATCAATACATTGAAGTCCGTTTTTAAGCTTATAAATATTTTTAATACAAGCAATGACCATTTGATTACTTTTGTTTACAATGGATTTACAATAAATCAATCAATAAATCGAGTATCATTATTAATACTGGTAGTAAAGGGAATGAAGAGGACCTAAGTTTATGATTAAAAGCTAATTGACATTCTGTATTTGTCTGTTATTGCTTTATACAGAGAGAGAGAAAGAAATACACTTTAATGAGCTTCTGATAATTATACTACTAGAATCCAATACAGAGACACAAAGCAGTTTCATTTCTTTGGTTTCTGGATCCCTAAAATTGCTGAGTACTCGGTGTTCCTTTAAATGTGTCAGATATGCCTCTTTGGGTAACAAAAGAAATCCGGCATACATTCAAAATAAACATATTTGTCATATAATTTTTCTTTTTTTTTTTCTTTTTACGGAGTACTTGGACCGATACAACTTCTCTCGGTAAATTACAATCATCCTTTTCTTTTCATGGTTGCCTTGTAGCACTAACTTTTGGTTGGGTTGGATTCTCCTGTTAGCAATAGTCTCAATTGCTGAGCCAAAAAATAAAGTAAGAATTAAATCGTAAAGCTGTGACATAACATCTATAGACATATTTACAAACGAAAGACAGACAGAAACAAATGGAGAGAGTCATAATATTTAAATATTCATATTCTCATCTCCTTTATTCTTTCCTTCTTTCCTTCTTTCCTTTCTGTTTTCCTGCAGAATTATATATTATACCATGAACCTTTATTTTATTCTGTTTATTCTTGCTACCCTTTCTAGCCAAACGATCTCTGCCTGCAATTTTCTCAAGAGATCATCAAATATCCAGCAAGAAAGCTGTATTGAGATCATATATCCAGCCAAACGCGTCACATGGGAAACAGATTCATTTCATACAATTACATGGAAGACAAACGGAAAATGTTCGCAACCAAAGTCAATCTTTTTGATAGACAATGCTCAACAGCACAAACATGCACACCACGTTGCACTATTCCACCAAATCGACGTCTCTTTAGGCTACGTATTTGTGTTCATTCCAACCCGTGTCAAGCAAACAAGGCAACTTCTCGCTATCGGAACGGAAGGCGATAACGGACTTGTAACAGTAGATTCAGTAACTCTGATTAACATAGTCACCAAATAGTCTATTTCTTTCTTTCTTTCTTTTTTCTTTTGTATGTCTTTTCTTCCTCTTCATCTCTTTCTCTCTGTGTTGCATTCTTTTTCTTCTAGCTGTTTATTCTAAATATCGTGTGTATATAAATATAAGTCAATAAAGTATAATTACGAAATCATCATTTAGATATATCAAAAAGCATGTATCTAAATTCTCACTAAGCCAGACCAAGCCAATTAGAATAGAATGCAATATGATAGGATAGGATAAAGTAGAATATTAGCAGTCTTGCATCATCTCTCGTTGTTTTTTTGTTTTTTTGTTTTTTTTTTTTTTGCTTTATAGATACGATCATTAAATAAAGCATTAAAGTGCAATCTATAAGTATACAGCAAGCAAGCAAGCAAACAACAATGGTAGCCAGAAAAATTACTCTAAAAACTTTGTATTTTTTTCTTGGCCTACGACTGTCAATGTCTTTAATAATTCAAAATAAAAGAGAGAGATAAAAACAGGTAAAGAATAACAGTTTTGATTTTCTTGTTGAACAAATAACGGAGTACTTAGAATTCATGTGAAAACTCCATTGGCGTCATCATTTTATACATGCATATATATATATATATTTGAAATACAAATATTTATCATTGGTAAGAGATGCACTGATAAGCTATATGTGCACATCGAATTATAGCTTTTTCGCCCTTCATTAATCATATTCTCTAGCTTGACTCGATGTTATTTCAAGGCCTTTGAGTGGAATCAGGATGTTTATAATAACAACAAAAGTAATGTATAATACACACAGAAAATCTGATTTTCCAAGTAGATACACATACTATCATTACTGGAATAATTGATTCGTGTTGTTATTTCTTATTTTATTTTTTTAATATTTGCTTTTGATTGATTGCTTTTATTATCTTTTTTTATTATCTTTTACTTTTATGTTTGAACTAAAAGGCTTCGCAGGCCAACCAGAGCATTGTTCCCATTTTCTCCATTTATGACACCAAGAATAAGAACCGTTATTGTGTATTCTCCAATCTGATACACCCTGGCCTTGTCCTTTCCACCAAATACTTCCACCAGTTTAGCCTCAAGCTGTCTGAACCTAGCCGCCTGTCCATAAGAATCAGATTCTTCTGATGTCCGAGTAGAAAAGAATTGATCCAGTGTCTTTGTCTTGCAGGGTGCTGCCGGGTCAGAAATAAGCCCAAGCTGAGCAAGTTGTTCGGGTGTCGGTAACTCTGTGTTCTTTCCCCAAGCTACATTCACACTCTGGAATTCGGCTTCGGTTTCTGAAATAAGTTCGAGATTCTTTGATGCATCTTTTAATTCCTTTTGTGCTTTGGTGGCAGCCTCGAATGTAGCTAATGGCGCGTTCACTGTAGTAGTTTCTTGGGTTGCCGCGGGTTCAGAGTTCGCAGGCGGGTTTATAACCGGGTTGTTTAGCATGGCAAGATAACTGGAGTCTCCGTCGCTCATGGTGTGTAGTATAAAATTAGTATAAAGTTGGGTTGGGTATGGTGAGGTGAGGTAAGGTAAGGTAAGGCAATATAAGGGTCAGAGTGATAAATAAAATTAAAAAGAGACTAAAAATGCAATTGTACATGAAATACGATTGTAAGACGTAGGTCTAGTAATCTTATTGTGACTTTCTATTTTTACACATCCACTAAACTATACACGCATACACACACACACACTTCCTTATCAATATCCATATCTATATATTAAAGAAGTAGAAACATTAGTAAAAAATGAACATAATAGAAGCTTTACAAGTTAACTGGTCTGAAAACATGTTATAATTTATTAATCTTCCTCTTCTTTTTCAATGAAAAGAAGAAGATTTGAGGTTTGACAAGATAGTAAAAGGAAAATGTTTACTCTTCGTCTTCCTCCTCGGCACCACCGGCGGCGGCAGCTCTCTTTCTCTTGACACGACCAGCACGACCACCACCATAGGGGGAGGTCAAAGCAAAGTCGATGTGTTTTTGAGAGTCCTATAGAACAGAAAGTATATATATATTAAAAAAAAGTCACATTAACAAAATAAAATAATGTCAAGGAAGATTAATACTGAGTGGCAATAATAACTCACCAAGCGGACGATGAAGGAAGGAACGTTGACGATCTGCTTGCCGACACGGATGTGACGCTGGCGGATGAGAACACGAGCTTGGTGAATGGACTTGGCAAGACCAAGCTTGAAGACCTGGGTCTGGAGGCGACGCTCCATAAAGTCCTCAATCTTGAGACCGAGAACGTAATCAAGCTTCATGCGGGATTCGTCAAGGACACGATGCGTACAAGACGACGAATCAAGGCATTGCCCTCAAAGAGACGCTTGAGATCTTTTTCATCCAAGGTCAAGAGCTCACGAGCAGCACGACGGATCTTGGAGAGGGTAATTCCGACACGCCAGACTTCCTTCTTGTTCTTGAGACCATACTCACCGACCAGCTTCAATTCTTGGTCGAGACGAGCGGACTCGAAGGGTCTTTTGGGGACCTTGTAGGTCTTGGAGTCTTTTAATTTTATTTATAAATATATATATATAATTTTAAAGTGGGTCTTTTTGTGTGTGTGCAAAGATTTGCGATTTTCTTTTTGTATGTTTTTTTTTTGTGCGTGTCTTTTTTTGTTTTTTGTTTTGTTTTGTTTTGTACTTATTGATCTTACAAGTTCTGGAGGCACCGGTCATTTTGTTTTAGTAGCCAGGGGAGAAGAGAAGGAACTTATTTTTGAGGCAGTGACTTGATCTTCTTTAAGAAAAAAGAAGAAAAAAATGGAGAGATAATGAATAACGACGACTACTTGTGACATCACATTAATGTCCAATCAAATGAATCGTCGAGTAATGAACCTATCGTTTTTAAACTTGAAAATACAATACATCCACACAAGCATATACAATGTTGTTTTGAAAGGAAAGAGACTGCATTAGGTGCCTTTATGGACTTTTAATGTTGAAAAAAATCAGCGAGATATGGAGGTTAGAATCAAAGGTCCTTTCCTTTTTGTTTGCTAGATGAGTTTTCTTTATGGGATCATTTGAAAGACAATATGACTGATATATGCACATAGTTACTTAGCAAAAGAGTCATTTTCTTCTTTTCCAAAGTAATAATGCTCTTTGAGTACACAGATTGAAAGAGATCCTGATATTTACGTCTTTATGAACAGCTGGAATTTGTGAGGGACAGATCCAATTCTGTACATTTAGTATTTCTTTAATTTTTGGTTAATTCATCAAATAGCTCAACTATTATTCGGGCACGACGTTATGCCTCTCGGGCCCGACGTTTCTTACACAGTTGCGTTTAGGACACGACGTTATGCCTCTCGGGCACGACGTTTACAAGTTGTATATTTTGTATATACTGCATATAAAAAAATAAACCTTTTAACATATTTTCTACTTAGGTACAGCTAGAAATTCTAGTATATTAAATAAAGAAGTACTTTGAGTAAAATCAATTTATTAAAATATAAATCATTTAATTCATGAACATACAAACTACATTGAATGGTTAGGGACCAGATAAAATGCTGGATGCCGAACAGCAAGTCACTTTTTTTTAGACCGGTAAATGGTAAAAGTCGGAGATTCGATAAACGTAGTGCTCCAGAGAAACGTCGTACCCGAGAGGAAAAGTGTCTGGCCCGAATAATTAGCGAAAAGCTAAACTCCACAATAAATCTGCCAGAGCACCCAAACTTTGAAACTCTAAGACTTTTCATTTAAGATAGTCAGAACAATTGAAAAACTCTTAATTCAATAGATAATAATTTTAAATATCGAATTAAGAGGTCAAACCTATAATAACTTTTGAAAAAAAAACTCATAAACTTAAATAGTTGGTGTGGACAGACTAAAAGTTCAAAAAAAGGGTCAAAAAAAGGTAAAAACAACTTCATACAGAACTTGGTCAATCAGACTGATTTATGACTGTCCACACCTTTTTTTTTTAAAAAAAAGTTCAAAATTAGTTCAAAATACATATAAGATTGTGCATATAATCCCGTCTCTGTCATTAAGTGAGAACCTTTTATTGCGAGTTTTTCTAAAACTCTCATTATATGGCACATATTCTCCGAAAAAAATGCTTCTCTTCTCAATATTAATGGCAATTGAAGAAAACTAGCTAATTAAAGTCGATTAAAAACTGCCCTTTTTTTTTGCCTTTTTTGAACCTCCAAAAAAAAAGGGCAAAAAAAAAGGATAAAATTAATTAAAACTCTCACCCAATGATATGACTTAATAATTTGCTCTTTTTTGCCCTTTTTTGAACTTTTAGTCTGTCCACACCAAGTTATCTCAGATTGCACCATAGAAACAATAATCAGGCCAAACTCGGAACCAAGCCGCAATTGTGACAAGCGAATTTGAGTCAATTATCAATCCGGTTTTTATTTTATTCTATTTTAAATATATAAAAAAAAAGTAGAAAGCAGCAATCCTAAGGGGAAGACGTTTCCTGGTGGGGCACGACGTTTCTATCTAACCGGACTAATCAATTGGAGCTACCTATCCGAGCCGATGTCTTCCTATAATCCTTCAGGGCAAAAGAAGTGTCCTAAAGAAAATATAATAACTGTTATAATAAGAATATATTCGTGGGGATTAGATAGAGTTATTCCATGCCGAGAAAAAAAGTCCCAGTTTGTGGTCCGGTACAATCAAAATGTCGTCCCCCTAAGATCAGCGGAGAGAATGAGAAAGAGAGAGAGTATGGGTGGGTAGTGGAGTTAGAAGAGCGGTCTATTTTGTTTTATATTTCATTTTATTTTTTATTATTTTTTGACACTTCTTCCGATACCAACCTTCAAAAAAAAGCCTCCCCAAATACATACTTACACACCTACACACCCACTCTTACACACGCATACACCAAAAGAAAAACAACCATGTCAGAGCTGAGCCAAAATCGCTTAACACCACTAGCCACGGCCCAGACCACAGAAATAACCAGAACAACTGTCAAAGACACAAGATCTTATGTGCATTTCATTGCTGGAGGGTGAGTAGGTTGAGAACATTCCATTACAAGTTGTGAATGACATAATGAAACTTCTTTTATTTTTATTTTTGAGCTAAACCATTCGTTTGTCTCATTACAGTGTAGGTGGTATGGTTGGTGCCATTTGTACTTCTCCTCTTGATGTAGTAAAGACACGTTTGCAGGTAAGCCGTTGTTTCTTTATTATACATATTTACTCTTCTTCTTTTATCTCTCTCTTCGTTTCTTTATATGTGCATATAAGCACAAGTAACACAATAAAAATAAATAAAGAATAAAAAGAGAAGTCTTGTCCAACACATTATCTAACAACTGGCTCCGCTTTGCGTAGACTACATTCTACCAACAAGCAAAAGCAAATGTTCCCACAGCATTTAACAAGTCCAATTTTGTCCTCCATCATTTTATAGAAACGTCCAGACTTCTAGTGTAAGTCCCTCGTTATTATTATTATTATTAGATCAGCAAATCCGATATCAATTATTATCTTGCTATCATGGTTCATAAGGTCTCATTATTTTGGCGATTAATAGGCGTATCAAACAGGTCGAAGGTGTACGTGGATATTTTAAAGGTCTTGGACCTAATTTGGTTGGAGTAATTCCAGCAAGGTAATAGAGAGAGATATACAAAAAAATTACTGCTCAATTGAATTGAAAAGGCTGACACTATTTCTTTTGCATAGATCAATTAATTTTTATACATACGGAAACGGAAAGAAATTTTATACCGAACTTAATAATGGAAAGGAAACACCAATTGTTCATCTGGTATCTGCAGCAACAGCTGGTAAGATTTAAAAAATTGTTATTAGTATCATATATAAAGAAAGGATGTGATTAAGGAATGAAACGAATGATAAAAGGAATATATATATATATTAAAAAAAGAGAAAAATAGACAAATCTAAATATTTAATATATCTATATCTATATATATATATACCTGGGTGCTTAAATAGGTCTTGTCACTGCAACTGCTACAAATCCGATTTGGGTTATAAAAACACGACTTCAGTTACAGGGTAACGGAACAAGGAAATATACAAGTAGTTTCAATTGTGCTGCAAACATTTTACGGGGTGAAGGCATCCGAGGATTCTACAAAGGAATGAGCGCTTCTTATTTAGGTATGAAACATGCTTTAGATTTTACATATAACGTATATAACACACAATTTAGCGAGATAAAAGAAGTAAATGCGAGGTGCGATGTGATGTGGTATAGAGATAGAGTACTAAATATACGATTGATCCAGGTGTGGCAGAAGGAACGATCCAATGGGTGATATATGAGCACTTGAAGCAGAAATGGGCCACACCAAAAAAAATTAAAACAACACAACTTGATTTGCTGAAACCTGCAAATAGATTAATAGGTGGTAAAAGTGTGCAAGGTAAGTTTTGAATTTATTATTTAAAAACAATTTAGCTTTAGTACAAGAGAGAAAGGTTGCTTTCAATTGTTATTATTTTAGAGATAATTATGATAATTAATTAACCGAATAATCCATTATAATAGATTGGGCAGGCCATCTGGGCGCAGCAGCAGTATCAAAACTGATAGCAGCGTGTGTAGCTTATCCACATGAAGTTATTCGTACACGTCTTAGACAACCAGCAGAAAATGGCATACACAAGTACACCGGCCTTTGGCAATGTTTAAGGCTGATAGTCAAGGAAGAAGGCATGGTGGCATTGTACGGAGGCATGACAGCTCATTTGATGCGAGTAGTACCAAATGCTGCAATCATGTTTTTCTGCTATGAAGCTATTATACACAACTTTGGAGACAGCTCTTCTAAACCAAAGGCCTAAACCCAACAAAAAAAAACACCAAAAATTCATATCCATTTTCAACCCTTTCTTTATTTTTTGCTATAATTTCTTCCTTTCTATACTTCTTTACAATTAATTTTCTTTATTATTAGTGTAAAAGTAAGAAGAGAGAGGTAATATAAAAAAAAAAAAGAAAACAAAATACTATACTCCACCATTAGATAAAGCTACATACATAAAAAACCCCAATCCAACTCATTCAACACAAAATAAATACGTGTTTTTCAAAATAGCATAAACCCACATCTTCTCTTGTAAAAATTATATAAATGAATAGCATAATGTTTTGAATAGAACATTTGGAGAGAGAATACTGGAACAAAGGAGTGGAGATAGTTTATACAAGACACACTCTTGGATGATAAAAGATCTATTTAGGATAACGCTGTTATGTTCTGCTTTAAAAACAGGTAGTACAGAAATAGCAAATGCTTGAAAATATTCTATAAATGAACTACACTTTCTAGTGCAATTGACCAAAAAGATAAAAAGAATTACATTGCATTGCATTATATTTTATTGTTGTTTTATTGTAATGCTTTAAATAATAGAATATACAATATATATATATATACATATATATATAAGCTTAATTTCTTTATATACTCTTAAAAGAATATCTTGTGTATTTATAATATACCATGCTTGTATTTACTGTACAAAGTATCTTGGGAATGGTAATCAAACTCTCCATTGTTCGTTGGATGAAGAATTGAAAGCAGAATTTAAACATGGATCAAAGAAAGAATGTCTGAGTGCAAATTAGTCAATAAGCGTTTATATATATAGAAATTGATCTCCGCTTTCAAATGTTCCTATAACTAATCTTGTTTCTTCCTAGTGGTTTCTTAAACAAGTTTATAAGCTATCACTACGCCAAAAAAATAGGAGTTTTAGAGGTGGTTTCACAGGTGGTTCCGGAGGGGAAGCCAGGGCGCGTTTTGTGTCCTCCCCCCTTTTTTCCAACCCTGAGTTCATGTGCATTTTAATACATCTCCGCTTACCGGTAGTTTTAAGATTCTATTAATATATTGATAACCTTTTCTTTTGCTAATATTTGTCTTTCAATTGGACAAAACTTCTTTAAGTATAGTTGAAATATTATATGCCATTGGTTACTACTAATTCATTATTCTTTTAATTTAGATTCTTTTAAATATTTCTTGCTTAATCATTGTTTTTATTGGATAAGACATAATTGCACTGTAGTGTATTTTATAAAAATACATTTTTATTGGTTTCTCAAATGGATATATTTTTTATTTATCGTTTTTATTGGTTATTACACTACACAATTACATTTTATATATCACTTTTATTGGCTGTTATGATAGACATTACATTTTATACATCATTTTTATTGGTTATAAACAGTCAAATACATCATATACTTCCAATATTAAATATACTACTTTACACTGCAGTGGATAGTTACTTACAATTGCCTCCTTTGACGGTCTTTCCAGAGATGACTGACTCTTGCAATGGATGCCCAATTTTGATGGCATCTGGTGAAATCTATACCAACCCTCTTAAGCATGTTTACATGTTTATTGCAAATCATTGTTCGATCACATCGCTGGTGAGAATCCAATTCCTGCCAGCACAATGATACAGCTTCCTCTGGGTAGACAGCTTGCAGTTGCTTTGGCCAACGACCGCACCAGAAAAGAGATGCTGTATCGCCACCATCATACGCAAAAGGCTGATGGCAGCATTTCCGATGTCTTTGACGGACAGGCATACCAGTCAAATAAGCATCTTTTCTCGGGTGAAAACGACATTGCCATTTCGCTGTCTGTTGATGGGTTTGCTCCCCATAGTGTTCCGGGTTCGGTAACCATTGTCCACGTTACCAACCTCAACCTTCCCCCAATGATCCGCTACGAGCGCAGCCGTATGATCCAAGTCGCGATCATCCCTGGTCCCAAAGCACCCGCCGACTTCTGGTCATTCCTGGAGCCTGTTCTGAAAGAACTTCGGGTTCTCCAAGCCGGTGGAATGGTTGTGAAGACACCATCTGGAGATATTAGTGCAAAAGTCCATGTACTAATGACAACTGGCGACATCCCAGCTCTGGGAAAGATGGCTTGTCATGTGGGCCATATGAGTAAGGATGGCTGCCGCATCTGCCACGTTGTGGGTCAATCTCCTGGCCATGGCCAATATTTCCGAATGCCATCTGCCATCACCATGCGCACACCGGAAAGTTTCAAGCACTTTGTTGAGGTGGCCTCATCCAGCAAAAAAGGGTTAACTGGCCAATCTCCCTTCTCCTTACTGGATTCCTTCTCTGGTCCGTTCTTCTTTGCATTGGATGAAATGCACGGCATTTGTCACGGCATTTGTCACGGCATTGGCAAACAGGTCTGGGGGCTCGTGTGTGGCAAGTATGGAAAAGATCATCCTCTCTCTCTCCCTTGCTGCTCAGAAAGAAATTGGTACTGCCATGGTGTCAACCAGAAGAAGTATTCCGACATCTTTCCACGGTGCATGGATCAACATCGCAACAAGATCAGGGTACTTCCGGGCTGTGGACTGGGCTGACTTCATCTTGTTTGTTATCCCCACGCTTGTGGCAGAGCGTGTCCGTGACCAAGCTGCCCGTAAGGCATTGCTTGACCTGGTGCAGACATGCAACCTACTCATGAGCTGGGAGTTATCAGCAGAGGAGAAAACCTTGATCAAAACGTAAGCTTTAATTATAATTAATATTATTATTTTATAACTTGTGTTAACTTATCTTTTTTTTTTAGAAATCTCGTCGCATGAAATGCGTATCTGGAAGCCTCGCTAGCTAAAGGAGAGGTCCAGCTCAAGGTCTTTACGATCAACCAGCACCTCCTGCAGCACTATCCCGCAATGATAGAAGCGTATGGTCCCCCCAGAGCGTATAGTGCACGATCTGTCGAGAGGGCGATTGGGGAATACTCGCGAGCAATAAAGAGTAATTCGGCAATTGGAATCAACGCTGGCAACATCATGCTTGGCTTGACACAGATTCGACAGATGAGAGTTGAAAATTCAATAACGACAACAGCAACAGTAACAGCAACAACTCTCCTTCAGTATGACGATCCCTCTGCTGGTTGGCCAATTGACCGAGAAGGTAGTAATGTTGGTACTGATTCTGACATTGAGTTCTGGGGGCCTTTGAGGAACAGAACGATTGTTGATAGTTTGGGAGGCATTTCTTGTCTTCCAGAGCTTCTTCAAAAGTTCTACGAATCAAAGGGGGAAGAGTGTAGTATGATTGAAGCAGCCATTAAAACAAGCCGTAAGGCATTTGTAAATGGTTGTGTTATTGACTCTGCACTCGACCATAATTGTGTAAGAGAGGCACATAACGTCAGACTTCAGGTTCAGGTTGATGAGAACCGCAACATTGGGCAAAGCTACTCTCCAGTCTACAAGGATTTCTTTGGGAAGGTCGTCGTTTTCTTTGAGCACAAGCTCAACAACAAGAGGTGGCCGCTTGTCCTTGTCAATGTTTATGCAGTTCGTTTGGTAAATAGTATACCAGCAATCAACAATGGGCAAATGAAGCCAATGGTAGTTCACCTGGCAGATGTCAAAGAATTAGTTGGTTTGGTGAAGTCGGACGCGACTATAAACACAATAACAACAACAGCAACAACATATGTAGTGTGGCCAGAGCTTAACCGCGGCCCAAAACTGTCACTTGGTTCTCTTGCAGACTTATAATTTTTTTTTCTTGTAATACATTATTTTTTTTCAAATTGTCAACATATTTTATCCTCCCAGCAAAAAGTTTAGATATTTTTCTCTCTTTTACCTCTGACTTTTAATAGTCATCAATTGCAATCTACATTTACTAAAAATGTAAAATCTGTAGTTAAAATGTACTTTTGTCTATCAGGAGATTTAATTTTAGGTGGTCAATCTGCTTTTTGTCAACCTTTTCAAAAAACAGAGATTTTCTAGTTTCAAATTGGATTTTTGGTGATTTTTTAATTATTATAGGCCAAAAACAGTCACAAATACAAAAATCCGCCCCTATTTGTCGTAGTGATAAAGAAATATTGTTAATCGCTAACTGAATTTAAAGAGAGCGATACTTTAAACAGTATTAAGAGAGAATCAGCATATTGTCATATATGAAGTTCCAGTGAGTTTACGTGTTAAGTGATGACTAAAATACTAGACACATAATTTAATCCCTACACCATTGTGTGGGTGTATAAAATTTGTGTGCAACATGTTCGGACAAGAGAGAGGGAGAGAAAAGCAAGTCACGATATGTAAACAAAACAGTAAACTGTTTTTATGGATGATTTATTTTCAATACTCATTATTACATTCTATCTTTAATCTTCAGCATCACTTTCCGAAGAGGTAAATATACTGTCATTATTATTACTGTAGACTATATATGCAGGTACATGAAGCCTACATCTAGCTATATATTATTTTTTTCACAATGATGATATCTTTGGTAAACGGAATTCTCGAAAGAGTCCCACAACCACCAAGAAATATAGTTTATTTTATTGGATTGAGTTCGTGGAATGACGATATTAGGCTTTTCTGAGTGAAAGAATGAATAATTATAAAAAGAACAATAATAAGTAAAGAGAAACAAACAGATTATATATTTCTGTATGTAACAAATAATAACAAAATCTCATTATTTCTTATTTATCTTAGGAATCTCTGCTCGATTTCTACTCTTTTGATTACGGCTAATTAGTTTGATGAGAATTTAACTTCTTTTACATATATCAAGACTATCAATAAATAGATATATAGACTTGGTGTCGACAAAGATAGCTTTTATTCTTATTTTGACAAATGCAAATGAAAATAAAATCCATAATTATTATATTTATGAAGCAAATATTGATATAAAAGAATAACAGTCGGTAAGTTTTGAGCCATTACTGGTAACATCGCCAATAAACTTCTCCCAAACCAATCCATACAGTGGTATAATACAGTGTTTCTACTTGAGATTGATACAAGTTAGGAAATTCTTTAGACGAAACAAAAATGAAATCCAGACAAAAAAATAGTTTTCAGATGATTTGGAAATAAATATAAGTCTTCCTACCTGCAACAATATAAATACTAAGAAAAAGAAAACTGTGTTTGATGCTACAATTATTTCTTCTTTGGTATGAAGACATCTGGTCTTCCTTCTCCTGACCAAATTGGCTTGGAAATCAATATCATGTTGTTGGCTGCATTAGAATCTCTTTTCCATACTTTGTTGCATTGTTTGCAAGATACAACAGCTACACCTTTAAATGGGTTTGTCTTTATAATCTTCATGTCATTAAAGAAACAGAGGCTGCGTGTTTTTGAGGTTTTGAATTCGTTGATTGTAATAATAATCAACTGGCCTTCAGCCTCTTGTTTCTTTAGCAACTTATAAAGTTTGCCAACAGCACCACATCTATGTCTTTTTAATTTGACATCATCTTTACCAAACATTCCACTACCAAATACAAGCAAAGGAACTTTGGTACTGTCTTGCTGATACTTGGTAGGCTTCCATCTGTCTCGTCTTTTTTTAAAAACAAAGAAATAAGAAACATTTACAAACAAGAAAAAGTAAACTGTTTACTTGGTGCAAGCCCGAGTCAAACTTTCAAAAGTGGTGTCGCCATTATTCTTCTTTACCTTCTTTGTCTTGTTGTATTTGCTGCCACAGTTTATCAGCATGTTGGTCATTATATTGGGAGCTTGCTGCCCACTTTGATACAAGAAGGTGTCTTTTGTAGTGTCGAAGCACAAATCTTAGAAGCACGACATTTCCCGGTAGGAGACGACATTTTGATTCTACCAGTTCACAAATTGTTATCTTTTGCCAGCATGGAATAATTCTATCTGGTCCCTAAGGATCAGTTTTTACTATAATAATTCATATAAACCAGATCACAAAATCTGCATAAAATTTTTCTTTTGTGCTTTGCAAAAGAGTGAATGGGGATTACTTACCAGTTGGTGCTGTCAAACTCTGGGAATATACGTAGATGAGAGAAAGAGAAATAAATGATACGTGTAGGTAAGCTAATAAATAATAAGTTATCAAACAATATTGCGTCAGACTCTAATGACAACAACTCCTTGTGATCTTCTACATAACTGGCTATTGATATAGTGTATCTGTGACTAATTATTATTTCTCTATTGTCAAATTTAAATTTAGGAAGCAAACGGCTACTAATTGAATATACAGGACTCTTTTTTTGCATGATACAGCATTTTATTATTAAATTGTCCCAAAAATAGGCCGTACTTCTTAAAAGAATGAAAGTTAGGTGCCTGGCGAAAGATTGATGAATGCACAAAGTGTGGGGATAAAGTAGTAAAGCTAATGCGTTCAATAGATATATTATATTTTTTCAGGACACGCCATTTTGCCCTAATGGATTAGAGAAAGACACCGGGTCCCGGACAGGTAGTCCTGATTAATTAGTCCGGTTAGACAGAAACGTCGTGCTTCACCAGGAAATGTTGTCCCCGTAAGATTTTTGGGAAGATGTTGCTGCGGTTCACGCAAAAGAATGCTTAGAAAGATAATTGAGGTTCCGAGAAGCTTAAATTTTGGCACAGCATATGTGACTAGTTAATAAAGCAAATAACCCACTCCCCCTCTTTTTTTTTTTAGTCTTGCTTATAAAATAACAATAATACAATCGTTAATTGTTTATTATATAACCCAATTAATTCACCAATGGCTGTTGTTACCTCCCCACCAATTTGTGCTTCTATTGATTGCACCAAGGAAGCACATTTGCAATGCCCTACATGCGTTAAGAACAACAACAAGGAAGATTCCTTTTTCTGCTCGCAGGATTGTTTCAAGAAGAGTTGGGTATGCAAGCTTAACAATACCAGCTTATAGTTGAAAATTACTCATTATTTATACCAAATGCAGGGTTCCCACAAGGCACTCCACCAGTCCCAACGTAAGCTATACTACAATCAAGAATGATCTTGGAAATGATAAAAAGAAAAAGAAAAAGAAAAGCCAATCAATAACGATCTCTCGCCTTACCTTTTCATTCATTTATTTGTTTATCAGGTGGACCTTATGATCCTTTCCCAACCTTCAAGTACGCTGGGCCTCTCCGTCCTGTCTACCCTCTCTCTCCTCGTCGGGTAGTCCCTGATTCAATTGAAAAGCCAGACTATACTGAGACTGGTATATATGCATTTAATTTAACTTGACAATTAATACTTTGACATAATTCTGGCGCTAATAATATTAAAATTATTTACTGCTATTATTATTATTATAAAATAAAGGTATTCCAAAATCCGAGTTTGCTGAATCAAGAAACACAAGCATCAAGGTTCTCACCCCCGAGGAAATTGAGGGCGTAAGAAAAGCATGCAAGGTAATTCACTTTCTCTCTCTCTTTTATATAAATATATATACTTATATCTAAAGTCTAATTATTCCGATTAAAGATTACACGCGAGGTTTTAGAGATTGCAGCAAAGTCCATTCAAGTTGGAATTACCACAGATGAAATTGGTAAGGATTTTATCGACAATCGAAAAGAATACAGTAAATGGAACAAATAAAGAGAGGGATACTCACAACACACATCTCTCAAATGATTACCATTATTATTTATAAAAACAATAACAATTAAAAGATCGCATTGTTCATGAGGCAACTATTGAGCGTGGTGCTTATCCTTCACCTCTCAACTACAACTACTTCCCCAAGTCTTGCTGCACGTATGTTCATAAATAACATCCATTATTTTAATATTTAATAGTCTAATACAAAACACGAAAAATCATCATTTTTCTCTTGATCTGTATCCATCATTTTTAGTTCTTTGAACGAAGGTAAAGGCCTATTTATTTATGTTTGGTCCTTTTTGACAAGTGTCTCGTGTTAAACTAATTAAAATGGAATAGTCATTTGTCACGGAATTCCTGATCAGCGCAAGCTAGTTGATGGTGATATTCTTAACATTGATGTCAGTTGCTTCTACAAAGGTTTCCATGGTGATGCCAATGGTACCTATTGTGTCGGAAATGTTGACAAGGCTGGAAAGAAGCTTATTAATGTTACACTCGAGTGTTTGAACAAAGCTATTGCTGCAGGTAATATCCTTTTATATATATAATACTACTATGCATACTAATCAATCATTCAACTAACTTTTGTCAAAACACATTAGCAAAACCTGGTGTCAGATACCGTGATTTTGGAAAGATTATCGAAGAGCACGCCACAAAGAACGGATTCTCTGTTGTGCGCGCCTTCTGTGGACACGGTATTAACCAGCTCTTCCACTGCTCCCCCAACGTGCCTCATTATGCTAGTAAGTTTTCCAACTTAACTTGAAGAATTTATTTAATTTGATTTAATCCAATTGATCAATTGATTGATTTATTGATTCCCTTTTTTAATTTACTTTTTATAGACAACAAGGCCATTGGTATTTTGAAGCCTGGCCATATATTCACTATTGAGCCAATGATCTGCGAAGGCGTTTACCAGGAACTTCTCTGGTAAGTCACAGCTCATATTTCTATATATTAAAAAGAAGTTCGCTTGAAAGCTTATATTGTGCTGTACTGTGTAAATAGGCCTGATAACTGGACCGCAACCACAAAGGATGGCAAGCGCTCCGCACAATTTGAGCATACTCTTCTTGTCACTGAGAATGGTGTTGAAATCCTTACTTAACTAGCAAGCAGGATTATTATATAAAATAAAATAAAAATAAATGCATAAACTCATAAGACACAAATAACATTAGCTTTATAAACATGAATTAAAACACCAAAATAATAATAAATAATGCATTTAAAATACCGGGCTTTGATAGCTAAAGTACAATCTGATCCATATATCTTTCGTAGCTCTTATTCCTTTAATATGCTTTCTCTACATGCTAAGGTGTCTTTTAAAGAAGTACAATATACTGTAATCAAGTTGAGCTAAAATTGACTACACAATAAGAACCAAGACACAATATCTGGGAAAATTTGGTCAATTTATTGATTGGTTAACAACACGTATATGTATATATGGTTACTTTCAATATTTATTCTTTCAATACCAACAAATAAGATATTTGAATGTTAAATAGCCTTAAACATTCCATGAAGTGTTCCGTTGTTTGGTGCTGGTGTTAGGTCCATAATATGTGTGATAAACTCATACACTTCTATATTTTGAAATGGTTCCAGCACCACACCTGCCTTATACTCACGCTCTACAGTCGGTCCTCTTGCCATGAAAATAGCCCGCATTTCCACCGCCTTATTGTCATAACCATGCATTCCACGAGGTCTGTAGTCTTTGCCGAGAGATGGATCAAATTCCTTGTGGGTGACAAATGAATAGCCTGGATCAGGTATGGTGACAATAGGCGCAATCCGCTCTGTAGAATTGTAGTGAAATCTCTCGGGTACATCTTGCCGTAAATAGACCTCGAAGTGGGGTTCATCTACACTTTGGGTATAAAGATAAAGAGCTTCATAAACTCGCTCAATGATATCTGGAGGTGCATCGCTGACAGGTCTTAGGCTTAAAAGTGGCCAAGCCTCGCGTTCCAAGTAAGGTAGAAGATCATGGGGTATAATATCGTCATAGTAGATCAACTGTGAAGAATGAGTTGCAGCCATACCATGATCACTAACCTATATGGGTTTGATGTATATATACATATATGAATTAAGAAGTTGTGTGTTTATGTGTAAAATGACAGACAATCTAATACTCACAATCACTACATGTACATGCGAGCCTAAATTTCGCTTATCCAATCCATTTAGCAGATGCTCTATAGCACTGTCCATATTTGATAGAACCATATTCATCTAAAGCAAAAACAAATATGTTTTTATACACACACACATGTAAGTGTATGTGTGTTTGTCGTTATTGAAGCAAGTAATTTTTTCCTCTTTACCTGAGGTCCATCTGGACCACCGCCATGTCCTTTTTGGTCAATCTGCGGAATATAAATAGCTATGACCTGTGGTCGTCTCTCCAAAGGAAGATCAAGCCACTTCAGGGCCATGTCCATCTTATCAACTGCAGACATGCTTCGGTCATAGTCGATAAAATAATCTGCAGTTGCTGAATGGATGGGTACTGCAGCTCCTGGCCACATTATAACCCCCGATCGTTTTCCTTGCAACGTAGACGTTGCCCAAATCTAATACATAAACAAGATTAAAATAAGCAACAAAACTAGGAGAATTTGGGCAATAAATGTATTTCCCATTTACCGGCTCTCCTCCCCACCAGCGTGGCTGAAGACTGATTTCGGGTTGCTTATGAATAAATCCAGCTTGAAGTAGAGGATCATAAAATTCATTTGCAACAATTCCATGCGCCTCTGGATAAAGGCCAGTAACGAGTGTCCAATGGTTTGGGAAAGTGATGGACTAAAAATATAGTTGTTTAAATAAAGGAAAACATTGAAAGGTGACAAAATTAATATTAGTGCCTTGTTGTTGTTTTTTGTAGATTTCTGTCTTACTGGAAAGGACGGATACATATGCTTTGCTTTGATATTCTTGGATGCTATGGCAAAATAGTAATTTTGTTAACATCATTTCTTTTTTGTTCTTTCTTTTTCTTTCTTTATTGTACGTATTTCCTACAACCTCCCCTTTTTACCAAAATTAGTCAAAGTGGGCGTTACACCTCTTTCAAGATAATCATTCCGGAACCCATCCAGCGACACCAAGATAACCGTTGGTTTAAAATGAGTAGTCCCGTTATTATACAGTTGTTCTGATCTGACACTTATACTTGAAATAAAACCCAAATGGGTAAATATGAAGCAAAGAATCCAAATCAATCCACCCAGAGCAACAAATGATAGAATTTTACGCCAACGACTTGTGTGCTATAAAGTATATATATATATAAATCAACCTTATTATGTTGATTTCATTGTATTATTCCATTTATTAAACGCCAATATACCCAAATCTGAAGATACCATGTTGACTTTCGATAAGACGGATGATCATGCCATCGAGTTCCTATTGTGGCCTCCTCATCAAGCAGTCTTTGTTGGTCAAACGAGGGATCCTGAGCCACAGATTCATCTACTGGTGATGATAAGCGAGTTGGAGAAGTGGAAGAGTCTGGAGTTCCTCGTTTTGTTCGTAATGAGAGCGATGCCTTGTCACGAGGAATTGTCATTAAAGGAAAGAAAGTGAAAGCACACTCACTCACTCAAGCACACATAATGAGCTCTTTTTTATTTTATTTTTTTGAATGAAAGATATAAAAACTAGGTTTAAATATCCGCAGACAATCCCTTTGCCTTCTCCTTATTTTGTGTGTGTGTGTATCTATTTTATATTTCCACTTCCTCTTTTAAATATTTGATTTCGATGCGTACTAGAAACCTCATTCATCTCCAAATTACCAATCACAAGGTAATCTACACTTGGGAATTAAGAAAATAACTTTAAGAGACAGAAAGAAAAGAGAAAGAGACAGAGAAACGAGTACACACATTCAAATTCAAAAAGGCTATGCGTTTACTTTTGTATATCCCTCGTGAAAAACTAACTTGGTACGATGAACAAGATCGACATCAATCAGTATTGGATATATTAAAGCCAATTATTCATCGGTATCTGCTTATTGATCAAGACAAAACTACCTCAAAGCAGAAGAAGGCAATGGAGTCTGCAAAGGTTATATCTCAAGGTATATATCTACAATACCATGATAGTTAAATTTCTCCGTTAGACTTTAGTAACCAAATCTTTTTCTCTCTTTCTGTATGTATGTGTGTATGTATTAAACAGATACTTTCCAAATTGTCTATCAGTTTGTGCCTTATATTACACAAGAGACAATGCTTACTAGGGTGAGTTTTTTTAATAAACTAGATTCATATTTGTGCTTTGTTCTGCCTTTTTTTATGGGGAATATGGATAGAGACTAGTGATGTTGTGATGGTGTGATGGTGTGATAAGCGCATGTATGTGTATGTGTATGCGTGTGAGGGTATGAAAGGGTAGATCAATATCATATTATTGACAGGTAATAGGAGCACCGAATTATGCTAGAAAATAATGGTCAAGACGCGCTGCCAACAAAACGCACGTCGTTCTCACCCCTTGCGATTTATGGCTTCCAACTCCTTGTGTCTTTAGCCGATCCTGACGTGAATACCAATACAAGTAGTCTCGACAACTATTTCTCAGTGGCATCATAAATCTCGGTCCATTTATCTCTTCATCTCTCCTCTCTACTCTTTATCAAATCAATACAAAACATATCCAATCCACCTACTCACGACATATTTTGAAGGCATCTTGTTCTTTATATATATATATATATGAGTTACAAAAAAACTCCTGCTTCTTCCTGAGTAGATTCTTGGGGTGTTTGATAACGTTCTCTAAAAGACGCAACATTGCTACCCATCTCCCGTGCTGCTGCTTCTCCAATGATTTCTCGAATGACACGTAATGTGAGATCAATGCGTTCTTCGTAATGCTTGATCAGAGCAATGTTTTCGCCAATAGCCTGTACGAAATCTGGATCGGAGTGGTCTGGATCGTATTCACGCATTTCATCATTTGATTTTTTCAAGTGGGCAATTGAGTTTTGAATTTCTGGGATCTCTGTCATAAGAGTATCATGAGGGAGTTGACGTAAAGCCTTTTCAAGTTGATCGAGTTGCATTGTTAAGTTTGAAAGTAAAGTAAATTAAAGAATACTCCTTCCCCTCTTTTTATTTTATTTTAAGTCAGTTTTCTGGTCTGAATTATCAAATGAAATCATTTATATTATTTATATATAGAATGTGTACGTAAGAAATGACAGTCAGTTTAAGGCAAGTAAAAGAAAAAAATGAGTGACATCAACTGAATCTTGGTTGTGAAAAGACAAAGGGGGTTGTTTATTTATATATTTATTATAATACAATGGCTGATAAAGAAGATATAAAGATATAAGTATATAAGGAAGTGTAGGAGAAGAAGTTTTTTTTTATATATCACGTTCTCTCTTTAAATATATATATTTATATATAGATAGATATAAACTATAGGAATGGTAACAACATAAGAAGGAAAGGAAGAAAGGAAGAAAGGAAGAAAGGAAGAAAGAAAAAAAGAAGATATGATACAAAATTTAAAATGAGAGAAGATAAAGGACCGGCTTTATAATTCTAAGTATCAAATATGATCGGCTGGACGCACATCTTCAAGAGGTATGTGTGATTGTCTGTGAGTATTTCCAGACTCACTGTCTTCTGCCTCTTGATTGTGCTCATCCACTGGAAGTCGCGACCATTCTCCAGCTACCACCTTCTTTTCCGGATCATAATCAACAGGTAACCAAGTAAGCCAGATAAGGAAAATCTACAAAGGATAATGATAATGATAATTAATAAGTAATCATAAAAATAGAGCATTTCTTTTTGAAAAGTATATTATATATTATATATAAAAGTAAACCCCGTTTGTAATATTTGATGTACCCAATCAATAGTAACTTACAATCCATGCCGAAGAAAATAATCCGATGAGAATGAAGGAGGTCAAGTCATTAATATGTCTCACGAATAGAAACACATCGAATCCAATGACAACGCACACAAGAGTTATGCATATTGCATGTATAGGAGTGGACAGTCTGAATTCAGCTGGAACGACATCAGAAGACCAGGATAATTTCATGATGGGTATAAGAACCGTAGGCAGGCAAATACTATGTATGTATATATGTAGAATAGATTAACAATGTGAACACAGTGTTTATGAAATATTAATATATATATATATAAATTATTTTTATTTTTATTTTTACCTTTGCAATACATTCAACATCTCTCCCATAGTATCAAAGTGATCGACTGCAAAGATTGCTACCAAGATTCCCGGGACAAGAGATATGCCTCGTGTAGCTGCCATACGATGCCACTCTTTCTTGAAGATCATCCCAAAGAACCCCTCACAAACATATTGACCAGCAAGTGTCCCTGTCATGGTAGAACTCTGGCCAGCTAAGAGTAATAATAGTAACATATATTCAAATTATTATTATTTCTTTCAAAAATTATTCAATTTTCATATGTTTTAGGTATTCATTGTCTTACCAGCTAAAAGTCCTCCTGCCCACAAATACTTTGCAGCAGGACCCAGTGTTTTGCTCAATACGGCCTCTGCTTGTCCCAGACCTGGAATTACTATATTCCCTACTTGTTCCGGATCGAAAAATACTACGATACATTTGCACGATTATGGAGGAGAAAAGGGGTTGTTAGTTTTATTAAATCTATATATCTATAAAAGTCAAATCTTACCTTTGGCAAACACAACTACAATTGCAAGGTTAACGAAGAAAGATAGGAGGAGTGCAAGTGCCGATTCGATGCCAAAATAAAAATTGGCTTCTTTAAGTTTGCGTACTGATGGATCTGGTCCAAGATCTCTTGATTTAACTAACGCGCTTGTGTAGAGTTAAATGATATGTGTAAGTAGATAGGTAGAAAAATGAGTACAATAAATTTATACACATATATGAATTATTATTATTAAAATAAAATAAAATAAAATAAAAGACGAGTATTAATATTAATATTACACAAAACTTTATCAATTATCTCGGTCAATTTATTCTCCTTACCTGTGCAGAAACATGTTGTGGGGCATAACGATGGCTCCCAACATACCAACTGCTTGGAGCTCTGTGTGGAGTGGGATTTTTGGAACAATCATACCCTTCATGATCTCTTTTACATCCGGCTTTGACTGTATTAACTCGACCCAAAAACAAACCGTCATTACTGTAATGAGTACCATGAAAAAGGCTTCGATTTTTCTCATGCCATAGCGTTGGATCATCATAAATGTGAGTGTGTCCATTGCTGTCATGATAACACCAGCCCAGAGAGGCAATCCAAACAGGATGTTGAGTGCCACCGCTGTACCAACAATCTCCATGATATCAGCACCAATGATGGCTGCTTGTGCAAATGCCCACAGGATAACTGACATGCGTGTTGAATAGCTTTGACGGATCAGTTGGGCTAAGTGGCTTCCGGTTATGATACCCAGTCGAGCAGAAAGTAACTGGAAAATGAGACCTTGTTTTTTTTATATGTGTGTGTAAAAATAAAATAAAATAAAAAATGACATAAAATTCACAAAGATCCAATTAGATACCTAGTCTACCTGCAGCAAAATACGTGCTTTGTCTTTTTGTTTACCAATCACATGTGCCCAAAAGAGTAACCAGAGCAGACTGTAACCCGCCACTGCGCCTGATTGTAAATCGGATTCTAGGTTGCCTGGGTCAAGGTAGGCAATAGACCTATTCATATTCTTCTCAGTTTATAGATTCTTCATAACTTACTCAATGGCACCAAAATTATAATATCCGTCTTACATAAGTAACCCTTTGTAAATATACAATAAGCAAATAATTAAAACGCTTGTAAATGTGTGTATGACATACATATATCAAAATGTCATGTCAAATGTTCTTTACCTGGCCCCGCATACTTCCACAGTTTTTTGAAAGAAAACCATTCATCTGTTACCGTGCCTGTGTCTACCTCTGGCTTTATATCAAGGTCACAAAAGAAAGTTGTACTTTCTGTATTGTCATGTCGGCGCTTGTGTTGAAAGCCATAACTACCCATGCCTTCCCCGAAATCAGACATGCTCATCCTATCATCGTTTAGAAGTAGATCTTCATGGTGGGCTTCATGTGGGACCATTGGATTATAAAAAATAAATAAATTAAAGAGGTGTGAAAATAAAGGAGCAAAAAAAAAAGAGAGAAAGAGAGAGAGAGAAAGAGTATATAATATTAATATACTATATAAAAAGAAATTAATATAGCAAGGATATGTAAAAATTGGTATCCTTTTTTTTTTACTTTTATTCACTGGACCATAAAAGGGAAAATGGGATTTAAAAAGAGAAAATAACTGTAGGAAAAGCCATAGCTAAATGAACGGAGATTAAATAATGAGCACAAAACAGTTTGTTTTTCCTTATAACTCTTATCTTCACCAAGGTTTTATTCTGATTGTGCAGCTCATTATATCTCCAATTGGTCATATACATATATATTGAAATATGAATATCTATATTTTCTGGCAGATTATAGAGTGTTACTCGATTATCTGGCGTATATTTTAGGAAACAATAAGCCTACAATTTACAATTTACAATTTACATTTTACAACACAATTATCTTCGTTTCAAAATAACCATAGTAATTTCACTTATTATTATGGTGGGCGTAAAATCTGAAAAGATTACTTTCATATATACTATTATTAATTTAAAGAAGGTAAATGAATAAAGGTCGAAACCCTTTTTTCGAAATAAGTCAATGTGAATTAAATAGTTTGCGTTCAAATATTTAATTATATACCCACTCAGTACTCAGTAATACAACTGTATAATCATTTTAGTACGACTGATTATTGTAGCTATTATTTCAGATACAGAACTTGCATAGGTTTCATTGGTAGTGGTAGCAGAATATGTAGAAAAAGGAAAAAAAAAAAAAAAGAAAAGGTGAATAATTAGCTTTGATTAATCTTTAGCAGGTACATGCGTTTGGATAATTTCGTCTTCATTCAACAACAAAAGCAGATGCTGAAGATAATCCATAATGGACTCTCATCTACAAACCACCGTACTTGTTAATTGACTTTCTTAATATAAGCAAAAGCAGAAGTATAAGTAGAAATAGCAGTCATTACTTCCGACATATTCTGCTTTCAATTTATTGTATTCTTGGTTGTTTGGTGAAAAGACTCATTGTACCATTTCGTTTAGCTCAATTCTGCAATGTTCGAGAGTAAGCCAATATTCAACATCATGAACTAAAATAAGGGAAAAACAAAAAAGGGAAAAATCCCCCAAGTTTTTCAAGACGTGTACTCCTTGACCTTCTTTTTCTTTTATAAAAATTGTCTTCAATTGATTACACTAGGATTCAATAGGGAATCTCCCCCGCTTTCTATGATTGACTTTTCCTAGTTTGTGTTACGGCGTAGCAATGAATACGTTTATGGACCCTCCCATTTGCGTATTCACGTTTTCCTCATTTATTTATCTTGACGATCAAGTATTATCTTTTTAAAAGGATTTTTTTTATTAGAAAAACCCCAGGGCTTTTCACACGATTGTTTTTATATCCAAGTGTAAGAACTAGTCAAGACATTATTCAGAATGAATATTGGAAAGTGTGTTATATGCTTTCTTGATAAATGTCATACAATAAAATGGTCAATGGCAATAATTTCAGCTTAATAAAGCCTTATATGAATCTTTTTTTTTCTTTTCTTTTCTTTGAAAATCGAGAAAAATCTGCAAGGGTATCAAGTTTAAGAGGCTGCGTTTTTATTTTTGTTTTCTGAAGTATGATTCTAAAGTTGGAAACAATACAAAAAAGAATTTTTGTAAGTTTTAATCTAATGACTTCAAAAAAACAGAGTGTTGATATTTCTGAGGTAGATTTTAAGGTGAGTAATGCATATATGTGATTTACAAAGCTTGTAAACTTTATATACATATATTAACATCGTGTGAACAGATTAAAAGTTCAAAAAAAGATAAAAAATAGTGCAAATTTTAAGTTATATCATTGGGCGAGAGCTTTAAATAATTTTGCCCTTTTTTCGCCCTTTTGGTGTGGACAGACTAAAAGTTTAAAAAAGGGCAAAAAAAGGGCAAAATTGTAAGGCATACATGGGTTAAAGTTTTAATTAATTTTGTCCCTTTTTTTGAGATTCAAAAAAAAAGCAAAAAAAGGGTAATTTTTTTAATCAACTCTAATTGGCTAGCTTTCTTCCATTATCATTACGATTGAGAAAAGGCGCATCCTTTATGAAGATGTACCATATAATAAGAGGTATTGAAAAATTCGCAATAAAAGATTTTCACTTGACGATAGAGACTCTATTATAAGTATAATTTTATCTAAGACGTACTTGAACTAATTTTGAACATTTTTTTTTTAAAAAAAAGGTGTGGACAGTCATAAATTAGTCTGATTAACTAAGTTCTGGATAAACTTGATGTATCCTTTTTTTTTACACCTTTTTTTTTAAAAATTTAAAACTATTTAAACAGCAACTTAAACAAATAGATATCTTTGGCTTGTACCATATACTTCTCAAGCAGTTTATTAAATAGTTCTGTGCAAGAATATATATATTTCGGCTGCAAAAGATTTTGATTAAAATTAAATCCGATCCGAGCTATAAGCAACAATATGAGGTTTAATACATCTTTATAACAGTTTGATCCACTGGATATTTATGGATCAATTAACACTCTACTTCCTTTAATTCGCTTTCTCTCTCATTTTCTTTTTATTTATAAGTCTAATCCAAGTTGATATATATCTATATATTATCAAGTTATTTTAAAATGAATTGTGTTCATATACTAAAAGTTACTCTAGGACTATATATATATAATCTGTTAGTATATTTCAGATGAGCTCTTACACCTACCTTTTTTCCCTCTTTAATACACACGCACACACTTGGGGATCTGTCTACCAGTCAATTGGCTGCACTGGTACAATATATACGATATTGTCTATTTCTTTTTATATCTTTTTACAAACTAAGGGTTCTAATCGACAATTCGGACAGCACGCACTTTTTTGTAAACTGGTATTACTGATCGGTGGTGCAGACACCCTTTGTGTACCCACAAGTGAAAGAATCATAGCAGGGTCCATTGACAGGGATACTGTTACCCATACGAAGGTTTAAAGACCGTATGGTACTCACTTACAATCGTTGAGAGAGGACTGTGTATTCAAAACCCTTCACTGTGCTGTAACCAAAACAAAAAAAAATCTTTTTAACGATGGCTTGAATCTTCTTTCGACATTCCGCCATCCCAGTCGAGGATCTTCATTCCTGTTGGGGATCGTCATTCATATTGTATTGCAACTCAAAGTGGACCGAAAGCGACGCAATACGAAAAGGAAGCGCACTCTTTTGAAAAATAAAATAAAAAATGAAATACTCTTTATTTTATCTTTTTGACGACTGTTCACTGTATATGCGGCTCTAACAAAAAATAAGCCCTTGGTCAAACCTTTGTGTCCCTATAAACTTCGCCCTGCTCTCAAAGTCGACAATCATCGCCACTCTATTGTTTTCTTTTTTCAACCCTGTACTAACAACAACTTCGCACTGCTCTCAAAGGCGACAGTCATCGCCACTCTATTGTTTTCTTTTTTCAACCCTGTACTAACAACAACTTCGCACTGCGTTCAAAGGCGACAGTCATCGCCACTCTATTGTTTTCTTTTTTCAACCCTGTACCAACAACAACTTCGCACTGCGTTCAAAGGCGACAATAGCAATCATACTATCTTTCTTATTTTATCACTACTGAAAAATAGAAATAAAAATAATAACCATATAATCAAACTTCAGCACTCGGAACCCATATACTCTATTCTTTTATATCTGGAGTGTCATATACTACTATTCTCAGAACTGTCTTTTTACTTTCGCATGCACATAATATTTATATACTTTTACCTTCAAGATCTTCTTCAATAAAAATGACCCCATCCTATCACACATAATTTTTAAAAATTCTTACTTTTAGTATATCTTTAAATATCCAGTTCTAGACCAAACAGCCATCGTCTAACACAAAGTCCTACCATAGTAATCTTTCTTTATAGGTGCACCCCATAATCCTCGAACCTACATTATTTAAAAAAAAACATATATTAGGCTTATGATTATATTTTAATCTTTAATTAGATTAATTACTAATATAATAAAAATTATAAAAGCATGGTGACATGAAAGACATATTATGAAAACCACTAGACAAAACAATAGAGTGCCCATGTCATATTTTGCAATTACCAACATACACGTCACAAATATACATGCATTTTCTTTTTTTTCTTACTTATATTTAGGTCAAGTGTTTATCGCCGTTACTACTTCAAATTAGATCCGGCGTTCAATTCCCAATAGAGTATATGTTTGTGTGTTTTTGTTTCATATATCATGGTAGAATCTTTTGACTTTTTTTTTAAAAAAAAAATTGGTAAAGATTACATATTTTAATAGGATTATATCTTTTGATGATTAAATATTATGTGCGTTATTCGAGAACAATTGATAGACTAGTATTAACTTTATAGTTCTGGCAGATGTTATATTTTTATACTAATCATGCAAAATGATTAACGTGTTAAATAAAGAAGCTATAATAGTTGTTGATTTATTCAAGCATATCATTCTTAGTCGCAAGTGAACAAAATAAAGTAAGATAAAATTTTTCAAAATCTGACGTTTATATTAATCAGCGTAAAGCAAGTGATAGCAACTCAAAAAAGCAATAGATTTAATTGCTTTATAGTATAAATACTAAGTTAGTATTGAAAAAAAAAAATTAATATTTTCACTTTTATATTTTTTTGTAATAAGCATTTATTAAAGACAACAGAATTTTTGTCTCTTATTTTTCTTATTATTTTTTTATTTTTAATATTTACTTTTTATTGTATATGGAAGTAGTTACAATTTTTTTCAGAATTAGCAGTAAATGTTTGATCACTTGGTGTGGGCCGACTAAAAGCTCAAGAAAAGACCAAAATTAATTAAAACTCTTGCCCAATGATATGACTTAAAATTTGCTTTTCTTTTGCCCTTTTTTGAACTTTTAGTCTGTCTACACCAATTTTTTTTGTTTTCACATCATTTTATCACATAGAAGAATATGTGAGCAAAGACATGTATTTCTTTGTAGGTTAATTCAATTTCTTCTTCTTCTTCTAATATATATATAGTTATTATATTCTACTTGGACAGCAATATTCGATTCATTTTAATTTTCTACCAACCTGCCCACTATACCAAATCCCGGCGGCCATCTAATCGTAGCATGATTCAAATTCCGAAAAATTCTAAAGACCGATATTGCGCCTCTAATGCCACTTTTCTGTTACTCTTCTTTATTAGCTATTGATAGAGCCAAGAAGCATACAAATACAACGAGTAGAAGTCGAGAAAAGTAGAATCGTATGAATTTTATTTTTTGATAAAATAATAATTTTTGAATTTTTTTAAAAATATTATAAATGCCGACTGAAATCGATCGTTTTTTTTTTTATTTTTATTTTTATTCTTAATGATTTTATCTATTTATTTTACTGTGTTGAGTATTTCTGAATAATATCTATAGCTTATTAACATGTTCTCTATTACAAAAATTATATATGTATAGAGAAGATGGATTTATATAATATTGGTTTGCACAACTACTTTTATCAAGCAATAACATGTTGGTGTTTTCTTCCTTTTTTGTTTCTAGAAATTCCGATGAATCTAAGAAAAGTAGCAAATTACGGAGCTGCGATTGTGTGATGTAACAAGAGAAAATCATCTGGCACTTCGTATGGGATTGATATAAGAGAGATCCAAACGAGATTTCACAACCTTTTAAGCTTCTGTAGATTTAAACAAAGAATTCTTATGCCGTGAATTTCTAAAAGAAAATAATAATAATAATGAATAACAAAGACATAATTTTGTCTGAAATTACACGTAATCGTATTTGAACATCGATATGATTAACCAGTGCACATGAACAATCACTCAACGCCCAATATTCTCAGAGACATTGCGGTTGAGGCGGATAGGTAAAAACAAAATTATAATGTTTGTGTAGATGTACTGGGGTCTGGTGTCTTTTGACATCATATACTATCCGGATAAACTAAACGGTTTTGAAGTAACAAAATAAACCCTTTGTGAATACAAGTAGAAAAGTAAGGTAATCAGACAAAGCTAGACAAGATGTTATCAGTGTAGGAGAAAAATAAAAATCATGAGTGGGGTTGGGTTATGGAACCATAATACACAGTAATATCGATACAATGTAGATTTACTATAAGTATGTTTAGGTTTAACTAGAGAGAATATATGGATGCATCATAGCTGCTATATCTGATATTAGATACATGAACGGATCACTCTTGACAGGATCTCTTGTTGAAGGATATGAACGCAAACGTTTTAGCACGTAACTTGGATGTAGCGTCAATGAGGAGTTGAGCAAAGTTTGGTTGCGGCAATTGAGGTAAATAGCTTCCCAGATGGCACAGGGTAAATTAATAGCAAGTTATTCATATTTCACATTTGTGTCATTTAACCATGTGCGATCATGTTTTATACACGCAAAAAAAATCATGTATTTGATACGGGGTGATCAAAGGGGTTGCACTGGATGTTGAGTGTTGGAACTTTACGTAAGTTGTTCTGTGTGCCAGCGACTTGCTCATACATGTTTTATGGGCAACTCTTCTGCAACAATTGTATAGTAATATTATTAAAACAAAGCAAAATAAATTAAAATGCAATGGTAAGATATGTAATAAAATATCTCAAATTCATTGGTGTCTGTTTATATTCTAAAGTAAATTGGTTTGTGTGTGTGTGTGTGTACAGGATGCTATTCCCAGAAGCGTTGTATTTGTCATTCATGATAAATACTACTATTTCACCTACAGTTGGAGGATTATATTCTTGTTGATATTGTGGCTCGTAAAACACTCCAATGCAAGAATGTTTTAACGATAATAATTACATTTATTCGTGCTACTTGATTTATAGTCTACATCAGAACTGCTTACATTAACTATCGTTTCACACACGTTAGTGTATAGAGCACTTTAAGGTAAGGTACTAGAACGTGTAGGGCTGGTAGACAAGACGGGCTGGTATAACCGCAATATTTTTTCATCGTTGTTCTTCACCCCATATTTGATCCTGTAGAAGTATATGCAATAGTATATTATAGTATAACGTATTAAAATAAAATTAACAATGAAATATTTACTGTTCAAAGAAAACTGTCTATCAAAAATAATATTTACTGAGCTGCAGCAGAAACAAAAAAATCCTTTTTAACGATGGCCTGAATCTTCTTTTTATATACCTCACCCCTTTCGGGAATCCTCAGTCAAACTTCCATGCCTATATTGACTTTACAAACCTACTGGAATCGACACCAACTTCACAACACTATCCAATCTGACACTAGCAATCATAACATATTGCTCTTTTTCTTTTGTTTTTTTTTTGTTTTGACACTACCAACATCAACTTCAAAATGCTATCAAGATTGACACCGCCAACCACTATATTCAATTCTTTTTTTTTTTTTGGGCTTACCAACGCCAACACAAAGATATCAAATTTTGCACAGAGAATGAAATTACTCATAATATTTTTTTTGTAATATGTATTGGAGGTAATGTATTTAAAGGTGAAAAAGCTAGAGAAGAGCTAAAGCTAATTTAGCTTCGAATCTTGTAATGTCTAACGTAGATAGAGTTGCTATACGATTAAGGAAAAATTCAATATCAAGAATAAATATGAAGTGGCCGCTCAATATGGATATCTAGTGTGTGACATTGGCTACACTTATTGAGCGTATGTATGATCTATCAGGTTAAATAAATGGCAAATAAGGTGTCTAGTTCAGGGAATACTCCCTGGGTGGCGACGAGAATGACGAAGATAGCCCCGTGAGTAGCCATATACGTATGCATAGCTGACCTTCAACTGTTAATACGCTATTGATTTAGATACCAGAGCTTCAAAAGTGATGGTGATAGCTATAAGGATTGAATATTAGAAATTGAGTGGGATCAGTTTCGTGGCTCATATTAGCATGAGGAGGATACTGAGTGGATATATCCAGAGGTCTGCGATATACAATACAGTGGATAATCTAGTGACTGAATTAAACATACCCAAAACTAACAAATAAGCTAAAGTATACTGAGTTGCTAATGTTGTTAATTGGGATAGATGATGAGTAGTAATAATGTTATTCTAGTGTTATGTGATTCCTTACAGTCACCGCATAAGTAACAAATGTGAGTACGGTAAGGCCAAGTTCTAGTTAAAAGAGGCAGTAAATAAGTGCCCAGAGAGTCTTGTTCATCTCTATCCTATGAGGAAAAGTGGAGCTTTGATCCTTGTCTTTACAGTGAGTACTAAACGAAAATAAATTACGTTATTTAAATATTCAAATAGCACTGTATACGTTTAGTTTTTAATGGAGACAAAAACTTGATCCTTGAAATTAATTGGAAATACACTACTGAAATGAAAACATTAATAATAAAAAAAGTTTAAAAAATGACGGGGAGCACAAATTTGTTACTTGATCCTTGATATCAAATACATAAAAAAGATGAGTGTCGATGAATTTCTCAAAAGCCTTTTATGTCTTTAACCAGTTCATATTATTTTTATGATACTTATTTGGTTTTAACTGCACATATACTTCTTATATAAAACAAGTAGTACTAAGTGGTCCAAAATTGTTGTATACCTAGAATGCATACCTAAAACTAAAGTTTTAATGTTTAGCATTTAATATGACTGCAAGGTCCTATAGAAACAGCATAAAGTAGTTATTGAAACAAATGCATATGCAGGTATATGATGCTCGAGCCCGAAATCTTGATTTTTGGGCTTGTCTGTTTAAAATAATATACAAAAATAATTTGTAGTAATATATTCAAAGAAACTGGTATACCTGTAACCCTTGATAGAGACTGAGATTCTTAGCGTTGGATTTGACTGTCAAAACAGGGAAAAAATGAATTGGTAGTAAATAAATGAATATAGCTTTGGCCCACAATAGAGATTAGAATCCTGATACCTGGTATTGGTTGTAAAAACATAAGTAAATACAATTTTCAGTGAGAAAAATTCTAAAACTTCCTCGTATGTCTTTAATCCTGAACAAAAAATAGAGTCGTGATCATTGATCTAAACTACGAAGAGAAAAAAACTAAGCAATCATCATTTAAAGAAAGATGGGCAACTAAACAGCGTATACCTGTACCCCATGAATAAGAGTTAAACAACGATCCTTGACACTAACTTTCAAATTATAAGTATTTATAACCATCAGTGAATAGATTCAAAAAGATACTTGTATACCTACGGTCCATGATGTAGAGCAGAGGTAATTTTTTGATCTGGAAATTAAAGGACTAGACAAATTTAACTGGCATTAAGTAAATATTTGTATTATCTGATACGAATGTGGCCTATAGCTGAGAGTGGGACCTGGATCTTTGGTTTGAACAGTAAAAGATACTAGAAAAATACAATATACATTAAGCAAATATTCAAATAGTAGTGTATACCTGTGATCGTCAATGAAATGTGGAACGCCGATCATTGCCCTGGATTGTGAAAGGGCTAAATAAATTCAATTGACAGAGAGTAAATTATCAAAAATACGTGTATATCTGTAGAACGGTAGGAAGATTGAAATATGGACCGTTGACCCGGATTGTGAAAACTCTAAAAAAAGCACGAGCGATAGTAAAGAAAAGCTTAAATAAACTTATATCTGCGACCCTTAATAGAAAGTAGGATCTTGATTGTTAGTGAAGACATATAAAAGCCCAAACAAACTAATCTGGTAACAGATAAATACTCAAAGCAACTCGTGTTTTTGTGGCACTCTATGAACAATAAAATTTTGATCGTTGACCTTGACTATAAGAAGACCTTGAAAGAAAAACATATGTCAGTATGAGCATATTTAAAGGATTTTTTTAACCTTTATCCTTTGATAGATAGCGGGTAATTGATACCTTTCTGAGTGTGTAATAATTAGAAGAACAAAAACAATCGATAGTAAGAAGGTTTATAGAAAAATATGCTTGTCTACGACTATGGATATAAACCCGAACATTGAACGTTGTGATTGAATATAAAGATACTATAAAGTTACTACTGGAATTAATGAAAAAGAAGTTTAAAGAAACATACATAGTTTTGACTATTTGCAGGTGTAGCGAGGCATAGATCTTTGGTGTTGACTATTTTGTAAACTAATCGAATCCAATTGACTGTAAAAGAAAACTCAAACAAACTTGTATACCTGTAATTATATATGAGCAGTAGAGCTATGGTTGTTTTTCCTGGTTGTGGAAAGAAAAAGTAAACGCTATAAAAAAGACATACATACCTTTAACCCTGGATGAATAGCAGAATCTTGATTGGAAGCCTTGACTATCAAATCACTAGACAGATTTAGTTGGTAAAAAGTAAGTTCTGAAAGAGGTTCATATACCCAAGAACTTTTATGGAGAGTGAAACCCTTATCGCTTGTCTTTTCTGTAAAAAATATGGGAATATACAGCTTGAAGTAGGTAAATGCTCAACGAGACTTGTATCTCTATGACTGTAGGAAAATGTTGGAATATTAATCGTTGGTCTTTACTATGAAAGCACTAGAAAAAAACATCTGATAGTAAGCAACTTTTCAAAAATATATGTATACCTATGGCTAGATATGTGAGTCAAAGCCATGATTGTTGACATGGGCTGTGAAAATTCTGGACATATAAAACAGGCTGCAAGTAAATGGTGTAATAAAGATGTATGCTTGTAGCCCTGGATGGAAATCGGAAGCCTAATCGTTGGTATGAACTGTGCTAAACTAGAAAAAGAAAGCTGGTAGTAAGAACGTATTTCAATAAAAGAACCTGTATGTCTGTAAATCTTGATAGAGAATGGAACTGTGAGAGCTGGAATGGAATAAAAAAAGACTAAATAGATACAATCAGCAGTAAAGTAATATTTAAATACACTTATATACTTAAGGCGTTGGATTAATAGCAGGATCTTGATCGTTGACCATGACTCTAAAAACGCTTGATAAATGACATTGGCTGTAAAAAATTAATCTAAGAATTTTATATACCTTTACCCAATAATGTTGAGTGGAAACATGATAAAGACGGAAAACTTGATCAACGAACTTGAGTGTGCAAACTCCAGAGAAATTTAGTCGATATTAAAAAAAATCAAAGATCCTTGGATATCTTTAACAATTGCTGGAAATTTGAAGCTTGATCGTTGGACTCGGATTTAAAACACTAATCGAATATAATCGATAATAAGTAAATGTTCGAAATAAACGGTGATACCTGCGGCTCATTGTTGAGATTAGAAAGTTTATCCCTTGGCCTATATATCAAAAGTAATAGACAATAGCAGCCGGCAGTTCTAAAAGGGAAAATGTACTTGAATGTCTGTGAACCTGGGTGGAGACTAAAATCTTGATCTTTGGTGTGTACTATGGTGCGACTAGATAAATATGATGGATGGTGAAAAAGTATTCAAAAGAGGGTGTACGCCTGTCACCTCGACGAATAGCAGAAGATTGATAATCGGCGTGGACTGTAAAATTATTAGACAATTGCAACAAGCAATGAGTAAGTATTAAAAAAAGCATATATACCTTTTTACCCCAGATGAGCAGCGGAATCTCAATTAATAGCCTTGACTATGAAAAGACTAGACAAATATAGCAGACACCAAGCAAATGCTCAAAGAGGTATATATATCTGTAACCCTGCATGGACTATGGAATCTTGTGTGTTGGACTCGATTGTGAAAAGACTACCGAACTAAAGCTGGCAATAGGTAAGTACCCAAAGATACTGGTATACCTAACATCCAAGAAGGAGAGTCGTATCTTGATTGTTGGCCTTTCCTGCGAGTAGACTAAAAAAACACAACTGGCAGTAAGTAAATACTAAAAAAGGGCAGTATACCAGTGATTCTTGACGGGGATTTGAACCTTGGCTGTTGAATTGAACTGTAAAAAGACTGCTTCAAACAGCTAGCAATATGTTAATGGGTAAAGAAAGACACTTGTATCCTTGTAAACCTATGCGGAAATCGGGCACTTGATCTTTGGTTTCGACTGTATAAAGTCTGAATAAAGTAACTAGTAGTAAGTAAATGATTAAAAAGACATGTATACCTTAACCCTATTTTTTGAAGCGCAACCTTGATTCTCGGCATGGACTGTCAAAGATTAAAAAGATTCAACTAGTGAAGAATAAATGCTAAAATGTGCGTGTGAACCTAGAACCTTGAATAGATAGAAAGAACATGATCATTTCGCCTTGACTATGTAAATGCTAGGAAAATCTAATTTTTAGTAAATTGCTTAAAGATTTTTGTACGTCTGCGACCTTTGATGTAGAGCTGAGCCTTGAGCGCTTGCCATAGAGAAGAAAGGGCTAGAACAAAACAGCTGATAGTACCTAAAAAGTCAAAGAGACTTTTATACCTGTGAGCCCAAAAGAATATCAAAGCTTTGATCGTTGGCTTGGGCTGTAAAAACATTATGTAAATATATAGTAAGTAGATCTTTGAGCAGATTTGTACACATGTCATCCTGAATAGGCGGCTCATTTTAACTGTGGGCCTTGCATGTAGAAAGACTAGAAAATATAATAGCTAGTAAGTAAAGGTTCACATAGTCATGTATACCTGTAATCCTTAATTGAGATTAAAAACCCGATTACTGGCTTAAACTATAAAAAAGCTAGACAAAATAATAAGTGATACGTGAGTACTAAATTAGACCTGTATACCTCGGGTATTAGGTAGATAGCAAAACTTTGGTAATTCAATTTGAGTATATAAGAATTACTCAAAACAACAAGCATCAGGTAAATGCTCACATATGTACATGTATTTTTTACCTTGGAGGACTGTAAACCTTGATCGATTGGCCTTGACTGTGTAAAATTAAAAAATAATTAATGGATAGTAAAAAAAATGCTTAAAAAGATTTTTATACCTATGACCTTTGACGGGGATAGTGGATTCTTGTTATTTAGCATACATAGTAATGAAACTAGAAAAAATCAAATAATCATTATATAAAGGCTAAAAGGGACTTGTATACCTGCAACAGTGTATGCTGATCGGATTCATGATTGTTAGACTGAGCGGTAAAGACACTAGAAAAAAAAAACAAGCAATAAGTAAAAACCCAAAGAAAAGTGCATACCCGTCTTACTGGATTGAGGCCTGATCCTTAGTCGTTGCCCTCGATGGTAAAACCACTAGACATATATATAAATGGCAGTAAGTAAAGTCTCAAAAAGATTGGTATACCTTTAACACTGGACTGATACCATATGCTTGATAGTTCATCTGAACAGTAAAACACACTAAACTATTATAAGCCATAATAGGTAAAGATTTAAGCAGAATTGCATAGCTGTTACCCTGGATGAGGATCACAGCCTTGATAGTCAGATTGGAAGGTAAATAAATTAGGAAAGAAAAACAAGAAATAATGAAAGCCCTAAAAGGATATGTTAACCTGTAACCTCGATTGAAGATAGAATTCTTGATCGTTGACCTGGAAGGCAAAGACACTAGAGAGATTTAATTGACAAAAAGTAACGGCCCAAAGACATAATTATACCTGTAATACTGGACAGATATCAGATCATTGGTCGTTGGCCTTGACTTTAAGGACATTAGAAAATTAAAACCGACAGTAAGTAAAATCCCCAAGAGATGTGTATATCTGTAACTCTGGACGATGATCGGTCTTTTGATCGTTGACCCAGGAAGTAAGAAAACTTGAAAAGTTAAATAGGGAGTGAGTAAATGGACAAAGGGAAGTGTATGCCTATAACCATTGATATTGATCTGATCACTGATTGTTGGTTTGGGTAGCAAAGATACTACAAAAGTACAAACAACAATAAATAAAGGCTCAATGAGATATGTATACCTGTAACACTAGACAGAGATTGGAGCCATAATAGTTGACCTGGATGGTAAAGACACTAGACAAAAACAAGCAAAATTTAGTAAAAGCTCGAAAAGGTTGGTATACCTGTTATTCTTGGCAGATATTAAATCCTCGATTACTGGTTCAGAAGGTAAGAACACGAAAAAATTAAAATTGACAATGGATAAAAAACCAAAGAGAAGTGTATACCTGTAACACTGGACAGATATTGGATCCTTGATGACTGGCTTTGACGGTAAAGAAAGTAGAAAAATAAAGCCAACAGTAAGTAAAGGCCCAACTAGATGTATATACATGTTGCACTGGATAGAAACCAAAATTTTCATTGTGTAGCCGGATCGTAAACACACTAGGCCAATACGAAAGAAAGCATGTAAAGACAGAGAGAAAAGTGTGTACCCGTAACCTTGATTTGAAATCAGATCTTTGATATTTGAACTTTAAGGAAAAAAACACTAGAAATATATAAATGACAGTAAGTAAAAGCTCAAGAAGACTTGTTTACTTGTAGCCCAAATTTGAGTTTTGATCCTTGCTGTTTGGCCTGGACAGTAAGAACGGTAGTCATATATACGTCTCAGTTAGTAATGGCCGAGAACGACTTGTATACCTTCCATAATGGATGTAGATTTGGTCATCGTTCTTTGCCATCAATAGTAAATATAAATAAAGAGTATAGTTTGTTTTAAGTAAAGGTTAAAAAGAAACTTGATTAGCTATAACAATTAATGAAAATCGGATCCTGATAATTGCCGTGGACGACTAGACACTAGAAATATATAAAATACAGTGAGTAATTGCTCATCGAGTTTTTGTATACCTATAGCCACGGACTGAATCTGGATCCTTGAAGCTTGACCTGGACGGAATAGATACTAGAAATATACAAAAACAAGTGAGTAACTTCTCATCGAGTTTTTATATACCTGAAACCATGGATTTTGATTGGATCCTTGAACCTTGACCTGGATGGTATAGATGCTTTGAAAACATAAAAGATCGCGATTGAATATTCATCGAGTTTTTGTATACCTGCAGCCCTGGATGGAGATAGGTTACTTGATGTTTGACCTGGTCGGAAAACACTAAAAAGTATAAAAGAGAGTGAGTAATGCTCAACAAGTATTCGTTTACCTGTAGCCCTGGATGGAGACCGGTTCGTGATCACTTGATCTGGATGGGAAAGCCCCTACAAAAATATATAAGACAGTGAGTAAATGCTCATTGAGTCTTTGTATACCCGTAGGCCTGGATATATATTGGCTCCTTAACGTTTGGCCTGGACGGAAGACACTAGAAACATACAAAAGACAATGAGTATATGCGTATCGAGGCTTTTTATACCTGTAGCCCTGGATGAAAACCTGTTATTGATTGCTTGACCTTGCCTGTAAAGTCCCTACAGGAATATAAAAGACAGTGAATGATTAATCAATGAGTCTTTATATACCTGTAGATCTGGATGGTGATCTTATCTTTTATCGTTAACTTTGTTTGCCAAAAGACTAGACAAATATAATCTTCAGAATGTGTGTCTTTGATGAATATCATATACTGTTTGAAATATAGTAAGTTCTGACTGTTTATGTCTTGTTTCTGAGTGTGGACAGGCTTTGTATGGATTGATGATCAAACCAGTGTCAGACCTCAGTATTTCATTTTTGATGTGTACTGGTTTTGACATGTTGTCTTATATCTTGATACTGACGGCTTTACATATGATAAAAGCCTGAGATTTGACTAGCAAAATGGATTTGTATTGGTCATGGTTCGTCTTTAACGTGTATGTTGATTAAAGCAGTTTGTGAGACAAGCAGTAAAGAAGTGTATAAAGTATTGATGGTATTTGGAAGAGAGTTGTTTTGACGCGTTTTGTTTGGATAGGTCTTTTTTTTTTATAAAACTCATGACGTCTCAATCATGTGTTGCTGTTCTTTTTTATTATTTCTATTATAATAGTTTGATGATATATTATAAAATTCGGCTTTCTTTTATTTTTTAGCCTTGCCAACATGTATATATTATTACTATTTTACTTCTTTATTTAATATCTACGCTCAAAATATGGGTTTTGGGTGTTAAAGAAGTATCACTTACATTCTGAAGGACGTGCTGTGTAGGCACTTGCTTTACTTTTTTTTTAGTTCTTTTTATGTCACATAAGGTCCGTGCTGTCCGTGCAGCATCACATGTGTCATGGGGCTTAGAGGAGCATAGTAGCAATAGTGGTCCAGACTTTACTTTAGCATGAAAACATTTAAATGATGTCTTCCGATTGGTGGACTATATGCATGTCAAATTATTCAGTTGCTATGGACCCCCATCCCCTTTTTTATTCTACTTTCTGTTGTGATTCTGTTAACAAGGCTTATGCTTTTGAACAGCCACTTGTCGAGATACTATATATGCTTCTGTGTTCATTTTAGCTGTACTACTGATATACAAAGTATTAATCGGCTGGACGTTTAACTACAATAAAGAAGTGTAAAGTTATGTTGACTATAAAGCTTTAATTAAAGTCTTGTGTATATTTATTTGTTTGTTTTCTTGTTTGTTTGTTTCACATGCTGTGACTTTATTAGTTTAAGAAGCACCCCCAAAAAAATTGCTGCTTATATCTTTTCTTTTCTTTCGTGTGAAAGACTTCCATTTTTCTTCTAGCTTTTTCACCAGTGTCTTGAGTTAATAAACACAAAGTGTAGGAATACTTTCTTGAAATAAAAGTACTGTCAGTGCTTCATTATGAAGGGATTGACAGCCTGACTATTGAAAGTCGTTGGTACCTCAAGTTAAAGCATCGTTCTTAGAGTAAAATAAAAGTAAAAAGAAGAACAGGGTTTAGCCTAGTGTTTGTCAATCGACCTTGGTTTGTACTACTTTATAAACCAATCATAATCCAACCCAGAAATTAATACAGCATAACCCAACTGCCTGAAACACTTTACATTTATATGTGTTCAAATATACACCATTCTATCGATAATTATAATTATTTATATAAGTTACATTATACACCATGAAAAAGTAGTGGTGCTTGCAATTGTGCTAGCCTGGTCACAGATAGATAAAGCTAGTAAAATGGCTATTACATATATATAAATCACCTTTTAAAGGCTCTGCTTATTTACTATTTTTTTCTGTTATTGCTCAGACTGACTGACGGCACAATATGAAAGCAAAGAGACAATCTACTGATACTGAACGTATAGGTTTTGTTTGGTTGGGAGCAAGACGCTATCAATTACTAATTATCGATTTATAACTTTTGTTTTGTAATACAATATAATGCGCTACAGTACTGTATAGTATGATTCCACTTATTACTTTGAGGTCCACAGTCTAGCTTTGGTTCGATTGAGACAATTTTAGTTTGAAGCACAGAGCCTTTGTATAAATGAACCTTTTCTATGGTCGATTAAATATGAGTGTACTGGAAATGATATTTTTTAAGATTTCTACAAGCATATGCAAATGCACACCAATGGTAATCATAGCTTTTCAATTATAGAAAATTAAAAATCGAATCAAATAAGCAATATTTTTTTGGCTTTAAGTAACCTGGTGAGACACATTGTGATCCACCTCTTCCAGGTTTATTATATTACAATTACTCGAATGTTGATCGAAATATCCAATTTCTTACTCTCAAAAATCCTTGAGCCCTGAAATTTGGGAAATTTGTACCACTTCAACAAGCTGTTTAAATGACCAATAGTAAAAGTATGAGTTGTTTCTAAAAGTACAGTTTGTTTAGTTGAACACATAAACCGAACACTCAAAAAGCACCAACTTGGGGTGTTCAAAAGTTAGAGATATTTTTTTAAAGAAAAGAGAATATTATTTAGCAGAAGAGACACTATAGAATAGCTATATATCTATATATGCTCTACATAACAGAATACCAGCTTGTATAAACGTTTATATGAAGAGAGACGTCCTATATTCTGACATTACAAGCATACGTTAGAAGCAGAAAGTAGAGTACAAATGAAGCCACACTTTTTTTTAATAAAAAAAAGTTTACAAAAACATTACTGTAAAAGTTACTGTACTTCTTTACCCACTTCAAAATGCTTATAATTTTCCCCTTTTTACCTTGAGCTTTTTTGCTCTATAAAGTATATATATATAAATATATATATAATAAAAGAGCAAGTTATTTATAACTTATTTTTATTTGAGTATTTCCTTGTTGCTTGCACTGGTCGGTCGCATATTATTTGTTTCTATATTGTGTTTTCGGTTTATTAATATTATTAATAATAATAAAATGATTATTCTTATAATGCGCTTTATGAGCTTAAACCCTCTACAATAAATATAAGCTTCCATACACTTCAATATCGAAAATCACCAATAAGCCACACTTTTTGTGGTTATTTTTCCATGCAACTCTTTGTATTTCTCTTCTTCACACCTTTCCCTCGAACTAAATATTTTACTTTGGCTAAAACTGGAAGAGCCAAAAAAATCTTCCCTAGACTCCAGTTGCTAGTGTTTGAGTGTAGATACATCACTTGGTTCCCAAATATCACTCGTACCCCAGCTGCTATTTAAAGCCTCGTGAGAATCCCTAAAGCAGCAGTTTGCGGCACTATCAAGCGCTGAGAGACTACCAGAACATCCAGAAAAAAAAATCCCAGTTATGTAAGTTCGAAAACAAACCTAGATCTGTAGACATTACCATTCTTTGCATAAGTGTAAGACAAAAGAAATAAGAAGCCCATGTACCATCAAGAAAAATTAGGAGCTTATAGTGTTATTGTCTTTAGACAGACAGTTATTCGATATCTGAAGGCTAAAATTTTTTGGCTCTTACATCCGTGTTTTTAAGTCAAGGCTAACCCGTCAACAAAAAAAGAATTGACTAGTTTTGGCTAAAGCTAAAACCAACTTTATTATTGAAGACTGGAATAAGGTTGTGTGGACGGATGAGTCTTGGCTTAAGGTAAACAGCAATGATTCCTACCCATCGGCAGTTCTTAAGCAAGACAAAATATATTACAAACATTGTACACTTCTAATAGAGAAGTATGGAAAATCTTCGTTGGCGGTGTGGAACTGTTTCTAGGCTGGTGGTTCTGGGCTATTATTGTTTTTGGAAGGGTCTGTAGGTCAAGAGACGTACAGCAACTTTTTCTTCCCAAAGATTTCAATTCTTTCTATAAAAAAATTAAATGAGAAACAATACATCATGCTCACATTCCAAGAAGATAGTGCTATCCGCCGTATTAAATACCATACAATGTGGTTAGAACGCTGTTGGTAGATTTAGCGATTTGACTAGTGGTCATCGCAAAAATCCAAATCTGAGCCCAATCGATCACGTTGTTAGAAACTTGGCCAGGCAGAGGGTAATAGATAAAATAGATAAAACAAAGAAGAAAATATTCGTTTGTTTAATGTTATTTGCTTGATTTTTTAGAGGATCAAGCGCAATGGGTATTTATACGAATTCTAGCTAGGTGTCAAACAGAGATAATTATAGGAAAAGTAGTAAGAAGATATAAATAGGGAGGAAAGGTCTGATTCTAGTGGTCTGAATATCTATCTTGTAAAGTATATTCTGATTGGCAGTAAACTAAAGCTTGGGATTGGTTCCTTACACACGTAGGGTATGCCCTGAAAGCCAAGGTTCAAGAGAGAAAACGTTCTATTAACAATGTTTGATAAGTTAAGGCTTGTATTATTTTATAAAGATATAACATAATGAAGTTGGTGTATTGTTTTTTTTTGGAGGTAGATATCAAAGGTTGTATTGATGACTTTGTGTATGGAAGTATATATACATACAGAGCTTCGCTTTCAAAATTGTGTTCCTTAACGCCTCAAACCATAACATTGCATAAATATATATTATATACAGCTATATACAAAACTACAATGTACATATAGTAGAGAAGGTATGGACATATTATACTAAAGAAAAATCCCAGAATCTTGGATTTAAACATTGAAATTATTTCTATAAAAAAAAACTAACCTGACTGCACTATAGTACTTTGGGACATATTCAAAGTGTGGGAGCTATACTAGATCAATGCACATTTAATCAGATGGACTTAAAGATTTTTTGTTTTATTGTTATTATTACAAAAGCTATTTAACCCGTTTTTTTTTTTTAAAAAAATATGTATGCATTTCTAGATCTATGAAGAGCATAATAATAAAAGGTACCATTTCACAGGTATCATATATATATATATATAACAGAAGAATAAGAGAAATAGTATATATTTATCAATCTTATCAGGATCACTTTAATAGTTCTGTTATTTAATGTTCCGTAAATATGGACCAAAATAAAAAGAAAGCAGTATGACCAGCTTGAAGCTAAAAAAAAATGGGGGTTTACAAAAAAAAAGCATGATGTTATTTTCTTGTACTTATTGGTATTACCAAGCAGCCAAGGGTGCTGATCTTAGAAAGTAATGGAGATGGATAGAATAATAATAGGTTACAAACCCGCGAGATCCTCTAGGGAAAAGAGGAGGAGGAAGAGAAAGAAGTCCCGAAAGTTGGGAAGTGTTTGGTCGTTAAGGCCAGAAGAAGGAAGATCGAGACGGGATTTATTCCCCAGATCGCGCAGGACTAGAAAAATATCCATAAAGTTGAAGTCTCGTAGAAAGGGGAGTGGTGACGAGGTTGGCCCCCTCTTTTTTTTTTTTTTTTGAGAAACGTTTTACTATTCTGTTCAATGGCAGAGCCGTTTTGCAGGTTGTATTTTATGCATTTGGGTCCAGGTACATTCTTAGGAAAACGAGCGCTAATATGGCCAAGTATATTTGACTTTTAACATACGTGAGGCTCGAACTCAAAACAATCAGATTATTGGTACCCAGGGTTGTGATGCGATCCGCAGTACAAAGACAACCTTGCTCAAGTAACATATACATTAATATCATCATCATTAGACGAGATAATTTGGGCAAGAGGAAGAATATGTGTTGTTGGGGAGTTGTTGATAGATTAGATGAGAGCATAGGCCTAGTCATACTGAGCCATCCTTGTGAAAATCCCATACTTATCTCAAACCAGATGCCATAATTCTCGATATATTTACGAGCATGCATTACAGCTTTTGTCTTGTTCTACACCAGAACTTTAGATAGGAAGACCCTTGATCAGCTCTATATCAGGTCCAATAAGTGGGAAGCCATAAACACGTCTCTTCGGCAGACCTTGCATCTTTATCAAAGTACACATATATGCGTATTCTTTTTTTCTTGGCTTACTATTACAATCTTCACAATTATGAGTTTTTTCAATGTAATTGGTTATTAGTTCAACAGCATTCGTGTCCAGGAAACTGAACCTAGCGACATCCTTAAAAGAGTTTGAGGAAGTCATTAGTAGGAGTAAAGTCATACAACAATGTACGCAGCTCTATAACCTCCTATCTCCATCTCTACTGCCGACCATTCAACATCAAATGGGGTCAAAAAGGCTGGTGTGCTCATTATAAGATGCTTTATAAAGAGTTTTATTTATTTTATTTTTTGAATTAGTAATAAACGCGAAATAATTTGAATTCAAATTGGTTGGGTAAATGTGGTGGCCATGGAGACACTACATTTGTTAGGGTCATCTATGGTTATTTTTGTGTGTGGCAGTTTGTAGTATATTGATTAAAGCCAGTTTGACTATGTAAAAATAAAATAAAAATAATATTAGGTGGTGACAAAACAAAAAAAATATGCTCCGTAGAGCGTTCCATCTCAGAAGTTTAGTGTCATCCTTGTGCAGGGGCCATGCTAATCTTCTCTGTATCGTTCCAATTTTAATATGTGACAGAGGTGCAAGCACTTGTCGATTAAAATAAATGTCCCAAAACACTAGATATATGCATTTATTTGCCGCTTTACAGAAGTTGTGGGTTTTTAATATTTTCAGAAATTTTTTTGTATTATAAAAAATTTATACACACAATAAATTAGGTAGCTCAACCCAGTATAATACAGCTCACAATAAGCAAGTTATTGGACTATTGATCGATTGATTTTTTTTTTTAAATTAATAGCTTCAAAAGAATAAACTCTTGGATTTTCTGTCTATTTACTTCATTATTTTAAATACTTAGATGCTTGTATTTAAGAAAATTATTTTTTTTGTTTAATTCTGTCAATAAGTTACACTGACGCAGGCAAACCTCAATGAGTTAAAGTTTATTATATTAAATAAAAATCAACATTTTCTTTCTCTATTTTAGTTATGAAAAGAAAACTATTATGTGCTATCAGTGAAATATCATGAATCACTAAGAGATCGTTATATTCATAATCGTAATTAATGTAAAGGTGGTAATTGAAAGGTTAACTATTAATCAGTCTTGTTATTATTTTAGATTACAAATATTCACAGTGTGTAAATTTATTAGTATTATTTGATTATCGGTTAATACCATCTTGTTTGTAACTCAAGCTGTGTGCGCAGTACAGTGCATTTTTACCAGTAGTAAATATAAATAAAAATAAATAAAAAGAAGGGGTAAAAGCTGAGGATAAGACAGGTTGGTTTGGTACAATGATTTTTATATATAGCAAAACAGATTCTCCATTAATTACACTCATAAATTCAAACCACTGTGATGAGGAAAAATAAAATGATTATAAGCAGTTTTATAAATTCAATCAACTTAACCCCAACCTTTGGGCAACCTTACCAATATCAACCAAAAAATAATAATAATAATAATAATAATAATAATAATAATATATAAAAATGAGATAGAGAGAGAGCAGAATAAACGAGGGAAACTCAACCCAACAGTCTTTATCAATATATTTATTTATTTTATTCTCCCCTCCCCCCTTTTATTTTATTTATATATTTTACGCGTCTATTTTCTCTCTCTCTCTCTCTCTCTTTCCCTTTCACACCCCATTATCTTTCTCTCTCTTTTAAGAAGTCATGGCTGAATGTAAAAAATCATAACTCAATCAATACTAAAATACAAAAAGTACAAGACCAAGAAGACGAAAACTTATGTACCTTGTTTTTTTTGTTTTGTTTTGTTTGAAACTACATGTACATAGCCACTTTGCCTGCTCCAGTTGGCCCACAGAACATGGTTCAGTGGTACCTTTTGTCCTACAACCAAATGTCATTCCTTGGTTGGTTCTGGATTTTCTTCTTGACTGTCCAACAGCTCTGGAACACAGGAGGCGATTACACCACCGTCTTTGATGTTGTCTGGCCTGCGATGCAGTTGGTCCAGACTGCCGCAATCTTTGAAGTCATCCATGCTGCTTTAGGTAAATTACCAACAAACCAAATTTGATTATTGTCATCAACTTTTCTTTTTTTCTTTTTTGAATCTTTTACATTCATTTATTGGTTCTTTTAATTGTTCAATTGATTAATATGCTGGTTGATTAATTGATTACTTGTTTGTTTAATCAATCGATCAATCGATCAATAATTGTGTGTGTATGTGTGTTTACGTATTTATCTGTGTTTGTAGGCTGGGTAAGAGCTCCTATCATGACCACCTTGATGCAGGTTGTTTCACGTCTGTTCTTGGTATGGGGTGTCAACTACATGTTCCCCGAGATCCACACCCACTGGTCGTTCACCACAATGACCATTGCCTGGTGTATTGCCGAGTGTGTCCGTTACTCATTCTATACTTTCCACCTTGCCTCAACTGTCCCCAAAGCCATCTCATGGGCCCGTTACACTTTCTTCCTTGTCCTTTATCCTGCCGGTGTTTCTTCTGAGCTTATGATGGTCTACCAGGCTCTTCCCTATGCTAAGCAATTCCATCCTGCTTACTATTATGCTTTGATTGCTGCTGGACTTGTATATGCTCCTGGTAAGATTTATAATGATTATTGTGGATTTTGTGTGTGTATATATGTGTGTGTGTGTATATGTGTATTGATTATTATGTTTGTATAAAGGTTTCCCCATCTTGTTCTCGCACATGTTGGTTCAACGCAAGAAGTACTTCCGTGGTGATTCCAAGAAGACAGAGAAGAAGTCACAGTAAATACAAAATAGCATAAATATATATATATATATATATATATTATACACACCCAATTGTAAGTGCATTGAATGCAAAGAGAAAGAGAGAAAAGGATTTGCATATACACACAGACATGTATGTATGTATATGTATAGGTTCATACAGACACATCTTTATTTTTGCAAATATAAAATAAAATAAAAATAAAAATAAGAAAATTATATATATATATATATATATGTATGTATGTATGTATGTATGCATGTATGTATGTATTGAACAAAGTAATGGGGTCAGCTTTTGCGCAATTAAAGGAGTGTAGTTTTCTTTTTGGATGATATGGGTAGCAAAAGGTATAGAGCTATTATTATCTTTGAAAATAAAGAGAAAGACAGAAAGAAAGATACTTCTTTTTGGATAAAAAAAATGAGAAGAAGAAATGAAAAGATGTATATCTTTTGGCTTCTTAAAACGAAATATCTGTGACTCCTCCATTGGTGATCGCATATGTTGCTTCCCCTTCAGGCATATCTGGAGAATCGTAAACCTTTACAATACGCTCCTCTCCTCGTCCTTTGCGGAGAGAAAGTCGAGTGGCAGACCTATTGAATTACATTATTCAATAATACCGTTAATTAATAACAAGACATTCCATCTATAGTACATTGGAATATCAACAAACGCATGAGCCTATGGTAATTAAAAATTATACTAATATTAGTATTATATCAAAAGAGAAATATACTGATAGTTTATATATATATATTGTGTGTGTACGTACCAGAACATGTCCTCCTACAGGTTTCTTTGGATCAGAAACAAATGTCATGCCACCTTTAATAAATCACAAACATTGATTAATATAAAGTACTACTAATACTAACAACAACAAGGAGTTCACGAGAAATATATTGAAACAAACCTCCAGGATCAGAAGAAACTTGGTTTGTTACAAATATGGCAACATTGTACTCTTCAGAAACCTTGATCAATCGACTCAACATTTGATTTAATTTCTGTTGTCTATCAGCAAGTTCACCACGGCCACTATAATCGCATCTGAAGAGTGAGATAATTGAATCAATCACCTAAATAAATATAAATCATTGACATTAGCCATTAATTTTTTTTAACAAAAAAAAATTAGAGTAGATACTTACCAAGAGACTAAATGCGCCCTTGTCCTCTGCAAAACGAGCAGCAATTTCAGAGATTAGTTCCATTTGCTGGTCACTGTTCCAAGCTCTGGCAACAAGAATATTGTCCAAGGCAAGGTCACAATCCACTCCGAATCTCTCGGCAATTGCTCGAATTCGCTCAGGTCGAAAGGTTCCTTCAGTATCAATGTAGGCTGTCACATATCAAGAAATAGTATATACATGTAATTATTAATAATAATAATAATAATAATAATAATAATAATATACGTAGATAGATAAACGAGAGCTACTAACCAGCTTTACTGGCTGTACCTCCCATGCTTAATGGAAGTTGGGCCTGGACACATAATGTATGGGCCAACTGTGTCTTTCCGGTGCGATATTCACCAAACACTAAATCATATTTAGTTTATAGCATCAAAGTTGTGATGCATATATAATAATGGTATATGTATATGTGTATATTCTTAATTAAGTACATATTGATCCAAACAAGGAAAAAAAAAAGACTTTTTACCTTCTGTGATAGACATGGTCTGGACACCACCTATAGACAAGTATTATTAGTTCTCTTTAGAATAGTAATAGTAATATATGGAAAAAACTAAAGTATAAAGTGTCCTACACAATCATATGCTTACCTCCAATCAAGGTGTCAAATTGTTTACTGCCTGTTGATATTCTCAAGACTTTTGATCTCTGGTTTGACACTTCGGTGGCTGATACAAAACCAGAAGCCTATATATATATGTGCATATGCAATGTAAAGAATGTTACAATAAAGTGAATAGTTGAACGTATGGTACACAAAATGCAACATGATGATCTTATAATCGTATGTTAATTATTGGGAAACTGTGAGCCTTCAATATATATATATATATTCACATATATGCACTGTTTTTGTGTGTGCGTATTATAGATGTATATACCAGACTTGGGAGGGGTACTTTCCTCGACTTTTTGTGCAGCATCCTTAATCTTGTCAACTTTGGCTTCAGAAAGCCCTTTTATGCGCATTAATGATTTTCGTGTCATCATTTGAACGCCCTGATATATATATATATATATATAAAGTAAGTATATAAGCATTGTTATACTACTAGTAATAAAGTAAAGTAAATTTTTGATTTTTTTTTTTAAAAAAAAAAAAACTTACCCGGACAGTACATATTCCAGAGTGTTTAAGTTTATTGATGTCTGCCATGTTAATTCCACCAGACTAACACAGGTTTTATAATTCCAAATGATCGAAAAAATAAAATAAATATTAAACTCATTGCGTTGACAAGAAGTATATTTTACATACTTGAAGTTCTTCAATCTCAGTATAGAACAACTAGAGCAAAGAGTCGCATAGCTTTATTAATGTGTAATTTGAGTGTATTTATGTAAAGCAGCACTCAAAGATAATAATAACAATATTCTTGTGCTATTACTTTGTCATCTTCATCTTCAGTTTCATCTTCGTACTGAGTACTTTCAACAGTCTGCTCGTCTTCTAATACTGTACTATCAGAATGTGAGTTTGCAGTCTTTCGAGGCATCCTTAAAGAATTAGACAACAATTATAAGCAATAAAGAAAAAAGAGAAGTAGACTTTTATAGAGATATATATATATCATTTGGTAATATTAGTGACGCATCAAACACACACCTGTGTATATATATATATATAGATTGAAATGTTTGATTAACAATTGCAAGGCTCTCTAGCATGTTATAAAAGGGAAGACTATGAAGATTTGCTTTAGTGATATTTTAGCGATAAAGATAATGGATAAATAAAAATCAATTGATAAAATGTACAACCCTAGTCAATATTCCACGCTTCATTTCATTTACTTTAATTTGATTTAATTATTTATTGAGAAACAGAATAAAGCGATATTATGGGTGTCTTTAGTTTCATATATTTAATGTATATGTCTAGAGATTATAATTGGATAATATTCGATTGTAAGGTAATGCAAAATCCATTATTATTTTTATTTATATATATATATATATACAATCGAGTGACAAAAGTTCCTGCCATTTAAAATCCGGCCTGTATATTTTGCTATAAGTATTAATACCTTCTCTCTCAAATTCAATAAAGATTTTCACCATTATATCTACACTTCAAAGCAGTAACGCTCTATCTTACTAGAGAATCTATAAGACTTGTATAAGTCTGACTATGTGCTTATAGATAGAAGTGTTTTCTGTAAAATCGGGATTTTAAATGGCAGGAACTTTTGTCACTCGATTGTATATATATATATATAAAAATAAAAAATGCCCTCTTGTCTTTTGGTGGTCTGGCATGACAAAGCATAGAAAAATCGTACCACTTGAACACAAGATTTTTGATCATAATTTTTTTTTTAAAAGAAAAAAGAAAAGTATAGTATAAAAAGCCCCACCCCTTTTTCTTTTCTTTTCTCCACACTTTCTCCACAATTTTTTTTTTCTTAAAGTCTAATTAATATCAAACAATAATTATAAATCACAATATCAACAAAATGCTATCACGTATCATTACCGGTTTCCGCAACATCAGCACAAACCAACGCACAACTGCCACTACTACCAGTCGACTGGCTCCTCTTGAAGACTCGCCCAAGGATGCTAGACGGATATACACTCAAGCCAAGCCATTGAATCGAAAGCAATCATCAGCTTACTCTTCTAATGGTCTATCTGTCAACCCAGCCGACGACTTTGTCCAACGAGATCTGGTCTCTAGTGCGATTTTCTAAAGTAACAGCAACAAAAACAATCTTCCTCGACTGGCTTTCCTCGATCGATGACAGTCATTTTAAATTATCTCCTTCTGCTTCTTCTGTTTCTTGCCTTGCTTTTCTCACATCCAAAACACAGAACAGATTAAAAGCCAATCGAACTCTATTCAATTCTCTTTCTCATACAGAGAAGAAATGGCGTCTGTTTATAAACTACTTGTATTGCCACACCTTTGTATAATTTTTCATGTGAAGAAATCCATTTTATCCTAAATCCCAGCCTTATCCCCCTAAACAACACACTCTACTATTCCTCATCTTTTGTAAAATAATAAATCCAATTATATAAATCATGCCCAAAACCCAAAGACAAGATACAATTATTATTATTATTATTATTATTATTTTGATTCGTAAAAATTGTGACATTTAATGATTATATAAGAATCACGCCATTGTCCTGTATTTATTTATATTATAATAAGTTATCATGGGTTTGTTGAGAAGGATTAGAAACAAATTGTGCACACGGACCTCAAGTCACATCGGAAGTGTCCGGTAAATTGTTTTTTTTTTAAAAAAACAAAAAAGAAAACTAAAAATGATCGTGTCCCTAACATTAAGTAATCTTTCTTCTTCCTTCCTATCATTACTATCATCATTGTCTTTTGTTCGAACCCATTATATACTTGTTAAATACAGTTAAGAATATGTATGCTCAATTAACTAAAACAAGAGAGGTAGAGACTGTGGCTCTTAACCCCAAAGTGTCCAACATTATTATTATCCCAACAATCTTACCCGACACGCGAGATTAACACACATTGTGAATACACTACCAGAGATTTTTGTTATCATTTTGGGTGAAAATTGGCACCTAAGCAATATGATTGGCTTAGAGGCCAAAATATTGTAATTTGTTTTCGTACTCAATTTTTTTCATCCGAATAAAGGATAAAATTAAGTTCAGTACTACTTGTGGGCTTTTAAAGTAAGAAAAAAAACTGCTAGGGAAGTCAGAAAGTGTTCGAGACAAAGGATTTATTAAGGAAAGTTGGGGGTTGGTTTGAGTAACCAAAAAATGACTTCACAGAAATTACGCAAAAAAATTGATGTTGAGAAGAAGAAAACAGAAGGTTCAAATAATAATTATAATAATAATAAAGAAGTAGCATCATTTTATTCATCAAAAAGAATATTATTGAAAATGAACCAGTAGGAACCGAACTTGCTCAAATTTACAATGTAAAATGGGTTGCGGAAAATGTGCAAATCTAACTTACAAACGAGATTCATGTTAGCAACATCAGAATGCTCACCTGTCATTACAGCCTTGGCATAGTTATTGTTTCTGTCATTATCCGTACGAGGAACAATGCTAAGAAACTTAACAACAGAGCCTGAGACAAGTCCTATACGAGGGCGAGAGATTGGATCATTTTTAAAAACAAACGCGCCAAAACTGTTGTTTTGGACGGCGTCATCTTCAATATCTCCAGTGTCGTTGTTGTCCTTTAGCTCTCTCGAGCCGCCAAAGAAGGTGTAATAGAACAAAGATTCATTGTTGTCCTTAATGAACCTCTCTATTCCAGTTCCAGACTTCTCTCGGTTGCCAGAGCTATTAATCCACGACCCGCCGTCAATTACATGTTGCAATGCTACCTGCTTTGCAAACTTTAGGCAAACATCCCTGGAAGTGTTTTGGCGATTCGTATGAAACAGATGTTCGCGAATGTGCTTATTGAACTGTTCGCCCTTTTCTGTTTCATAATTGAGGGCTGGGCCAAAACGAATTATATCTTCCTTGAGATGTGTCAAGTAATAAACTTTCGGCTTGGTGCAATATGCCTTGTGGAGCTCGTTCTTGGTTCCTTTATCGTAGTCAAATAATGCTCTGATCAAGCACTTCACTGCATTATCTACTCTGATAATATAGTTATCAAAGTCTGATGTCACCTGACGAACGAATACCAGAGAACACAATCGGCCAAGTTCAACAAAGCATGGTATTATAAGGTCTAGCTCATGATTTCCAGAGAATTCTGTAATCAGAATTACAGGAAGTATTTGAAGCAGAACCTTGAAATCTCTACCGAGGAATGAACCACTATGTCTCAAGTTTCGGGTGAACTTTCTTGATAGACCAGTTGATCGCGTGTAATCTGTCAAGAATTCTGAAAGTCTTGCTATTGTGGCTGTGTCATTCTTAAGCACGACCTTAACCAAGTCAATCACCATATACTTTGCAACACCAAGAAGTATCGTGTGGAGGATTTCCACTGGTGTATCCTTTTCTGGATCAAACGACTGCAATTCTAATAAGCGGCCAGTCGAACGATCTCTAAAGCTTATCTTGTTTGCAGGCGTGTTCATTCCAATTTTCGGAGCATTTGGGATCTCAGTGTCTCTGCCAGGTGACGAGTTTGCAAGAACATAGTGCTCTCGAGTTCGTCTCTCATGGCACTCACAGAAGTAGAACAAGTCCTTCACAAAGACTTTTGCACGTCTAAGTTCGATGTAGCATCTTCTGCAAGGAAATGTGGTGGCCGGCCCAAGCAATCCGCAAAGTTCCGAATGACATGGCGTGTCAGCCTCAATCCAAAGGATGGGAGCAACAACCAGAACATACTCATTGTCTTCAGCGGAGAACATTTTTACACCTTTCTCGAGTTTCTTAAAGTCATCAACGATTGCTGGCAGAAGAGACATACCATTTGCACCATCTTTCTTAGGGATTGTAGAAAGAAACTGGATGTTTGCTATCGAATTTCGATCCTTAAAAGGCAAGGCAGCGCATCTCATTAACCAGCTTTCAAACGGATTGTACTGCTTTGAACGATTGCCGGAAGTGTCGTTTGTAAAAAGGATGATTGAAACAATCCTAACTTTGTAAAACACTGCATCGCGATCTACATTACCGGGCAAAACAGAAAGAGGCATAGGCTTCTTCATTGGATGAACTCCAAAAAGAAGAAAGTCATGAGCAGGACTCAATCTGGTAAGGCTACTTGAGATACTGTAGTAGTGATCTCTTTCAACAGGAGTGGTGTCAACGTGAGAGATCTGCTCTACTCTAAAATCGGTAACAGCAACCTCAACGCCATAGCATACAATCGAAATTGCTCTGACCAGATACCCTCTCGCAAAAATGTTTTTATTTGCCGTGTGGAACGATTCAACCAAAAAGCGGATGCTGCAATCGTTTGTCTTCAAGTAAACGATGTTTCCAAACCAGACATCTATACCATTTACAGTGTGCATAGGCTGCTGAAAGAGATGGTGGGTTCTCCACTTTTCACCTTGTTCCAAACAGATCGATTGGTTTGGGGTACGATCGGGCATGGACGAGATCAACTTGGATTTCTTTGGGTTTGCCATAAGAAATCTCAAGTGGTCGGACGGAAGGTTAATGTGGGCGAATGCGTTCCCGTTTGATCCAGGTACTGATATTCTTTGTGAAGGAAAGACAGGCATCTTGGACTTCTTTCTTGCCTGATAATTTAAAAGAGCATCCAAACGAGGTAACTTAAATGTTCATCCTATGGGAGTTTCTTGCTGGATCTTAATGATCAAGTTCATCGCAAGCAGTATCTTCTTCAACATTCGCTGGGAGATCATGTCATTATCCCCATCGATAAAAGCGAAAAGGATCATGGTTTGAAGATCGCGAAAAGGATAACAGCTTGTAGGGTCATTTACAGCGCCAATTGTCTCAAAGACTTCTTCCGGGATCTCAGAGTCATCATCGGTCATTGATACCTCATCAGCAGCAGCAGCAGAAGAAAACATGTCAGAGAACGCGTTGAAAACTGGATTACTGTTCATTTCAATATCAAAGAAATTATCGACAATATCGTTTTCCTCGTCTACAATGTTGTCTTCTTCATCCCCGATACTGGAGGAGTCATCTTCGTCACTCGAGTAATCAAATGCATTAGCATCCGGAATAGTGTTCTCGACTATCAATTCGGCCTGCTCGGGTTCGTCGAGTACAGTATTGGTTGCCATTTGATTACTTATATGGTGAACCTTCGAATGCCTTTTCAGTAACCAAGGCTTTTCGAACTCTTTTTCGCATTCAGAGCAGGTAAAAACACCTGAATTGATGCTAAAGTTAAGTTCGCCTTGCCTTTTAGGGGGGCGAGTCTTAACGATTTTATATGTTTCTTGTCTTGTATTCTTTTGCATAATAGTAAATTGATTGTAAAAACAAAGGGGGGAAAATGACTTTGCGAAAATAATTGAATTTATAAAATGTGGAAAGATCGATATTTAATGTCAGCGGACCAATTAGACTTTTTTTTTACTTCTTTTCTTTTAAGAAAATATCACGTGTTTTTGTCTTTTTCATTTTACTTTTCCACAAAATATTTATTATTTGCATGAGCTTCCATTTGTAAGATATTCCAGTATGCTTATAGTATTTATAGAAGCAGAATTTTGCTTAAAGACCGTAAGCTCAAAGGTATTTATGCTATCAAAGTTTTTTATGTCATTGTGTTTATTAATCATACAATTCTAGTTTATAAATTAGTTTTTCATCATCTCGGTAAATCAATAAAGAGGTAATAACTACATGTTCCTCTTACAAAGCAACAGAAGACTAACTATTTACTCCTCACTTGCAGAGATTTGGCTGCCTTTTATTGCAAATGCCTTAATAGAGTCAAAGGTAAAATTCTGTTAAATATATATAACTAAGTTTAATTACTAATTATTAGTTCTTCTGCTTTAGCTTTTCTCGAAATTCAAATCTTTATGCTCTTTGGGTTTATTGGAATTTCTGGCACCGGGTCTCTTGGATTAGCTAGACATAGTAGTTTGCAGCAAACCGATCGCGTAATTTACAGGCATAAGTACAAACAGTTATACTACTAGTGTTTCTAGTGGTATGGATATACTGGTGTGCTACTGCCTGTGGATTTTATGGTCCAGTCTAGCTTTTTTTTAGCCTAATTTTTTTCGAAAATAAAAAATAAGTTTTTTACAACCCAAAATTATTTGAAACAAATTAAAAATTTGAACCATTTTTGAAATTGTGCAGTACATTTTTTAATCGAAATCTATTGGCCGAGAGTAGTCCCCCCATCCCCCCACTTTTCAGTCCCCCAAAAAAATGAATTTCCTGTTATGGGCAAAATTCGCCCCGTATACAAGAATCCTTTTAAGGAACAAGATTACACAAAAAAATCTGCTGTGGTGTAAGACATTTGGTGGCGTGATGACCTTTACTCTGATTTTAGTTTGTGGAACTCAAGTCTCGTCCCTCTTTCTCTCTTTATGTGTTTATTAGCAATATTTATTCATTCTTATTGAACTCATATGTCAGGAAGGGGGTAAGTTTCACAGCAATGGCTTCTAGGCGTATTATGTTCCATTCTTTGAGGAACAACAGAATTGTATTTTATTAAACTTTTATAACTTAAACACAACAAAACAAAACAAAGATAAGAAGAACCTATTTACTCTTTGTAATCAATTTTCAATGTGCAATATAATATATAATTATATATAATTTGATATTATTTATCATTGCCAGCCTCAACCTCGATTCCCCTTTCTTTTTCTCCTTTAAATGGTATGAAATTAATATTAAATCAAGTGCGATCTACTACAGAGAATAAATGGGTGTATCACCTTTAAGCAATAGAAAATTAAACAAAGCAAAACAAAAAGTAAAAGAAAGATAAAGAGAATAAACTTATAGACTATAAATACAGCGAAGAAACTAAAGGTATCTAAGGGTGATATGATTATGATGATTATTATAACAATGATAGTAATAGTAGTAGTAAATATGAAGGTGACGGTGACGGTGACAATAATGATGAATATAATACAAAGCGAATGGATTGATCGATATGATATGGTATGGTATGATTGGATTGGATTGGATTGGATTGGGTTGGGTTGGGTTGGGTTGGGTTGGACAGGTGTGGTAATAAAAGCAATACGAAATTATGCTTGACTATCAGTCTCCTTCACTTTGTTGTCGAAAATCATGTACTGAGCATAGATTGTGCCATCAAACATCAGAGTACCAGCACTACCGATAATATAAGGTACAGACTCAATAATGCTCTGACGAGTGGCATGAGGGTTGGTGAAGATCGAGAGACAATAAGTGAGGTTGCCCATTGCTGCAAAAAAGAATAGGGCCATCGACAGGCCTTCGACAGAACGACGGCGGAAGTTTTGAATAATCTGGGGTAAACGTGATGACAGATAGAGGGAGGTACAAAGCCATGCAAAGAAGCGACCAATCCAAATCATGTTCTCGTCAGACTGCTTCTGCTGCTGTTGTGTAACAATATGGTCTGTCACATTCGTCGTAGGGTTGGTGGTCAGGCTTTGAGAAAATCCTGCGTTTGCGAGTGTAAAGAGACCAATCATAAGCAGAGCAGTTGCTTTGGAGGTACTTGCAGATGCACTGTAACTCTTTTGGCTAGGTTCAGACAAAAGACATGTGGTCTCGGTGGATGATGTCGATGTAGGGGTTTCGGTCTTCTTGGTCAGGCACTTTCCAGGATTGAACCATTGACGAAGTGAGTTGGTAGGGTACTTGACGTAATAAATCCACTGGATGCAAAGGAAGGTGTCAATAGTAATAAAGTAAATCGAGAGATACAGTTGGAAGGGAAGTTGGCCAAGAATGGTACAGCCGATAAGATTGGCGACGTCACCTACAAATCAACAATCAATGTTAATTAATTAATTGATTTTTTTTTCTCTTTAGTAAAATTTATATTTATATATATAATTATATGCTTACCAATGAGCCAAACTACTAGAAAGGTAAAACTAAGTGATTCTGCTGTGCCTAGTCGATAGTTCTTTATGACTTGACTGATAAATATGAAGGATATTAGTACCGACGCTATATATGTTTGTGTATCTGTAAACTTACGGCATTTGTGCATTAAGCCATGCTAAAATGGATAGATAACCAAACATTAAACTCGCACACTCTTGCCAGCCATAGACACATTCACCAAAGATGGTCTACAATAGACAAACTTGTATAAGGAACGCAAAATATTGACCAACAGTAATCTAATGATTTCCAGAATAAAATCTTACGTTTATCCACTGAATGGCTTCAAGACCGTCTGATGAGATAGGACATGTAGATTCCATTATTGTTATTATTGTAGGTATTAAAAAAAAAAGAGATAAAGAGAAAGAGATTGTAGAATAAAGAAGTCTGCAAACAGATTATTTTAAATATTGCTTGAAATGCAACAGAATACAGATGGCGGAGTAGGACTGGATCTGATCTTTGTTTCCTAAAATGGAAACCAACTTTAGATGAGAGCACAGTTTTCTGAGATTATATCCATATTCACAAAAAAGGAGATAAGGAGCGCAAATATCCTCTGATAATGCCCAAAACAAAAGAAGAAGGAAAAGCTTGATAAATAAAGCCTTGTGTATTGAACACAAATCAAGATTCGATTCTTGTGTAAGGCTGTTAATTATAAGAACCTACTTTTTTTAAGCCCTCCACATATACATACATATGTACATATCTATCTCTATCTCTATTTGAAAACCAAACATAGCCTTGTTTTGTTTTTTATTATGTTATGTTATGTTAATTAAATATCAATTTTATAATTCAACTATAAATTCATCAGAATATTAACAAAAAGAAAAGCGTGCATTTTTATGATAATCTCAACATTTACCATCAATGTCAATGGATAATCTCCGGTCTTGTGTATTACAGATATGTAGATAAAAAAGATAACTTTTGGGAGAAGTATGATATTCTACATAAATGTAGTAGGCAAGAAAATCACCAAACAAGACGAGAATTATCGACAATCAGAAATAAAGAAAAAAAAATTGTGGATTCTGCGTATGATGTACAGAAGCTTAATATGCGTGTGTCTGTATACGTATAAGCAACTTTAATGGCGAAAGACATTGAAATCGGCAAAATTTACTCGGTAAGATTTGAATATGTTTTTTTATTTGTTCCAATTGTTAGTTCTTTGAAAGCCGAACCAATTTTATTATCCTTTCTCCCCTTCCTCTTAGTAAGTCCTGATATCCTTTTGAAGGTTTGAAAACATCCTAACATTTTATGGGATTCAGAAAAAAAAACATATCAAATTATTTTAGAGCTTCAATATCAAGGACCCGAGGATCTTTATTAATTCAATTTATAGTCATCGCATCTTAAACCAACCATTAAAAAAAACTGTCCATATTCTCTGGTGTAAGATAAAACGCTATCGTTTTCACTTTTCAGGTACTCCCACGCTACCGTGGCGCTCATATTTGAGCCTGAATAGTATTGTAGCTTGGTATAACCGTACCTTTACCTCAGCTTTCTCTTAACTTGGATTTCCGTTGGTATTTTTACTCGGAAAATGTAACGACTTTTGTAAAAAAAATCCTGAGGACAGTAGCCACAGAATACCACATTTACTCACAATGCTCTTTGCTGGCATTAGGAAGAGTAACTGTTCTTAACACTTTAATCCTATCCCAAGTTTGGCATTTCTTGCAGTCAATGCCTATGCTTGAATACTTCTTTGACACTCTTCGGAATCGTATGGGTCAGTCTCTCTGCAAGAACATGTTTCCGATAGCTAAGCTGGTTTCCCTGTGCACTTCAATTTTGGCTGTCGAATTGGGTGTTATAAAGCTTCAAATGGGACAGAAGACACGTCAGATCGGATGGCTTGATTATATCCTAGAACCAAATATAGCAGAGTATTTCGTCCCACCCTGGATAAATTACACCCTGATACCTCAGCACGACAGCAGTGACCCGCACCTCCCACTATTATTCCCTTGTTTGGATAATTCTTACTGTTTTCCGCGCACTATTTTCCGTCATGGATACTGTTCATCGAGGCTTTTTATTCAGCACCCCCACATGGCTCACATGGCGCACATGGCGCACATGGCTCACACTATTCATATTGGGTGTGATCATATTTTCTGATTTCCTCAATATAGACCCACAAAATTTGCGTAACCTTATAGTCAGAACCGTTCTTGTGTATAACAACAGTAGTCGATATCTATGTTTAATAAACTATGGTGAGCGTACTATTAGACAGAACCTGGGAGGTTTTTTTTAGCTGTTAATTTCGCCACAACTCACTCAAGGTTTCCTGTATAAGATACTCACAGTTTGACCAATTGACAGCCCAAAGAAACCGTAATACCTTTCTAAATCCTAACAAGATCTTCTGCTTCAGCTTCTCTCTTCATCTCTTATAAATGATGGAAATTTTCTACTCCTTGCCCATCCACTAAAACGTTCGTAGCTTATGGTCCTGTGTTCTGCACAAGAAGTTGACCTGTTGAAAATTATTATACTTTCTCATCCCGTTTACAATCACATTAGCACAATGTCTAATATATATAATTCTAGTCTTGAATTCCCACTTTGCTTTCTCTACCAATATATACTAAAATGAAAGGTTTGGGCCCAAATTTGATCCCAAGATTTCAGTCACCAATCTATCAAACTCAATGTTCATAATGCTATCATTATGCTAAATATTCCTATCAGGCCCTCATATACCCTGTCGCTGTAGTCGGCATAAGCTTCAAGAAGTATACCTCAAGCAATACATCTCCCTCCCACTGACGGTCCGTTTTCGACAATGTCTCTTTCACTAACTTTTTGGTCAATAAGTAAATCTTAGTTAGCCTTCTCTTAGCAAATGTTTTCTTTTCTCCTGTACCTCAAATTAACTTTTTCTTTTAAAAGAAAAATGCTCTTTCCCATAACACATAACAAATACTGCGACTCTGTTCTCATATACAAAGAAGTGGTGCTTAAATATGATACTTTTTTCTTACGTTTTGGACACTCTCTCGTTAGTTTTATATAGTATCCATGAAAGTTGATATAACTCAGTATTGATGTTATTTACACATTAGTTAATATAATTTTGAGAGCATGTGTTGAGTATAATAAATAACTAGTGATTAATAGCATATGTTTATTAAATAAGTTAATATTTTACTAGTTCTCAAAAGGCATTGTCTATTATTATTACTTGAGCTATGCAATATAGTTTGTAGACTACAAACATAGCATTCCTTCTTATCCTTGATTGACTAAAATACTATCATTATAGTGTATATATAAACACCTTAGCTTGTATGGCTTATTCTTTATAAAATTATGTCTAAATACAAAAGTTTAATTTTATCAATGTAACAGTACAATTACAAGTAAATAAACAAGTTATTGAATATATTTTTTTGGGCATTGTAGTATGTATATGTTTCTGTAGGTCATATTTCTTTGAAATCCTATTGAAATCATTAAAATATTTATTTAAAGAAGTATTATAGATATTTTAAAGCTACTTATTATCTCTAGTGCTATGTATATATGCCGCTTTCTCTTCCTTTTTCTCTTCTTGATAAAAGCATCATTCTTTGACCCAGAGTCTAGTTTATAAGTCTTTTTTTTTCCTGTTTTCTCTTTACTCGGCCTTTCTGTTTCTACACTATTTTCTACACATAGTATTTATTATTTCTTGAATAGAAAAAAAAAGTATAGTGATTCTTGCATGAAATCAAACTAGCTATATAGTTTGAAATATATTATAGAGTGATACAGTCCATATAAGAAAATAAGAAAGTTGATATTGAAACATAAATTAAAGTAGGATAGAAAATATAAGCTTTTAATCAAAAACCCACCTTTACTCTAACCTCTTAAGTATCCCTGCAAAATCAGGGCATGATGCATATTCTTTAACTGTTAACTTTTATTTATTTTCTTCACAGCATATGCTTTCTATATACAGCCATTGAATATATGTATATCAAAAGTAAACTCAATATTATTGCTCCATTTACTTCAATGCAGAAATACAGCGAAAAGTAAATTTTAAAGAAAAAGAATATTTGCTGCTAAGAAGAATAGTTTTGAGGTTTATTCTTTAGTATGATCGTTTATTTTGTGTTTGTGTCTGTGTTTGGGTGTGCCTTTCAAGACATTTGTATCGAATGTGAATTCTTTGGGTGTATGAAATTTGTTTCTTTTTAAAAATATAAAAAAAAAGGGGGGGGCTGGGGTTTACAATAATTATAATAGCTTTGAATAAAGTATAAAGCACTCAAAAGTAAATCCGTTTTATTCAGTTTAATTGTTATAATTAATATATTGAATATATCTGTCATTTTTAATTTTTTTAATTTTTTAATTTTTTTTAACTTTTTAATTCTAATTCTAATTTTAATCTTTTTAATTTTTTAATTTTTTAATTTTAATTCTAATTTTAATTTGATTTTAATTTTTATTTGCTTTATTTTATTTTTTTTTATTTTATTTTTAAAGAAAATAATAATAATTTTTGCGAATATACATATATATATACTACATCTTCTATTTCTACTTCTACTTCTACTTTTACTTCTTTTCCTTCTTTTCCTTCTTTACTTTCTTCTTCTCAGGTTCCTCATCCGACACTTTTGCAGCACCTATAATAAATCAATTTGTTATTATTTGTTAATGAATTTAGTTTCATAGAGTTGAATTGGATTGAATTGTTACCTGTGTCAAATCCGTAGGGCTTAAATCTCATCTTAAGACCTTCAGGTTGTTGTCTCTTTCCCAAGGGTGTGTCACGGATAGTTTCTGCGATCTTTTCGGAATCAGGAATCTCGACTTCTCTGGTCAGGATCAAATTGTGCTTGAAAGTCTTGGGAGCTAGCACCACACGAACAAGCAAACAAACAAACATACATACATATATACAATACATAGTTTAACAGCATAATATTTTTTTGGTTAGATATAAATACATATATAAGCATGAATTGTTTATAGTTTTGGTTCCTTTTTTTTGTACGCACCATAAACGAGCTTTCCGTAATGATCTCTAGAAGGCAATAAGCACTGGAAACCTGCCATTTCTTGTCCACTGATCCCAAAATCATTCTTGCCTTCCTCGTCGTCTTCCTCGTCTTCATCGTCACTGTTCTTGGCTTTATCCTCGGTTGTTTCTGGTACACGATACAAGGCAAAGGTTTCATCTTTCTTTGTCAGTTTTCCGATTGATGTGTGTGATGATTCTACTGGCTTGGTAATCTTGATTTCTGTGAGATCTTTAGGGGTAAACTAAAAGGTATAGACTGTTGTTATTATTACTATTATTACTATTGTTGCGAGGGCCTTTTTTTTTTATAAAGAGAGTCAAGGTAATATTCTACGTACGCTCTCTGGTACACGAATCAACCAAATCTCCTTGTCGTCGTCATTAAGTAATTCTGCGTCGTATTCAGTAGGATACTTTGATTTGGAGGAAGTAAATCCTTCGAAATCTCTATATATATAATATGAATTAGTATTATTTTCTGAAAAACCTTTGTCTTTTTTTTCTTTATTTATTTATTTCCATGTTTTATTACGTATTCTGGGTGGCCTTTACTTCTGACATTGTAATGGGTAGATTCCAATTGAGATTCTATTTTTTTTTTTGGTTTCTCTTCTACTTCTTTTTTTTTTTGGAAAAAGGTTTGTTCCATTGAAAATAGCAGTCACGTGCCTAGCTCAACTCTATTCTACTTTTTATTTTATTAAATGAATCCTACACAATAAATTGACTAGACACTTTGCATGATTGTGGTTTTACAGAATAATGACATTTACTTGCTTATTTAATACAAATCAAGAGACATTCTTTGAGAGCCTTCTATTATTTTTACTCATTTAGTGTGTTTAGGCCGGTATATGTATACATATAATGTAAGAAGAAGAAAATTAAGGTCGAATTCCAGAGAAATTTCCTGATCCAACTTCCCTAACCAATGGTCCTTAACCTACTATAGATATGTTTTGGTAAATTCAATCGCAAAAATAATTTTATTCGGTAATTATACAATCCTTTAAAGAAAATGTGGTAGAAAAAAAAACGAATTTATGGTGATGTGAATTCTACAACAAATTTGGGTCTCTTTATACAAATCAACATTTCAGATCATATGTATATATATTTGTAGAGGAGTAAGGCTTGGCTTGATAATAGCAGTATAAGAAAATGCTGTTCAGTTGATTTTCTTTCAATGAAGTCATGTACAAAAGGAAATAAATTTCTTATATATGTTTGTGTATTGGTCGCTTTGTCATTCAATGGTAGTATAAAGAACAAGGTGAAAAAAAAAACTTATTGTTTTCTATAAAGACATGTACACAAATGAGTCAAAATACCTTGTTTGTTTGTTTAGTATATAGTATGGGGTTTTTTCTTTTCTTTTCATTTTCTTCCTTAAAACTGAAATTCCCAAAAAAAACCCTTCATATATATAATAGCAATAATAAATGTACTGTTTTTTAACTACTTTAATACCAAGCTTTGAGGCTTTGATATGGAAAAGAAAGAAAGGGAATGGTAGCTAGCAGTAACAATATATCAGTAAGAATAACTGTGACAGTAACTGAAACAGTAATGGGGGAATTTCTTCTATATTACTATTAAATCAGGTGATTTTGGTGTTCATGGTGGTCCATATCAAAAAGTCAAGAATAATACTAACAATAATTGTGTTTTATTTTTTGGTTCAATGCAAAAGGGACGATTTTTAGATTGATTTTATTGGATGGAATTAATTTCAACCTTTTATATATATTATTAATTATTTAGTTTAAGAATTTCCATCTTGGTTAATTGACCACCCCAACTTTCTTCCCCTCTCTCTCTATTCACCCTTTGTATTTCAACCACAAAATAAATAAAAATAAAATATTATTAAAAATCACAATGTACACATTTCATTCTAAAGTAATCCTAATAATTTATATTATAGACACTTGTAAATCGTACTTTCTTTTTTAACTACTATTATTGTTCTATTGTCCAAGTCCATCCTCCCCTCCCCCACTCCTTTTTTATATTTCTTTAAATGTCCAGCAATAATAGTAATAACAAAAATAGAATTTTGAAAGTGACGTACAAAAAACCATATAAAATATGAAAGTCACTTTTTTTTTAAAAATATATATATATTTATATAAATTTATTGTAATATAAAATAATATAATATAAACTCAGCTAATTAAAAAAAAATTGAAAAAAAAAGTATAAAAAGGCAGCAATCTTGGGGACTCATGAAACCGCATCCTCTCAGGCCTTTTGGCTAAGATCAAGTGTAGTATCTGTTCTTTATAGTTTAACAACTATAACTTGGTACATAGTACCATTTGTTGTTAATCTAATTTTTCTGCGCCCGGAATCTAGAGCTCTGGCTTGCCATCTCTAGAATCCACAGGTGTCCTTTGCTTTACACTGTTGCAATGTGACGCCGAGGGGGGGCTCCCAATCAATTAAATAAATGAAAATGAATCTATTTTTTTTATATAGCGAATAAATAATAATTGTTTTTTTTTTTCTATTTATTTATTTGAATTTTATTATTGTGAGTGTGTGTTCTGTGACTGAACAAATGTGACTAGACTGTATTGTATTGTATTGATAGATTATCTCTTTCTGTGCTGTGTGCTGTCAATAATTATTCGTTACTCAAGTCAATATTTTATATATATATTTTAAATACTCATGGTACAATGCTTGGCAAATTGACATCCGTGAAATGAAATAAAATAAAAAAGACTGAAAATTGATCTTTATCCAATAAAAATCATTCACGTTGCCCAGGTTTTTATTCAAATGGTCAAAAACAAGCCAAACTGTTTTTTTTTTCACACTCACAATACACAATATAATATCATAATATTATTATATTTGGCTATTTATTTTTATATTTTTTTGGTGGGAAAAAATGAAGTAAGAATGATTGGGAGCCAATAAGGCTGAGGGAATATTCACTGGGGATTTGTGCCTTGATTTTGATTTGTTCATTGTTATTCTCATTCTAATCTTTCTTGCATTTTTTTTTTCCTTTCTTTCTTTGGTCGACTCTCAGCAAATGAATGTATGGCAGGACAAGCACACACACACACATAACACAACCCTCACATGATAAAGCACGTTGTGAAATATATAAAAATATAAAAAAATATACTTCTTGTTAGTGTTTCATTAAGTAAAGAAAGTATTACTTGTAACAAGCAGCAGATACATTAACAGCAGTGTAATTATTTTTGTTCCTTTTTTTGGTTCAATAAGAAAAAAAAAATAGAGCCATTCAGAGGGGAATTGGGGTAAAAAAATATATATATATTAAAGGACATGATAAATATTCTTAATTCAAACACAGATTACAAATTTTCTGATCTTTCCCCCATATATAAATATTTTATATTATATATTTTATATTATATGTATGTATGAATTCTTATGCAATTATTTTTTTTTAATGTGTTTGGAAAAAGAATAAGAATAATCATCAGTCTATTAACTTGCTTACTTTGTTTGTTCGTTCATTTGATTTGACTCTTTCTTTCTCCTACTTCTTTTACTTCTTCTACCTATACTTCTTCCTACAAACATATACAGTTATACATACAAAATATGGTTGCAATCTCATTCTGTGTATTTTACAACTATCTTCAGACTGCTCTTGTGTCAAGTAGCTCCAACATATCATCATTATCCGTACTCCTAAAACAAGTCCCGCACAAATTCCTCTCTTTCCAGACATCAGCAACCAACGACAACAACAATAATCTATCATCAACTAAGAACAATAAGAACAACAATGGTCAGGTTCTCTATCCAAGACGTCTAAAACAACAAGAACCAAATAAGGGGACCTTTATATTCGACACAATCACTGCCTCGGATTTCTTTTCCCAGTCAATACTCACAAACACCACCATTACTAAGGACACCAACAATAATAAAAATGATGACAGCATATTAACGACGACTATTAAACCGAACGATAATATAAACTTGGTAACTGGCCTAGATATGCCCGTTACGCCGCATTATGTTGCACCAAGAGCCCCGATTGTACTATGCCATGGTCTGTACGGATTTGATCTCTGGGGACCCGATGCATTTCCTGCCCTTCAATTTCACTACTGGCAAGGTATCGAGGACGCTCTGGCAAAACTTGGAGCAAAGGTCATTGTCACAGGTGTACCGAAAACAGGAAGTATCCGAGAACGTGCTCAAGAACTACATGCGGTACTCAAGGCAATCATGAAAGACAAGGATGTTAATTTTGTTGCCCACTCAATGGTAAATAAAATATACATATATGTATTTAAATGGAAATTCACCGTATATATATATATTAATATATCAACTGTCTTTATTTATTTATTTTTTAAAAAAAAATCATTATTATTATTAACCTAGGGTGGCCTTGATTGTCGGTACCTCTTGTCTCACATCAAAGATCGCCCTTACAGACCTCGTTCTCTGACTACAATATGCACTCCTCACCAAGGCTCACCAGTCATGGACTGGTTTCGTGACCATGTAGGAGTTGGAGAGCAGAAACCAGGAAATCCATGCAACCAAAGATCCCTAAGCGCAATGACAGTCTCGATGAAAAATAGTGTCACACGTACTGAAGAATTTGCCACTGCGTCCATGATGGCATATTATAATCACCATCACAATAATAATGATGATGATGATGATTTACATGTACCTCTTTCTGACCGCCAAAACAAAACTCAATCTCAAACTCAAACTCAAACTCAGAACCAAAAGCTACTAAATCTCAAACTCAAGCTTGGATTGTTACCAAAGGCAATGATAGACTACTTTGATGAACCAGCATATGGAAATCTGACTACAGACTACTGTCAAGAATTCTTTAACCCAAATACTCCTGACGATCTGGGTGTACAATACTACTCGTATGGTGCTGCAGCAAAGATTCCAGCCTGGTCATCTCTCTTGAGTACTCCATGGCAAATTGTCAAAGACAAGGAAGGTGACAATGATGGAATTGTGAGCATCAAGAGCGCCAAGTGGGGAAAGTACATCAAGACTGTTGAGGCCGATCATTGGGATCTTAGTGGAAAAAGGTAAATTTTATATATAATTTACGTCAAAGATATACACCTTGTAAAAAAGAGACTAACCACTCTTTATGTAATTGTTTCTCTATTTCTTCATCTCTATACTTTTCTGCTTCTTTAGCTGTATTCCGTAAGTAGAGATGCACATGCAGATATTTTATAGTTTATATGCAATTTATTTCCTTAATTCTAATTATTTTATTTTTATATAATTAAATCTTTCTGTATTCTAGATACCGATGGCAGTCAGATTCCAGTAGCACATTTGACAGGGAGGCCTTTTATCTTGAAATGGCTACTCGTCTATACCATCAAGGCCACTAATCAAACATATATATATATATATATATATATATAAGATCAATTAAATGTACATAGTCTTCTGTCAATACAAACCCTCTCTTTCACCTTTCATTCCAGCCCATTATCGACCTTATTTTACTTTTACTTAATAAAACTAAATATATATATAATTAATTAAATAAAATAAAATTAGCAGTAAAGTGACCATATCTAGAAATCACGATTAAAGGGAAAAGTGCTTCGAAGATTTCTTGGGATATACAGCCGATCGACAAGTTTCTTCCGAGAATGTGTGTGTTACTGTAACCTACAGAAATAAAAAAAATAAATTTTGTATTTAAACCGGATGAATATTATTATTATTCTATTATTCTATTATTTTATATATCACACTGCCTTGTATTATGATACTAATGACCATAGCATAAGAAGAAGAACAGCAAATCGACTGTCTTATTTATATATGTATGTATATTAACCCATGTTGGTTTATTATATACCCAAATATCTGGGAGTATTATTTTTAAGCATTTTTCTAGCATGAAAATGAAAATAAAAGAAGAAGGGAAAAAGCAACCAAACTGGTAAGCGGGGGTTCTTTTTACATATGTATTTATATTGCTATTAATGATATTGCAAATACACAGACACACAGACACACAGACATACAGACTCACAGACTCACAGACATAGGCATGTATATGTAGACTATAATGTACTGTACTGTACATATTCTATAGTATATCCTAGTTATCGCTCTATTTAACATGTACGTCATTCTCTCTCTTATTTTATTTTACCCTTAACCTTGTCAGACTTTATTTTATTTTGTGTGTGTGTATCTTGTACAGTTAATTCTTAATATATTACTGTGTTTCTTTTTAGCCCAACTTCTTCTTCTTCTTCTTCTTTTATTTTAATTATTTTTTTTACGCTTATAATATAAGAAGAGAGAAAACAAAAATCAAAAACATGTCGTTATCCTTCAAGCATAAAAAAGACAAACACTCAAAACCCAAAGGAGGACAGTCAAAGGCTTCTTTGGAAGAAGACGAGTATGCTCAGGTCATTGCTGGTGTAAAGAAGATCTACAATTCAAAGATCAGACCCTTGGAAGTAACTTATAACTTTGAAGGTAAGGTTAATGTCGACATTACCAAATAAGAAAATAAAAGAACAAATATATATCCCTTTTCCTACCCACTCCCCCCCCCCGCTCTAACGCCTTACCTCATTATTACACGCTGGTAGACACACACACACACACATATATATATATATATATTATATTTCAATAATAATAATAATAATAATTGAACTTTCTTTTCATTTTCAAATAGGTTTCCATTCCGCGCCCTTGACTGATTCAGATATCGAAGCCAAGCCTATTGTTCTCTTGATTGGACAGTATTCAACTGTAAGCAATAGCAGTAAAATAATATGTCAATTCATATTAATTCAAATGACTTTTTTTTAAAAAATAATAATAATAATAATAATAATAATAATAATATTGTAGGGAAAAACCACCTTTATTCGTTATTTACTCGATAAATCGTATCCTGGCGAACACATTGGCGTTGAACCCACAACTGATCGGTTCGTTGCGGTTATGAATGGGTCCGAAGACCGAGTTATGCCTGGTAATGCTGCAGCAGTCAACCAAGATTTGCCATTTCGAGGCCTGAACAACTTTGGTCAGGCATTCCTGTCTCGATTCCAGGTATCCCAGACACCGTCACCGGTCCTGGAGAACATGACGATCATCGACACACCCGGTATCCTGGCCGGTGACAAACAACGCATCGAACGAGGATACGACTACACAAAGGTCATCGAGTGGTTCTCACAGCGATCAGATCTGATCCTCTTGTTGTTTGATTCCCACAAGCTCGACATATCAAACGAATTCAAGTTGGCAATTCACAGTTTGAAAGGACAGGAAGAAAAGATCCGAGTTGTGTTGAACAAGAGTGATATGGTTAGCCAACAACAATTGATGCGAGTGTAAGTGATAGATTTGGATTATTATAATATAGAGAGAAATGATAATAGATCTGTTATTATTTTTTTCTGACTTGATATATATATATATATATATATGTATCTAGTTATGGTGCAATGATGTGGTCTCTTGGAAAGGTCGTTCAGACACCAGAAGTTATGCGTGTCTATCTAAGCTCCTTCTGGGTAGACAAACCTCCAAACTGTTTTGAAGATTGCCGCGAGCTAATCGAGGCTGAATCAAAGGACCTTTTACGTGATCTGAAGGAATTGAGAAGAAATGCAGCCATTCGCAAGATTAACGAGATTGTTAAACGTGCGAGACTAGCAAGAGTAAGTGCTGTAGCTTTGTTTAGTACAGTACAGCATTTGATTAGTGTGTATTTGTTTAATACTTTGCATAAAAAAAAAGAAAAATAGAACAGACAAAAATCTTATAACTCTTGTAACTAATTAGGTGCACGCATTGATCATTGGTCATCTCAAGAAGGAGATGCCTTCGATGTTTGGAAAAAAGAAGAAGAAAGAGGCTCTTTTGAACAATCTTGACACCGAATTCCTAAAGATCCAACAGCGCTATCATTTACCAGCCGGTGATTTCCCCAATCCTGAAAGATTCAAGCAAAGTCTGGCATTGTATGATATCGATAAATTCAAAACCATCAAAGAGGATTTGTTGGAGAAGGTTGATGAGGTAAGAAAATACTTTTTCTATTGAATTTTATTTTATTTTAGGTTTGGCTTGGTTTGGCTTGGCTTGGCTTTGATTAAAGAAAGATGAAGAATGATATACAACTATTGATTCCTAACAAATCTCTTTTCTTCCCTCTCTCTTTCTCTCTTTTGTATACATTAATTAAATAAGGCTCTTGCTGTTGATCTTCCTCGCCTCATGTCAATGTTCCCCATGATGAACCCTGAATTAGATCAATCTCAGCGTAATCCATTCGACGAAGAAGAAGAGGTTGCTGTTGCTGACGCCAATGGTAGTCTTCCGGCCTCGTTCTGGAACTTTTCGTCAGTGGAAAAGGCATCATATGCACCGATCTTCTCCCAGCTCCATCCCCGAGATGGAAAGGTTCCAGGCTCGAGTGTGAAACCAATCCTGACCGAGACTGGTCTCGGAAATGATATTCTAGCTCAAATCTGGCGATTGTCTGATTGGGATGAAGATGGTTACATGGACCTTGATGAGTTCTCGGTTGCAATGCATCTCATAAAGGCTGTGCAGGCTGGTGGAAAATTACCGGACAAGCTTCCATCTTCTATGATTCCTGCCCGCAAGATTTAGATGATATAAAGAAAAAGGAGAAAAAGGAGAAGAAAACATATATATATATATATATATATATGTTTGACATTTTATCTTGCACTTACACTAACAATTATACTTCTTTACTTTACTTTCTTTTAATTTCCATTTTATTTACTCCCATACATTTTACTCACCAACATCTTACTCATTTACTCATTTACATTCATCCTTACTCTTTCTCCCCTTCTCTCGCAATTTATTTTCGGGTGATTTTCATTCTTTCTTTAATCTTACAACTACAGTGATTTGTAATCGCTTTGTGTAAAAATGGCACTATTACTACACCTACTTTACTATTAGAATGAGTTATATGGATAATTGAGCCTAATACACATATATTCTTTTGTCTTCTTCTTTTTTTAATAATATTGTAACAAAACTGTTCAAATTATTGTGGCTATATGTTGAAGTTAAATTGAATAGAAAGAAGTAGAGAGATAATTGACGTGTAGTGGGAAAAAAGAAAGAAAGAGGGGAGAATAAGAAAGAGATATATGTATGTATGTATATATATATATATATAAAAAGAGGATAAAGAGAGAAAAGAAATAAAGATCGGATCTAAGATGTCAGGACGAGCCATGAGATGGAGAAATAGAATAGGCAAAGGGGATAGACCTGTCAGATTGATTGTTACATATATATATATAAAGAATAAAGAGTGGTTCATTAGTTAGTAGTTTGTTGCTGTACGCATAAAACAACGTTTGTTTTATTCTTCGTATACTTACTGCCAGTGCACGACGATTGTTAAGATGCACCTGAGACTCTGACAAGAAGCCAACAGAAGCTAAATTCAATATATATATATATAAAAAAACAATTAGATATCATAGTCATCATTACCGATACTAGTGATAGTAATAAGCAAGTGTTTTTTTTTAGTTGATTTAGTTACTGACCATAGGTAGACCATGCAAATGTAACAAGTGCCATGGGGATTCTGACCCAAACAAGTTTGACAAAGATTGATATGACAGAGGATAAGACTAGAGGGAAAAGACAGTATCCAATCACACACACAGATTGGAAGAACGAACTATAGACACAATACAAATTTTATAGCAATAGTAAATATATATCATGTTATGCTATATGGATATAAATTAATCAATGTATACTTACACAGCACCACCCAAAAGCTTTGCATTTAATGTCACAACAGCTGCACCAATCCAGACAATGGTAAATACTCCAGTAAAGATAGGGACTGCTTGATCAGACGGGGCCTTTGCACTCAAGGTACTATATTTAAATAAATAACATGAATTAAAAATAAAGTCAATTATATCAATTTAACATATGCCTTCCTTTTTTTAAAAGGTATATATATATCATTTCTTACATTGCTAATGCCAAGCACAGAATCAAAGGACCCCACAAATCCCCTTTATTGTAAAATAATATAAGTAAACCAAGGCAAACCAAAAATGCTTTTATACTCTTTCTTTTCTACCAGACTTACAATCTCTCAACACATTTCGATCTCCTTTTGGATGAAGTACTTGCTTCAGCTTTCCTGCAACTTGTTTCAGGTCACGAAGCTGCAATACACAACATCAAATAAAAAAATTAAAGAGAGCAATAATCCATAAGTATTTGTATTTATTAAAAACAAAAATAAAGATAAAAAGGGCGTTTCCCTTTCTTGTCATTAATCTTTTTTTTTTATATTTATTTTTGAATACTTACAATAGTAACCGATACAGGTTCGTCGAGGGTATCTTCACCAGTATACACAAATGAAGACTGTTGTTGTTCCTGTTGACCCTGCTGCTGCTGCTGTTGTTGTTGTTGTGTTGGTCTGGCTGAGCTGCCAATGTTTCCACTCAGCAGCGGATTAGCAAAAGGATTTGGGCTTGACAATGGCTGAACCGATGGTTTGGAGGCCTTTGTGGTCGATTGTCCAGTCAAGTCAAGGTCAGGTTCAACATAGGCTGATGGTGACTGGAAAGGATCGTTGTCAGAGTGCATAGACGCAAAGGGATTGTCATATTGAGCTTGTTGGCTTGCGTTCATGTGTGTTGAAGAAAGCATCACTTGTTTCTTATCTATCTATCTATATATTTTATTTTATTTTATTTCTGTCAGAAATAATAATAGAAAGAAAGAAAGAAAAGGAGTTAAAGGGACGAAACCAAAGGCGATAATATTAAATAAAATAATATAATATAATATAAATAGATAATATAAATAAAAAATAAAAATAAAAATAAAAATAAAATAAAATAAAAGATATATATATGTGTGTGTGTGTGTGTTTTTTTTTGGTGAACGTCTCAGAGGGGGGCGCGTATTTTGCTATATACACACATACACAACTGAACGATATAACTCTATAATCGATAAGTCTGGTAGGTAGGTAGGTAGGTCTGTCTGTCCACACGTGACACGGAATGACGTAAATTATCGGGTACATGGACTTCTTCTAATGCCAACATCTCTCTTCATCACCAGGCAATCAATCATTTATCAATTTGGTTCTAGGTACTTGTCATGTCGGGATTTGGTGATGTCAGTACTATCAGCAGTAATTATGTACAGCAGCCACGACTTGCCAATGAGAGCTGCATGGACTTCTTTTTGATCGAGATGGTCGATACGATCTGCAGAACAGCCTCGACCGAAACTGATGCAGATAGTGAGGCTGTATTTTACAAACTTGAGACCCTTGGTTATGCGGTTGGGCAGAGACTTGTTGAAAGGTAAATAAAGAAAGAAAGAATAGTATTATTATTATGTGGGTGGATGTTGGTGTCGGTGTCGATGTCGGTGTCGGTGTCTTTGTATGGGCATGTGTTTTGCGTTTATGATTAAAGATATTAAAAGGAAAAGAGTAAATATATGCAATCATATGCTTTGTTAGATTTACAAAAGACAGGCCCCGTTTTGCGGATACGTTAGATGTAGTCAAATTCATTTGCAAAGATTTTTGGACAATTATGTTCAAGAAGCAGATTGATAACCTGAAAACAAATCACAGGGTAAGCTGAATGCTATAAAAGTAATATATATATATATAGAAATCTATGTATGTGTAGTTGTATTGGTTTATTTGCAAGTATAATAATAAGAGAAAAATAAAGAATGGAACAGATCGTTAAATATTCACATATTATGAGTAAAGGGTGTGTATGTGCTACAAGACAATAATTTTAGATGGTTTATGCGCATGTCCACTGATATCGGGGGTGCAGATTCAGCTAGAAAGGCATCACCAGTAAGTGTATTTTGTATATGTATAGATAGTTAGGCACAAAATTGATCTTTATCTCTGCTCTATTGCTTTTAATATCTAACACTTTATTCATTAACGTGTGTGCGTATTTGTGAATCAAGTATGTCTGGTTTCCTTGTGGTATCATTAGAGGAGCACTCGCAAACCTTGGTGTTCCGAGTGTGGTAGTTGCAGAAACTTCTAACCTTCCTCAATGTAAGATACGTTTCTGTCTCTATTTAAATGATACACTTCTTCTCCTGCGCCTTCTTGATTCTCTAATGTACATCAATATTACTTTATGTTTATAAAGGCACCTTCCAAATCAAGATTGTACAATAAGGATTTCTCCGATGTCCCTCTTTTTCTTTTTTTTTTTTTAAAAAAAAAGAAGGCAATGCGCATAATGAAGAATCAATACCCCCTTCCCCCGCTTTTTTTTGTCTCTCTCTCAATTATTGATGGTGTTGGAATGAATCGATTTTGAGTCTGATTTATCAGACCCATGATAATGCTAATTTAATCAAAGCTTAAACTTGCTATTCTTAATTTTGGCGATACAAATTCTAATGACCTATCTTTATAAAAAAATGCAAGAATTAGAATGATTATTCGTCAGTTGGTAACTTTAGAATCTTCTAATAATATTAGATACTGCTTGAGTGTAGTCAAGGGTGAATAAACATTTCAAAAAAAAATCACCTAAATCAAAATAATAAAAAACTAGCTTTTATTTTCTCTCTTATTTGCTATAATTCTGTATTATATTAAACCTTGACGCATTTGGCTACGTTTAAAGTAAATTGGAAAGATGGGCTATATCAGTAATAGCAAAAATATACAATTTGTTGTTTTCGGTTAGGGTTGATCTTCCAATTCTACAATAACATAGTAAATATTAATTAAATTCACTGAGGATCGTAGATGAGGATATAAATATAGCTAACGTTTATTAAACAAAACATTATTCTCTTTTACATCTTTTATAAACCTATTTAGCCATTGTAAACGTCTGTTTTGGTTTCTACTCTACTTTCGTTAAACTATATGTTTTCTCATTCTTTTCTTTTTTTTAAGCAAAAGGGAAACATTTTGGTTGTTGTGTCAGAGTTAACATTGGTAATCAGAACCGAAATTTACGATCAATCAGTAATTGTTGAATTTTTAGAATAAAAGATCTTAACATTGTCAATTGGTCTTTTGTATATGCTTTAGATATTTGGGATGATAGATATAACTGTAAATGTATTACTGGATATCTAACATATAAGGCGTTTTGCTGTAGATATTTATTTACTACAATTTCCACAATAATTTTGTATAAATAGCTAGAAATCATCTTCAATAGAAAGTATCTTTATTCATACCTAAAAACTATTCTTAAAAACTTGACGATCCCCAGTGGTATTGATCCCGCAACTTAGTTACAAGTGCCAGAAAAGAAATACCAGATCGAGATTTGACAATTCAATCAGAATAACAATTATATTAAATTCGCTTTTGAATGTTGTGTTTCGGTTTCGTATTTTTTTCTGACTCTTGTGACTAAGTTGCGGGATCAATACCACTGGGGATCGTCAAGTTTTTAAGAATAGTTTTTATATATGAATAAAGATGCTCTTTATTATATATATTTCTTGTGTGGTATTTCAGGTATGAAACAATAGAAAAATAAAATATTTGATAATAGAGACGTATAGAAATACTTTGAGACTGTATATCAGCTGTCTTTATTCATAAATAAAAAGTGTCCCTTTTTATAAGAAAACACAATCTGCTCTTGTCATTACGTCTTAGTTTCTTAAGGCTTTCTTCCTTTACTATATTTGGTTATTAGAGTGTATTTACTGCTTAACTAGTGTCGGTGTTACAATTATAACATCAAGTCATAAATCGTATTTCTTTAGCTCTTAGCTATTCTTTTCTCTTTTATACTAGAGCTTTAGGACTTCCTACTAAATTAGCTCCATATCGATCTGACACAATTTACCCGGCAGTATGATATAATTATCTTAAAAATCTTTAAGATATTATCTACAGTACTAACTGTAATAATTATTGGGCTGATTACTTAATCGTTTATATATATATTATACTGACAAGATGATAGCTACTACGCTATCCCAATATGAATATGTTCTTATATGTGATAAATCCAACATCCAAGTGTTTGGATCACCACATCTTGATTATTTATACGAATTTATACTTGATTTCTGGCTAAAAGAATAGCTACGTTAATATGTCTTAGATGTTAGTTGTTCAGTAATATCTTCTACAAGTATATTCACCATATTAAACATCTAAAACATATACAGAAGACCAATCGGCAAAGTTAAGAACTTTTATCCTAAAAAGTCAACCGTTACTGGTTGCTTGTGTCGTGCTTAATTTTTATGATACAAGTTCTAGTGACTTGTTATTACAAAAGAAGCAGAGATTAGAATGATTATTCATCAGTTTGTAATTTTAGAAATATTACTAGACACTACTTGAGTGTAGTCAAAGATGAATAATCATTTCAAAAGTATATAAGATAACCCAAATCAAAATAATAAAAATCATCTTTTATCCTCTCTCTTATTTGCTATATTCCTGTGTTATTAAAGCTTGACCAATTCAGCTACGTTTACATTGAATTGGAAGATAGCCTAGGTCAGGAACAACACTTGCAACTTCCGATTTTGGTCACCAATGTCACCTTGTCATTCCTGATCTGGGTTGGTCTTCCTTTTATTATAACAAAGTCAAAAGGTCAAACCCACTGGGGATCAAGGAGTATACGTAAAATCAAAGAGAGGATAAAAGATACTTTTTATTGATATGAATTGAATTGTCTTATATAGTCTTCTAAGCTAATACTGCACATTATCTGCAGTAGCTATTATATTATATTTAAATAAAATAAGAGTTATTATACTGCGGTTAATTCTCAGGAAGATGCTACTGTGAATAAAGAGGTACTGCAGTTAACCATCTTCAGATTTTACAGATTCATCAAAATAATGTCTGACAACCTCTGACAGAATGAATAGAAATCAGGAACCAAAAAAAAAAAGTCAGCACTAGTTAAGCCAAAATGGTAACTGTGAGATTCGAACTCACGCCTCTTGCGAGACCGCAACTTGAGTGCGGCGCCTTAGACCAACTCGGCCAAGTTACCTTTGCATGTTTGATATAGGTTTTGTAAAATCTTGAAGCATTAACCAAAAACGTATAATTGTTTGATGTGACGTCAACTTATGGACAGACTATTAAGTTATGGACAGTGCAAAGTCGTGACTCCATCTCCGGACACGACAAAATCCGATTTCTTGGATTTATTTTCTCTCTCCCTCTTTTTCCTTTTTTCTTGCTATCGACATTTAAATTCCCGCTGGACTTTAAATGCTTTTCCCCTTTTTTTCTATTTTTTTCTTGATATTTATTTCCTTTTTAGCTTGCTTCTCTTTGCATTGCACTTGTTCCTTTACACTTCTTGATATTAATTCTTTAGTATGCTTCCCGAGAGTTCATATTTTTTAGTAGTTTGATTATTTTTATTTTTGATTATTTTATTATTTTTGATTATTTCTTTTTGTGATTATGCCCAAAGACCTGTACACTCTTCTGAATAATTATCATTTAGCATAATATGTATCTAAATTATTACTTTGTATGCAGTTGTTAATTAGTATATAAGAGACACATTTTTATCCCAATAAAATTTATTCAGTCTTTTTCTATATTTTTTTTTTGAACATCATCACTGAGCTTGAGCTATTATTCTGCGGGAAATACTAAGTTGCACACTGTTAGGATCTACAAGTACTGTCCTACCATTTGTCTGTTTGTTGATTTGTTGATTTGTCTGTTTGTCTGTTTGTCGATTTGTTGATTTGTCTGTTTGTCTGTTTGTCTGCCTGTCTATCTGTTTCCATCTATTTTAAGTCCCAATTGTTGTCTAAATTCCTTCTTGTTGGATTGTCCTGAGCAAAATCAGAAGAATATAACTATACATATAATATATATTATATTTCTGACTAGTTGCACCACACACCATAACTCAACACACATCATGTTTTCTTATAATGCAAAATAAATATAACGTGATTAACTAACAATATAAATACAATTAATAAAGTATACTTAAAGTACTTATGAAGTAAAATGTGTAATATGTGAGAAGTTATACAATAAGAAAATATGAATAGAATGAATATGAAGATAAAAATAATGTTTATTTATTAGAATATTTGAAATATTTATATGTTTTGGGATATATGATATAATTGGTGAAAGACGAAAAGATGATATTTGCTAAGTAGTTATTGCTAAGTGATTTATTACCAACTACTTTTTTGTCATTGCTTAGTCTACTAGTCATTGCTTATTAACATTCTTAATAAGACAATGTCTTATGATTAAATAATATTGGGACTGAGAGTGAATCACTGTTCAGTTCTGACTATAGTATACACACCATAATTGAGTGAAGAACGGACCTTACAATCAAACACCAGTTCCTTCTTGCTAATGAACCTGGCAAGTTAACACTCTCCAGAACTGTTACATACCAGGCACACATACACTACACACTCATACAGTGTAAACTAACTATTACATAACAGAGATTTGAATTATACCGATTTTAATAGTAGCAGATATAAACAATATTATTTTGTCTCTTTAATAAATAGCACTCTCATAGTAGCTACTTTTCCATTATTGAGATACTAACTCATAAACAATCCCAAATACCTCACTGACAAACGTTAATCATATGTGATAAATCTAATAGGTAAGTGTCTAGATTATTACAGTTATAAATATAAAGATTTTTATTATATTCACTAATAATAAATATTAGAAACTTTAAAAAAGTATAATTCTATATTTATATTTATTTAATTTTTATTAAAGCATACTTACACTAACCTTTATTTATTTTTTTCTTTTACTTTCTTCTCTTTTGCTTTTCTATTTTTCTATGCAGTTTAATAATTTAGTAAGTTTACTGCTCATATCTGCACTTTACTAACTCACTTATATTTTAAACTCTTCTTTTATTATATATTATATAAATCATTAAAGACAACAAATATTATTAATAAATATTTAAAACAGTCTATAATAATATTCTTTAAATATACTATGAGTAATTAGTTAACTTATTATTTTTAAAATATATTAATACTGACTTTAATAGAAAACTACTCTTTTTTGTTCTTTGAATAAAATATATAAAAGTATTCACACTTAAGTCAAAGGTAATATCAACTGTTTTGCAAAGTTTGAGTATATAATTATCTATTTTTTTATTATATTTTAAATATATTGTACTTTTATTTCAATCTATACTTGACAATCTATCTTATAAACACACACACATATATATATATAATATATAAATGAAATACACATTCTTATAATTATATATATTAACAATCACATTTTTATTTTGTATTTTGTATTTATTTATTCAGTGCCTATAAATCAAAATATTGTTATTATTATTATTGCCAATTCTATCCCTGATATACCAAAATGTCTTTACATATAAGTAGACAAATATGTATTCACAGGGTAATAGATATTAATAATAATATCTTTGTTTATTTAAAATATATAAAATATAACACTAGAAAAAGAAGTCTAAAGAAATCTAAAGAAAATTGCAAGAATATCATTTTTGGTCAAAGTGTAAATCAGAAAAAGTAGTATTGAGTTTATGAAACCAATCTGGTAGGAAAATATAGTAAAGGCCAGGACATCAAGATTGTCTAAAGCTATTCAACAAATAGAAGGTTAACATGTATACTAGTGCTACTATCCAAATGTACATATTTAAAGAAGCGTTAGTTATCAATATTAAACAGTTAAATTGTTTTTTCAACTTATTAAAAATCAATAAAAATCAATTTTTCTATAATATTCTATTTATAAAGCATTATTCTTTGATGATATCAACAAGTTTTTCAAAATCTATTGAGAACCTTAATCTTTCAAAATTTTTCTTTAAATCTTCTATTAGAGATTTTCACTATTAATAAACATTAAATCAAGTTTATATTGCTTTTAAAAGGTGGCTATTTTAAAAAATAGATCTATATAAAGGTCAATTTGAGTAGAGTTTTGACTATGAATAAATATATTGCCCAAATGCCAATGAATTATAATATTTTAATATTACATGAATGTAATTGTTAATTGTAATTCATTATCTATTAGTATATAAAACATTATCATTGACAAACTCAGAAGTCTGTTATTATATTCTAGTATTGAATTCATATAGACTTATTATATTATATTTAAGCCTGCTATTACAGATATTTTATATATTATTATAAGATGTTTTTTTTTGTTAGTAACTAGACGAACCAAATCTCATAATGCAAGAGCCAATTGAAGCATTTTTTTATGGCAAAGTGTAAGTCAGAAATGAAACCACCATCTTACAACCAAAACAAAAATTGGTTACTGAAGCCAGTCCTCTAATTTTTGGATTCTTGGGATCCTATGGAAGAATTTTCTCTTACCCGACTCCAGAAAAAAAAAACTGGCACACTACTTTGTCTTGCAGCAGCGTGGAACCCTCAATCAGATATTGATAGACTACAATATCAAAATGTGACATGGGTGTACACCAATGCCAGGGTAACAGAGATAAAATTACTAGCGAGAGAACCTTTGGAGGTCCAATAGAAACAGTTGAATCTAGAGATTACTCAAGAGAAAAACTTATGTATTGTGATCACTTTACAAACATTTGTGGGAAAACAAAGAACTTTTGGCTTATTCTTTCAAAAGATCACACCTTGTTCCTCACGTATCTAGATATCAAAAAAATGTCAACTTCTGTCAAACCAGCTACAATTACTAACATTGTCAAGCACATATTGATATAATGCAACATAGACATGACTATATTTAATTCACATTCAACAAGAGCAGCCGCAAGTACTGATGCAGTACAAGGTAAAATAGATATAGTAGCAGTCAAGCATCATGCAAACTGATCTCTTACAAGTAACACCCTTGAGATATGTTACTACAAGCCAAACTCCCAATATGAACAAGTAACAGAAATGGTGAACTGGTTTTTTTCTATAGATATGACAAACAATACCACATCAGAAGGAGTTGGGGAGGAGGAGACAACAACAACTGTGTTACAAAGAACAAACAATGGAGACATTTCCAACGACTTGACAACGGCCAAGAATGTAGTAACTTCTTGCCTATGGTATATAATATTGTTTTAAGCACATAGTTGTTTTATTTGCTTGTAATAGTCATTAGACTAGATCTCCCTACCATTTACCACAGAAAAATATGAGAGATAACACTTCTCAGAAAGATGTAAAAAGTAAGGTATAACAGAAATTCTACAATAAATAAAGTATGGCTTGGAGAGCCAATATCACATTCTCAGTTGTTGGTGAGTTGTCAGCAACGTTTCCATTTCTAGTAATAAATGCAATGAATGACAATGTTAGTGAAGCAAAGACAGAATATGCGGTTGTAGACTTCCTAGCCTCGCTTTTATTTTCGGATTATAGTAAATAAAGCTTTCTACTATATCACTCTCCTTTATGCCTTTATTGTAAGCACCAAGCTTTTGGCGAGCTAATTATTGGCGGCAAGAGGAGGGGAAATGTAATTGTAACTAATTGACTTAATATATAATAATAGTAATAGTAAAATAAAAAAAAGGTTTTGAAAAAAATCCTTTTGTCTAAAAGAAACTGTTCAGGAACTTCTTCCAATTTGAATTAGGGCAGGTAGGCACCACATCTTCTGTCTTTGTTTCACCGATGTTGCCATTATGTATCGTTCCTAACGCAAGTACTGTTGGCTCCACTCCGACTTTAGATGTGCTTTTGTTTTTGGTAACCTTACCAAGAAACTTCTCAGCTATGTCTCTCTCACAAGCACATTGGTATACTAGTCTGAAGTAATATCGTTCGAGTGTGCTGCTATTTAAACTCCAGTTGGCATGCAGCTTCACCTCTTGTACAGAAGCTTCCTCAATTATGGCTTTTGTACTTGACGCCGACCGGAGAGAGTGTAGCCCAAATATCTGTATATATATGCATGTATCTACCATCATCTTCTTGATCCAGTTTTCTATAGTTGTTGGGTAAGTAGATCGGCCAGAACTCTGCTCACCAAGAATACTTTCTAGGAAAGGGCGATGATCCTCTGGCAAATGTCTTCGCATATCCTTCGATTTCTGGTAGAATTTTCACAAGGTGATCACAAGACAGGCTTGTGAGTCTGCAAATATCCCAAGTTTTGAGATCTTTGCGCAAACCTCCTTTGGTTGTCTAGCAATCAAAGGTACTCCCCGTAGACGCAAATGATTCTTTTCATCAACCATGGAATGTACATCTTGGAACTGAAGATTCCCTAGGTTTGATCTCGGTCTCCACATAGTAGCCACTTCTAACAGCAATATAATTTTCTGCTGGAGCCTATCCAGTGTGAGTAATGATGTTGGGCACCAACTCTCAACATGATTTACTGATTGTATTGTATCATATATCTCTTTGCAATGGTTTGGTAGTCTTACAGTTAATCGTATTTTTGCAAGGAAAAATTGTACTAGTAATTGGTGTGATACAATAGGTGATTTAGTAGGGTGTATCACCTTGTATACCGAAGCAATGTCATATCTGCTAGTATTGAGTGTTGATGCTGCAAACTCACTTAATTCCACTAAACACTGACAATATTCTTGGCATTGTACTTTAGGGGATCATAATTTCTGATTGGATCTTTGCACCATTGGACCCATTTAATCCAAAGGTTATCGTAGCTCTTGTGGGTTGATGAACAGCTAATGCCTTGAATTTAGTCTGCTACCTTTTCATTAATCTCCTGCCTGGCTTGATAGTCCCTGTTAATTTCCATACGGTCAAATTCCAAGAATTGTGCAGCGGTATTGATATTAGTATTGCTGCTGATAAGCTCTGCTGTAAAATCATTGGTCACCAGTACTAGCTTGGTCAATTCGGTATTATAATTACTGCTGTATTCACTCGATCTTCTTTCAATTTTCTTATTACTCGTGGACTTATTTTCCATGGGGGTGCAAGTAAAGTCCCCCTTTTGGCCAATATTGTTGAAAGGCATTGGTCACTAGAGCGTCGGGATCCAGAAGGTAACTCTAATTTTTTTCAAGCGTGTATTTGCTAATGAGGAAAAGGCGTCTATCGATATTGGTCCACACAACCATTACAACATGTGAAACCACCTGCGTGTTAGTATCAACTCGTTCACTGGCTTGTCTTTGCGGCTCAGCTGATCTGCTTGTATGTTCTGAAGGTCAGGTATATGATTATATCTCACCTTAATGTTGTATTGGTTCGTGATCGCTTGGATTTCCAGGGCAAAACCTTGTAGGATCAGCGATGGTGCTTCTCCAGATTTCATTGCAGATTTCAAAGCTGTTGTGTTGACCGAAAATATTTGGACGATGAAATTTTTATATTTTCGGGCGTAAAGTTGAAGCGCAAAAAAGATTGCCTTCAATTCTCTCATGTTGATCGACATTTCCTTTTCTTCGTCTGTCCAGTATCCTGCTGTTCTTACCATTGAGGATGTGACTCTCCAACCTGAATCCGATGCATCGACATGAATCGTGACAGCTGGTTCCTCCATTACACTGCCTATACGTGCTGTTATCATCACTCCATTTTTCTCCTGGCTTTGTGTCATCTACCAATTCAGCTCCTTAATCGCTAGCAACGATATCATACACGGTTTGTCCCATTTGTGCTGATTGTGCCGCAGTCTCACAGCAAGATCGCGTTGTAAATACCTGATATGAAGCAGTGCTTCCCCTATGGCTGGGATCATAGCTGTCATCTTCCCCAGAATCCCCGCAATCCACCTGCATGAATATGGTCTCATTTGTTGATTCTGCTATAATTGATCTATACGGGAATATAGTTCGTTCATCTTTGTCTGTGTTGGTAATAAGTATTGATTGCTGCTGAATCCGAGAGTAAGACCGAAAGATAAAATAATATTCTCAGCTATTCCAGTCAAACGGGTCTGCCTTTATGATATCATTTAATACACATATCATCGTACACATAATTGATTATTTATTATTATCACTATAACATGGGATATACAAATACACATATATTATATTTATGGCATTATCATATTTAATCTACACATTTCTTTTATTGTATGAATAATTAATTCAGAGGCTACAACTACAATTATGAAATATTATGAAGTATTACCCAAGTATCTGGGTCGGAATACTAGAATATTATCAATAGCATAAATGCTATTCTTTATCAAAGCTCTCTGGCTGATCTGACTGGAGAATGATCAAATCAATTGGGATTTCTGGAGATTTCCAGAAGAAAAATACTCCTGGAAGATGCCTCGTCGTGATAAAGACTACTTAAGTACATACTGAATTACAAATTAGAACATATAAATATCAGTAGATAGTTCTGTGTAGAGAAACAACCGAATTTTATTATTTTTTACTTCTTCTTTTTGAATAAACGACTTACACAATTTCTCACGAATTATTTCGTCTATCTTTTTATTGTTTTATTCTCCCCCCACAGCAATAACTGCTTTTACTCGATTTCAAGAGTTTGGTTTTTGTAAAAATAAAAAAAGAGAGAGAGAGAAAGAAGTGCTGGTATAATTTTGGCAAGATATTTGAAACATCTGCTCAAATACATCAGAATTAATCCCATATCTTTTTTTTTTTTAGAAAATTTAGGTGCTTATATATTGAAACCTTTAGTATTTTAACCAAACGAATCATAATATTGACAAACACTTTATTATGAACTAAACCTTTCTTTTCCACTTCATTGTGAAACCTTGGCTTTTGTAAAAAGCAAACTGGATCACTTTTTTTTTATATTACAGATTAATTTTACGACCCGGGACTTAAATATGAGATAATGAGGTATAACCATCTCTCGATAAAAACATTCTGCTTGGAAATCATATAAGTTATATTCCACAGCTCTAAGATATATACTGATATACTATTCTGGTAGTTTCTGCTACTGCTAATTCTGCCGTTGTTTCTGTTACGTAAAATGAGAAGACGGTATTGGCTACACAATAGAAGTACAAGGCCACAGAACCTCTTTTTATACGTTTTAAGCTCGTCTTTAATAGGACATTAAACTTGCTGGTACCTGAGTATTACCTTTAAATTTCCCTTTTGGGTTCTTCTTTACTAACAGAAAGCTTCACTACTTTTTTGCTTTTCTTCCTGCACAAAGCTTGCTTCTTAAAGGATTGACATATGGAATAATTATATATAAATAATAAGCCACATATATATCACATGTCAATATATGGAATTATTCTATTGGACGATCAGTGTTTACGTCATATCTCGCGTATTCACTCATACACGTATAGAAAAATGGTTCTTCAGTGTGAGGGCAAGAAAACTCGCCTTTATCATAAACACAACACAGATAGTTGTCTATGTAAGTAGCAAAATTGTTAAAGAAAGTACATTTCACACATGTGGTGCTAATTATGATGAATTTATTAATGTAATTTGTAGTAATGTTGCTTTTGACATTTACCTAAACGTATTTTCTCAAGAAGTGAATGTAAGTAATCACAAAATAAAAATATACCCTTATTTCATTGAAACTCTTACTAACGTTGCGTAGTTAATAGTAAAGAGAAAGTCTGACCCGAAAGGGTCAGCCTTGACAGCAGCTTGTCAAGAAAGCCTCTAGTGACGTCGTTGCGGTGAAAACCAAAGCGGCCAACCAAACCACACCCAGTTAATGGCTCTGGGAACGGCTAGCAAGAAACACCGGTCTACTCTGGTCTCCTCTATTCTGACATTTGGTACAACGTGGTCAATCTATCATAGAGAGGCGTAGCATAGGTGGGAGCCACCGGGCGCCAATGAAATACCACCACTCTCTATGACAAGCCAAACGGACTGAGGATGAGTCCTGATATTCTCCTCCCCGTTGATGTCAGATGTTGAGGTTCAAAGACGATCAGATAGACTGGTCTTTTATGGGTTGACAGCCGAACGTTCTAGCGACGCGGTTGACCTATAATAAAACCAACTCAACCCGTGCGATAGGCATCCGTGTGTCTGGGGTATGACTGATTTAACAAGTTGGGACGCCTATTTAGCCCAAGTAGAAGAGTCAGTATAGAGTTTGGTCCGACTGTCATGATGTACTGGTCTACTTCTTGCTAGCTGGTACCCGATATTGTAACAGCAAATGGAGTTTTTTTTTCGCAAGAGAAATTACTTTATTCAAGCCTCCACTCTCTCGTGATCGGTGTTCTGATCCTGTTTTCGCGAAGATGTGCTTGTTCAATGAGTTTTTGACTGAACGCCTTTAAGTCATTACTCTGTGCTGGAAACAATGTTACTCGTTCTCCGTACAATTTTGTACTTGACACCATATATTGTTTTTCGCTTATTACTGTCTAGGCAGTCGTAAGCAAAGACACCCCGATAATGCCAATTCTAGAACGGTAAAATCTCGTTCATCCCAAACGAAAAAGGCGGGGTCTCCAAACTTTATACGGTCTTCGTTGCCTAAAAAAGTGAAGTTCGCCCTTGTCTTTCGATTTCTTCCCCCCCCCCCCCCCCCCGTCTCGGTCTATAGTTAACTTTTTAGTTGGCTTGACAGGTGTTTTTCCAACCTTGGTTGGAAGAGCGTGAGTTCGAATCTCACAGAGACGTATTACTAGCAGCAAGCTAGTTCCAATTTCGTATATATTATAATCAATAGAGCATAAGTTAACTATAAAAATATTTCAAAATAGTAAAAATATTTTTTAATTGTACAAATACAGTTAACGGACTGCTTACTGCTTGTCCTTGGCCAATAACGCTACAAAAGACCCTAACACATCGTCGTTCTCATGGCAGGCATGTTTAACATGTACGAGTTCAAAAAATCAGCTTGCTGACCATCTCCACCTCAGTACAAACTATCTTGCGGGCATTACTTAGATAGAAACGAATTAGAAAGTATTTTGTAATGAGCATTGAATCAATGCTGACTTCCCATCCATCGTCAAGGTGTAAACGCACATCGATTTATAACATCACCACTGCCGATGTCTCACTCAAATAGGTTAAGAATGCTACTATGTTGGTTGTTAAGAAATTTTGAAAACTCAAAATGGTAAGAATCGTAATGACAACCGAACAAGAAGCTTTAAAATATGCCAATGGAGGCATCAATATTGAAGACAACAGTGCTTATGGATTCCTATCTCTTGGACTAGATGTAGAATTTCCCAAAGCCTTTCTCTCCAAAGTTTTGATGTAGAATAATATAAAATTCATAATGATCCTACTTGAAAATATCAAAAGCCATGCCATCTACCCCGAGATAGGTTATGCAACTATCATTATGCTTGTTCAGTAACCAGGTCTAGACTCTCATACGCTTCCCAAACAATCTCCCAATTACATTTATTATTCCTTTGACCTATACTATTTCATTTCGAAATGATCGTGCTATATATGCCACTTGGCCCAAGATAGCACTGCACTGTTGTTCTTATCACAAGCTTGGGTACAGATTATCTTATTGACATGAGTGTAAATTTCGTATATACGGAAAGTGTAATACACCTGGCCACATCTGCAACCGATTCTCTGAAAACAGCTATACACTTAAATGTACTAAAACCTACCTGTTATATAGCTCTGAAAGTGAAAAGCATAGTAAAGATTTCTCTAAGAAGGCCAGCTTCTTCACTACCCCTCTCCTTTATGTGGGACTTCTACTTAGTAGTTGCCTTCCTCCTCTTTTCCCAAAATCTGGAAAAAACTCCCACCTACTCTCCCCTTTTCTAGTCTCAAAGACCAATTTCTTTCCCACTTTTTGGGACCTTTTTCTTTCCCCTTCCTCATACTCCTCCTACAGGAGACTTTGATGAGACTGTTACTTATTACCAATCAATTCTGCTCCTTCGTTTCTGAGATCTGCGGCTATGGTCACTGGTTATATCAATAGCTGTAAAAATAAAGTTGAATAGCGGGCTTACATAATTGTCTTTAACTGTTAGGAAGAAAAAAAGAAAAAGTAGAAAAATAGAGAATCTCTTTTGTTTTTCGTATTCCTAGGAATTATTTCAAGTAATGTATCTTGGCTCAATTTAGCTTGTCTTTATAGCTTAGGTCTCATGCATTACATTATCATCAGTCATTATGTTAAATTTATAATATTAAAGTAAGCCATAAAAGTTACAATTATGGTACATATAAAACTTTCCAAAGAACTAAAATAAAAGACCATAAAGTCTAGGAGGTAATCATTAGTATAAAAGAGACATAATATATGGCGGTTCTCAAGCTTTGCGTAGATACTATAAGTAATAATAGTTGGGCAGCTTCAAGACGACGGCTATCAACCCGCAGCTATATAATTATAAAGCTTTCTTTTTAATAGATTTGTCCTCTTAATAATTATTGATTGCTTGAAATTCCAATTCATCTAACTAGGTAGCATGGCTTCTATTGACTTGATGTCTAATTAACCTTATATCACTACCGACTTTGCCTGTTTCGCCGTATTTTTTTTATCGGATCCAGTTTCAATATTGTGGATAAATATTCAAAAGTTAATGGAGATTCATGTGCTTCAAAAGTGTAGTCAAGGGATATAATTTTGCCACATCTACTAATATATAATATTGAATAACTTGGCATGAACGGTTACTTATGAAATGGGCACACCGTTGCTGCTAGAGTTTACCTTTTAATGTATGGAGCTAATTATTAGACCTTCCAACATATCTAAGATTCAAGTATATATAAAGAAAAACATGGCCCCAAAAGTATTCCTTAAAAAGTCGAGTAGTGCAGGAACATTTTTACAGCTAGCGAGACTTTTATGATAATTTATGAGCCCTCTTACCGGCGCATTCACCTCGTAAATTTTTGGCTGGGTATTTATAATATGTTAGTGGTATTATATGCTTATGTTTTATTTGAGCATAATACTTAGATATTCTCGTAAAGAAAGGAACATTCTTATATGTAAATATATGTATGTCGCTTCTGCTCCGTCTAACCACCTTCTGTGTTTGTCTATAAGCTTTTAACAATTCAGTATAGATACTATTGTCTTTCATAATGCCAACCATGCTGGCGAGATCAAACCCGTTATAGATATCTCTCAATTGACGGTGAAAGATGATATCCATTGACGATAGTAACATAGCAAAGATATACTAGCTATAAGAGCTGAAGGAGACCAGAGTGTGTCTGAACATTAAATGTAATATTTCTCTCTAAAAATTATGGATCTCCATTAAAGTAACTTTGATCTGACGGATTTAGCTCTCTGCCTGTAAGTAACCATCAGCCGCAATTAACTAAGATAGTTTACTTTTATATATCTAAATCAGTTCAAAAAATGAATATATCCAAATAGAAGATAAATTGGTTGCATTTGGCAAGAACTGGACTTCATTTTTTTTTAAAAAAAGATTATAATAATCATAACTGACGCAAAACTGTGATTGTTGTTTATTGTGAAAAATATCGAGGCTTTCATTCAGTTGCCCCCTTATAAAAAGTGTCAGTTAAAGATAATTAATACAAACAGTTTAATAAGGGAAAACCTAATTAAGAGCAAACATCTAAGTTACAATTTTACTGGATGATATTACAAAGAATAGAGTTATTATCCCATACTTTTGGAATTTAACTTTTACGATTAATAATCCTGACAAAAAATTCTGTACAGGTTTCTTTTTTTTTTGAAACCCCCAATTTATTTTATTTAAATCTTATTCTTATATTTCGCTTTATATATTTTTCTTTTAAGAATAAATACATCTCTAAGATAAAATTCCCTACAAAATGCATAATTATCGAAACAAAGCCATTATTGAAAACAGATGAAAAAATTATATATTTTCTGATAAAGAAGAATAATCTTTTTGAAATACCCACATATAAATAAAACACCCAGCCTCCTTTTTGTCATGACGCAGCACTCTCTAAATGTCGGAGACTCAAAATGACGAAAATAGTGATTCAAAATTTTTGTTACAATTTATATTCTCTTCTTCCTTGAGACGGGTCTATTTTATACATCGCATCATGAGTCAGAACGGTGCCGACAACGGTCTCGCTAAGGAGACCTCCAAGTTGAACCTTAACCCCACTGCCACTGAGTGGAAGCCTAACTTTGGAGCAAGAGCATTTGTCCCTAGCTGGACAATGCCTGCTGCTGCTCCAGCTCCTGCTGCCCCCGTTGCTGCTCCAGCTCCAGCTCCTGCTGCTCCAGTTGCTGCTCCTGTAGCCGCTCCCGTAGCTGGTGTGTTTCTATTGACCGTACGATACGACCGAGATCAAGTCCACTCACCTATATATATATATCTCCCTTCTCCCTCTTGAAACTTAGCTGCTCCTCGCGTTGTCAAGCCTTCTCCTGCACCTGCTGGTAAATAGTGTCATTTTATACATTTTTTTCACCTAAAATTTCTAAATAATGCACAATAGCTCCCAAGGCTGCTGCTCCCAAGGCTGCTGCTCCCAAGGCTGCACCTAAGGCTGCCAAGAAAGATATCGAGAAGACTATCCAGGCAGCTACTGAAAAGGCAGAGGCTGTTCAAGAAGAACTTGAGAAGCTTGACGATGACATTCTTCATGATCTTTATGGCAAGGAGCATCTTAACGTCGTCTTCATGGGTCACGTTGGTAAGTAATGAATGTTTAAAAGAGGAAAAAGAAAAAATGATATGCGTATGTGCGCATGTGCGTATGTGCGTATGTGCGCACATGTGTTTTTTCTTTATTGGAGAAAGTATTAGGATTTGGGTCTAATAATCATCTGTAGATGCTGGAAAGTCTACCATGGGTGGTAACATCCTTTTCTTGACTGGTATGGTCGACAAGCGTACTATGGAGAAGTATGAGAAGGAAGCAAAGGAAGCCGGTAGAGAGTCCTGGTATTTGTCTTGGGCATTGGACACTAATGTAGAAGAGAGAGCCAAGGTAAGAGACTACATAATATGTATAGAGAAGAGAAAAAGAAAAAAGAATCTTCACAATGTGTACAAGTGCACATTTGAAAATATAACTTTGGTTCGAAGTGTATTGACTGTGTGTTATTTTTTTAAAAAAATAGGGTAAGACTGTTGAGTGCGGCAGAGCTTACTTTGAGACCGACAAGCGTCGTTACACTATTCTTGACGCTCCTGGCCATAAGAACTTTGTCCCAAGTATGATCAGTGGTGCTTCTCAAGCTGATGTTGGTGTGCTCGTCATCTCTGCCCGTAAGGGTGAATTTGAGACTGGTTTCGAGCGTGGAGGCCAAACCCGTGAACATACCATGTTGGCCAAGACTTCAGGTGTCAACAAGATGATTATTGCTATCAACAAGATGGATGATCCCACTGTCCAGTGGGACAAGGCTCGTTATGATGAGATTCTTTCCAAGCTCACACCTTTCCTCAAGCAGACTGGTTTCAACCCCAAGACTGACATTGCTTTCATGCCTGTTTCCGGTTTCACTGGTGCTAACATTAAGGACCGTAGCAGTGAATGCACCTGGTACAGCGGACCCTCTCTACTCGAGTATCTGGATGACATGAAGACTCTTGACAGAAAGCTCAATGCTCCTCTGATGGTTCCTATTGCCGAAAAGTATAAGGATATGGGTACCATTATCGTTGGTAAGATCGAGTCTGGTAGCGTCAGAAAGGGACAGAATGTGTTGCTGATGCCCAACAAGGTAAATTACTATAAGAAAATGGGAAAAAAAAGAAGACGATGATATTTTAAATGCTAAGTTGGTTGTTTGCCCGTTTGTTTGTAGCGTGTTACTGAAGTGACTGCTATCTACAATGAGACTGAAGATGAAGTCGACCATGCCATCTGTGGTGATAATATCCGTATGCGCCTCAAGGGTGTCGAAGAAGATGTAAATATATAATACAACTTTAAGTAATTGATATGTGGAAGGTTAAACATACATGTGTTGTATTTTTTTAGGAAGTCTCTCCAGGTTTCATGCTTTGTGACAAGAAGAAGCCTGTTAAGACTACAACTGTATTCGAGGCTCAACTCGCTATTCTTGACCATAAGAACATTATCTGCGCTGGTTACACCGCTGTGCTTCATCTCCATGCCTCAGTCGAAGAAATCACTTTGACATCCCTTCTTCACTTGATTGACAAGAAAACCGGCAGAAAGTCCAAGCGTCCCCCTCAGTTTGTCAAGATGGGACAAAAGGTTATTGCTCGTGTCGAGACTGCCGCACCCATGTGTATTGAGACCTTTGAAGATTATCCTCAGCTTGGTCGCTTCACTTTGCGTGACGAGGGTAAGACCATTGCTATTGGTCGTGTTGTAAAGGTCTTGGAGTCCGAGACTGCTGAACAAGAAAAATAAGCCTTTCCAATCAAAACACAAAAGACCGAGTTGTATTGGAAATTACATTATAATTGTAAACACAATGTTTTCTTTTTGATTAATGAATTCATACAAAACGTCAATTCATTTTTTTTTAACTTTTTTTTTGATAAATAAAACCAAAACCAAAATCAAAGTTGTACATTTTATATTACTCATTTTCCACACTAATATTACACAAATGTGTATGTTTTGTATTATAAATTTTTATAATTGTACAAAGTAACTTATAAAATGTGCAATGCTTGTATTGTTGGAGAATGTACGAATAAGTTGAATAGGTTTGAATAGAACAAAAAAACAGAGGGAACTATTGCGTTCGTATGTATGTGCAAATGCTCAGAATAAACAAAAATGAATCTCACTGGGAACCCCCTGCTAATGTTCAGTATGATTATATAACTTTTAAATATATGTATTTATTATACTACTTCCAAATAACATTTGTTCACTTTCAGAAAAATAACATGCATTTCCTTTTATTTGTTAAAAAGAAAGAAAGAAGAAACAACAGTATGATATGTACACAATGTGTTTGTAGATACACTATGAAAAGCGACAAAATTGCTTATGTAAGAGAAAAGCCAAGTAAATAGGTGTGAAAGCTGATCGAGATTCCTACTTGCTGGGAAGATTTTGTACACTTTGCTCAAAGAATAGTGTGAGTGTGAGGAAAGTGTGCAAATGATTTTTGAAAATAGCGCATATAAAATAGAAAGAACGGACTAATCCTTGTTTAAAGTACAACAAAAAGAAAGAAAAAATTGCTCGAATTTATAGTGTAATTTATACACGCACAAAGGGTGTTTACAAAGAATCCCTGTTAACCGTGGGAAGTAGAGCCAAAATAAGAAAAAGGAAGAGGGCTTGGGTTCCATGAAAAAGGGGTACCTTATTTTCTTCTTTCTTTCTTACATCTGATAAAGGTCATTATTGTGTGACATTGTCTTAAATGTCAGTCGGGATTTATATATATATAATAGTTTTTTTTATATGTTAATAATAAAGAGATCTTTAAACGAAGATCTAAAATGGGTGGGGGGGAATGGAAGAAGTATGGAACAAATTCAGATATAAAAAAAAATCTGATTTTCTTTTTGGCTTGGGTAGGAGGGATTTTAGGATTTTGGATTTTGGGTTGGACTTTTTACAGGGAAGCACGGGTGCGAATGGCAGCCAACTTGTCAGCAATCTGCTGCAAGAACTCTTCTGTGCTGGAGTAGTTTTCACGGGTCATGCTACAAACACAATGTTAGATTAGTATACCAATAATATCACACCTTCCTTTTTGCCACCCTTATTTTTCTTTCTTTCTTTCATTCTTTCATTCATTCAATTTTTCTCTACGTCTCTTTCTCTAGGTGTATGTTAAGTCTTACCTCTTTCCGTAGATAATCAAAGCAAGATCCTTGGTCATATGTTTGTCGTTCTCGATAGTCTCGAGACAGGCACGCTCAACATCTTGTGTGAATTGAGCAAGCTCCTGGTTGTTATCGAGCTTGGCACGGTGAGCCAAACCGCGAGTCCATGCATAGATGGAAGCAATGGGGTTGGTAGAAGTGGTGTTACCCTAAAATGTGCGTATATACTCGTTAGTTATGTTTTCCCTACTTCAAAAGGGATCTAGTTTCTTTTTGGTTTCTCAATATACCTTTTGGTGCTCACGGTAATGGCGAGTGACTGTGCCGTGGGCAGCCTCAGCCTCGACAGTCTTACCATCGGGAGTGTAGAGAACGGAGGTCATGAGACCGAGGGAACCGTAACCCTGAGCAATGATATCTGACTGAACATCACCGTCATAGTTCTTGGTGGCCCAGACAAAGTTTCCGTTGGACTTCAAGACCTGGGCAACCATATCGTCAATGAGACGGTGCTCGTACCAGATCTTGAGGGCATCAAACTGGGGCTTGTAAGACTTCTGGAAGACCTCCTCAAAGATATCCTTGAAGCGACCATCATAGGCCTTCAAGATGGTGTTCTTGGTGCTCAAGTACAAAGGCATCTTGCGGTCAATGGCAACACGGAAACAGGCGTGAGCGAAACCCTCGATGGACTCATCGGTGTTGTACATGGCCATGCCAACACCACCTCCGTTTTCAAAGTTGTAGACATCGAACTTCTGGACAGCTGAACCATCGGCAGGAGTGTAAATGAACTCGAGCTTTCCGGGACCCTTGGCGACGAAATCAGTAGCACGGTACTATGGTACATAAAGTTGAAGGGAGTTTTTTTTAGTATCAATACTATAAAAAAAAAGAAAGTATTTAACTCATATCTTACCTGGTCACCAAAGGCGTGACGACCGACAATGATAGGCTCAGTCCAACCAGGGACAAGACGGGGAAGGTTCTTGAGGACGATAGGCTCACGGAAAACGGTACCGTTCAAGATGTTACGGATAGTACCGTTGGGAGACTTCCACATCTTCTTAAGGCCGAATTCTTTAAAGACACAAAAAATGGGTTATTAGTTTATTAAATGCCAGACGCGACTTCATCCGTCCTTTGTTCTCCCCACACACACAAAATAATATACCAAAGGACTTCGTTTATTTTTATTTTTTGTTTTAAATTGTAAGCATACCTTCAACACGAGCCTCATCGGGGGTGATGGTGGCACACTTGATACCAACATTGTACTTCTTGATAGCCTCGGCAGAGTCAATGGTAACCTGGTCGTTGGTCTGTTGAAATACGGACACAATGGACAATGTTTAGATTGGGAATGTTTGTCACAAATTCACAACTTACGGCATCACGGTTCTCAACACTGAGATCGTAATACTTGATGTCAATATCAAGATAAGGAAGGATGAGCTTGTCCTTGATGATCTGCCAGATAATTCTGGTCATCTCATCACCATCCAGGTCAACAACGGGGTTCTTAACAACAATCTTGGGCATAGTGTCTATGTAAATCTACTGCGACTTGAAAAAGGAGAAGAGAAGAAGGAAGGGACCCTAATGCCTGTAATGCCACACTCTTTTTATACAAAATAAAATATATGAGACTCCACTTGCGTGACAGATTACAAGACGTACAAAGTGGGGGGAGGGGAGGGGGGCGAGGGTTCTCTTTTGGGGTTGCAGAACTGACAAATGAATACGAGAGACTAAAATATTCAAGAGGCGGTCAAATCCACCTACAGAGATCATTGACTTTTTTGAACTGTAAAAAAAAAGTTTCTCCCCGCATTTTGGCGGTATTTGGTAAGCCTATAACTACGGGAAAACCATGGCGGGGATCAGTGTGGAATTGTACAAGATGTACAAATATATACACATCACAACCCACAGACAGGACACAAAATAACGTACGGGAAATACTCTCCGATTAAGCAGGTCAAATCAATCCTAATCGTCATTTCACCTGTTGCTTACCAAGACTTATCTTTCAGGTTCTTTCAAAGACAAATATATATAAAAATAAAAGTCACTTCCGACCCCTACTAAATAAATAAGCGGAAGTAGTACACCAGAAGCGTACATTGAAAATATCTTGGGTATCATTCCCAAGAGATTAAAAATTCCAAATTATATATATATTTATACACATACATACACGCACATACATACATATGTATATATATATATATATGTTATTTTTTTTTGATTTGTAATTTCTATATTCTACAATATACTAGACTGGACTATGCTGTTTCTGTTTTTTTTATTGGTAAGAAAGAACGCTCATTTACAAGGTCTAGTCCAATGCAAATTTGACCCATTATTTTCTACAGTTTGACTTGCCGCCATTTGTCGCTTTTTGTATGGGGTCCAAGACCAAAAATAATACATTCATAGACTTATTCCAATATGGGTTGCTTTTTATTTCTCTTGGTTGGACATCAGATAATATAACGGAGCCATAGGCTAATAGGGAATACATTGGATATGATAAAAAGAAAACGAGAGTGTATGTGATAAGGAGGAGGAAATACTAATGTACTTTACATACTATCTTTGTTCTTTATTTTTTTTTATTTTTTTAAAAAGATAATGACAATGCCCTATTATAGGATGTTTTTAGATTATCAACAAGATTATCCATAAAAGAAATCATACACGCAAAGCCTTTGGAACTTGGAGGGATCTCTATTGATCTTCTTTTTCTAGTCACCTTTAACTAAAGGGACATTAATTTAAATAATGAAGACCAAGAAAATATTGCAATATTTTTTTTTAAAAAAAAGAGATGACTTCCCTAGTAAAAATGGAGCCTATCAATCAACCTCTTGAGCTCGTCATATTCAAACGCATTTATCTTATACACAGTCAAACGCTCCGACAAATCTTATTCAAACGTGATAACGAATTTTACGATTGGCTTGGTAAATGGGACCTGTTCCGAAGAAACTACCAGAAAAAAAACTCCATTTGGAAAAATAAAATAAACTAAAAGAAATACTTAGACACTAGACACTAGACACTAGGTACTTTATATTTGTCATACGATACAAAAAATCATATCTGCAAGTCTTGCACACTGGCATTTAAACTAGCCAGCCTTTATGGGTATTATTATTTTTTTGACCACAGCAAACCTCGTTCATTTTGTAAACATAACGTGGGTGTGGGCCGTGCACAAAAGATGCAACCTACAACTAAATTATTATGTACCCCCTTTGCATTTTCTTTTTCTTTTTCAATAGTAACCATCATAAGGTCTATAATTCAAATACTCTTATCACCTTTTGTTGGTTCAGAGCTACACATCTTTTTTAAGTCTTTCATTGTGTATTTATCAATTGAAATCCTGGTATATGTATTATATATATACATGATATAAAAATGCTCCTGCCTTTCAAAATTCATAACTGATCTACACTAAATCTAAACAATCAGTTCATTGATAAAGAAGTAAAACATTACGGACAGTTGTAAAGCCGTCAATATATATATATATATATCTTGAAATAAACCAACTTTTTTATCATTGATCTACTTGATACATATTTATTCAACTTAATTAAAAAAATAGTGTATAATTGCTTGTGTATTTGTCTAGGAAACCTTACAGTAGGACGATAATGTATTTTTACGGAAATTATAGCTATTATTATTATTAAAGTTAGGAATCAAACAATGGTATCGTATGTAAGAGAGGTAAATTGAAGGAAATTAGATATATGTTAAAATGTGGTTTGAGAAACGGTGAAAGATAGGAGGAGGGATTGGATTTTTTTCAATTAATTACAAGAAAGCAAAAGGCCACAAAATATGTAATTGGAATATATTTATTAAATTCAACATTAGAAACTAGTCTTTTTAAAAACCAAGTGTGTCGAGCGTTTATATGCTAGTCCATATATTACAATGTACAAGCTTTTTATACATATACAGATCAATAGAAATATGAACTTCTAATAAATAAATAAATAAATAAATAAAAGGGTCGTTAACTGGACAGGTCGCTTTAGTTTCATATTTAAAATCAATGATGTCGGCTCCAAAATCATCGGAAGAGTTTCTTGTACGATAAAATACAACATTACTCCTGGAATGAAGCGGGAAAACGGTATCCTAATACTCGGTGTGGTTTTTTTAGCAGGAGATCTTCTGGTTATGGATGATGATTAGTACCATTAAAAATCCATATGAGTTTATTATAAGATATATTTCTTCCGTGGCTCCGAAATTAATTCGAGAAAGTCAAAAACGAAAATGCTTTCCTTGGTTACACTTCTGGGATCATACATAAGATGCTGAAAGGAAAATTATTAAAATTAAAATATCTGAATTCTTATCTACTCATAGTCGATATTTAAGATTTATAAAATATGGTTGATGTGAGGTTGAGATAAAGAAGAACCTTATATAACATATACAAAAACAAATACTGTAAATGTGCTTATTATTTTGCCAATACTTCTTGATTGAAAATGTCACTACCTATTTAATTAATAAAATATTAACTAGTATACGATGGTTTAAAAAACGCTGCTTATGTCAAAGCGTTTAAGAAAGATCTCTTTCTAATGAGATTGTATTAAATATCATGTGTGTTTCTTTGGAAGTATTATATTATATATACAGAATTTATCCAGAATTATATGGTTTAGAGACTTGTAGACCGAATAAAGACGTAAAAAATATTATGTTGATACTGGTGCTTATATCATAATAATTTGATCCAATACGATATAGATGACTTTCATAATAAGATCATAATGATAATAAAAGGGCAAAATAAAATTTTGTTTTATAAATGAGCTTCCCAGTAGATTCATAACTCATCTTTTCTTTATTTTATCTTGGCAATCATTTCTTAGCCCTGAAGCTTGATATAACGCTAAAAGTATATGTATAATTAAACTGAAAATACAGGGTAATCTCTTGAAAAATTCAGAACGTTGCTTTAAGCTTTTATATGTCACACATCAAGAATTTTGTGATCATTTCTTCAGAAGTTCTTGGTTCTAATATTTTAGAATAAAAATATTAATATCAATATATATATATATATCTATTATATTGTGTATACTAGATTATATAGTCATTTCTGCGTTGATGAGTTACAGTTTTTTTTTACATCTGTAAGGAATAGTATTACTAAATTTGCCTCTAATCCATAAATAAAAGTTAAGTAAAAACAGCAACGTTGTTAGCATTTCTAACATAGCTAACAGTGTTTTTTTTGTAGCACGCACAAAGAGACTTGGGCAGAAAAAGTCTATTGTGTTGGTAGCGTCTTTGAAAAAAAAATCGAGTTTTAAAGCGATTTTTTTTAAATATAAAATAATATTCAAGTAGCCCTGACTAATAGCTCTTTTCTTTAAAAAAAATTACTGAAAGTAATTAGTAATTATTTTTAAAAGACCTGTGGTATATATTCTTCAAAATATCACTTTGAATATTATGTGAATAGAAGATTTTTCATTCCTTATTTTCAACAGACAGATCAATTAATTCACCCGTTATTATTTTATTTTCAAGTATTTCCAAATACAATCAGTCTTTTTCGTTCTCTAAAACAGTAGAGTGATAGGCGGCACCAAAGTCTTTAGAGAGTTTTATTGGCTTTGTTGCTTCTGGTAGTGTGTTACTTTAACTCCTGATTCATTGTGCCGTGCTTCCTTTCGATACTCATTCTATACAGCGGAGTAGACTGGGTGATGGCATAAATATACATTACGCTAAAGAAGAGACATAAGTATAAATGATAGATCTATATTATTTTCCCATATTCTACATTTGTAATAAACAAGTTTCCTACATAAAATAGTAGCTTATTATCTTCCCAATGAACCAGCCTTGCATGTCTAACAAATCGTTTATAAGGCTTCCATTCTGTTATTTTCTGTTTCCTTATTATCTTTCACCATTTCTATAGCAGCCAAGTACATTTCTGTAAAGGCTGAGCCGACCAATACGTCAATATATGGACACATTCAACAAACAAAGCCCTGAAATAAACAAATAAAATGAAAAAAAAACAATAGGTACTATGATAGTGCTTTATCTACTCAAGAGAAAAAAATCATACTTATTTATATAGATATTTGGTTTCATAATTTAGTATCCCAGTTGATTAATGGTTGCTTGTCACCAAGGTATTCCATATAAGTTCTTGTTTGTATTGAACAGAATTCTGGTTCATTTATGGAGTTCTTTTTCAAAAGGCTTCAGAGGCGTCAAAACTTTTTTTTTTTGGTTTCATGTTATTGTAAGGTATAAAAGAGCAAAAGTTCAGAATTTGAGCCATTATATGACATGCATTGCCTATGACACATAATTAGTAGAGAAAAAGACAACTTCGCAGGAGAAACGGTATCGAGATATATATATGTACTTACAATGAAAGCTACGGGATATAGCAGACAAAAGTGTAGATGGGTCAACTTTAGAGCCACTGCGTATAATCATGTCAGAAAATTGAACAGGCAAGATTCTTTGAGATAGGCAAGCATGAGTCCCGAAGGCTTGGAAGAAGAGGGATATATTATTTATAAGTCGAGCAGTTTGCGAGAAATGTGTGGTGAGCTAGTGAGAGAAGAAGGTACGAATTGAGAGAGAACATTCAAAGTTGTATCAAGCTTATAGGCCTCTCGGATTCAGAAGTGAAGCCAAGAGGAGAAAAAGATAGGGAGATCATGTGGAACAAGATAGGCTAAAACCAGAGGAATACCCATACAAGTTATCAAACTCACTACATTATTTAAATAAAAACATCTTTACTGGAATTCAGGCTCATAAAAGACATAAGCACGGTGTAATAATTTTATCATTGTGTAAGCTCAATCACTTTGGATCTTGAAATTCTAGGACATAATAAGCTGGTACAGCAGAATATATAGCTGAAGATGTGTATACAGCAAAACTATTACTATCAACAGTGGATTTGTTGAACAGAGCGAAGTTGATCTAGTTCAGGCTCACGAAATAATACTTTTATTTTTTTCTTCACGCTTAATCCAACCACACGCAATATTAATAACACTACTGGGGCCCTCAAAATATACTAAAACAAGTCAGCTTTGATAAGTTATTTGTAACTTTGGTGGACTTGGTGCTGTCAAATTACTTAGTTGTTACTCAACAAATAAGAAAATGCCTATCATTATTATCACACGGAAAATGACTTTGAGGACTTACAAAATATGCTTAGCAATTATTTTTGTTTTCTGTATTGTAGAGTTACATATATCTATAGGAAAAATTTAACAGAAGCTGTAATTTAATGACCACAAGCTCTTTATAAAGACCATCAAGTTGACCTACTTTTATTATTTCCGGCTACATTGTGGACACATAGGCACACACTAATCCTGTCCATAGTACAGCTAAACAGGCTTTTGACTACTTTAAAGTGTCCATTCACTGTTAATTTTGAGTTGTTTACTTCCTTATATACAGTAAATTGCGACGAGAAGTAATCTGTTATCTGACATCCCAGCAAAAGTCTCTATAGTATTAATTGGTAAAACGAGCTTTCTTGCTACTTTATCTCTCTCTCTATTTACTATATCATCGCTTTTTTGTCTCCTTCTACTTTATATTTCTTTACTATTTTGCCCTTTCTTTTATATATTTTTCTTATAGCTTATGCTGACAACTCCTTAATATCACAAGTCTACTTGGTCATAGGCATTCAGCAACTAAACTTAACTTATCTACATTATTATATAGATGTATTTGTATGTTTATATGTTAGCATAATCAGAAAAAGATATCTTTTTTAATTTTATTGACTACTTATAGCTTATAAGAATTTATAATCATATATGTATATTTTTCATATATGCCAAGTATTTGACATTTGCCTACTCTCATATAGTCTTCAAGTATTTGTTTTTTTTTTCAAGTCTCTGTGTTAGATTATATTGGTACGCTTTAATCTCTCTCAATGGAAAACTATTTCATAGAAAAGTATATCCCAAAGTTAGATAGCTGCTTGAATTGTGTTTCTTTATAAAACTATTTACTACACCTTTTTTTTTCTCTTTGCTAAATGACTCCACCCAGAAATGCTATCAAAATTACTGTCAGCATTAACATCAAACATAACCTCTTGTATTTTATGCTACAAACGGTATAGTGTATATAATATAGTGACGAATAGGATACTCTTTGCCAATTACAAAGGTGGCTTTCTGTTGTTATGTTAGGCTATTGATTGATGGACTGATTATACATGAAAATCTTTTAGGAATCATACGGAATGTCCCTTTTTTGGGATAGCCCCATCTATTTTTTTCTTTTGAGTGGCAAAGAAAAAAAAGATAAAAGTACTCCTTTTTTCTGGTTTTTGTTTTTTCTCTTTCTTTCTTCAATGCGGCTGTCGATTAGGAATTTCTAGCTATGAATGTAGCTATGAAAACCGATGACCACAGAACAGTGACGACAGCCGGTACTTTGCCCCAAAGTGGCGCCATCAGACATGGGTCATGGACGGGACGCCATTGCTGTGAAGCGCGGGTAAAGATGTGTTACATGTGCTTCATGCCGTGTAGTCCTTGGCCCCCTCTGCAGTTGTGCCGCTTGTAAAAGCGTGATGAGTTCAGTCTGAGATAATACTCTGCTGTCCGCCTCCCTCGCCGTCAAGCCAGGTTTTCGTCCTGGGGGAGATTGAGCCACCTTGTGTGGGGACTAAGAGCTTGACAACCCTTTGTATCCTTTTTATATGTATAGAAAAATAAAGTAGATAGTAATAGTAGCAATAAGTTAATAAGTTAATAAATCAAATCTTTTTTCAAATAAAAACTATTTAAAACCATGTCTCCAAAAAACATCTGTCTTTTATTGTGCATTTAAGTTGATGAAAAATAAAAAATGAGTAATGAATAAGTTTGACACGGTAATTACAAGAAGTCAAATGTAGAAAGAACTTGATTATAAGTACCGCCTAAAAACACCCGTTCTTTGAATATTTGTGCCATTACACAAAGTAGACTGATTTTAGAACTGAATGGCCCTCTTTTAATCTTACACATTGCAATATAATTACGCGTAATAGTTGTCTAATCTAATTCACATTTAAAAGACTTTGTATGAAGATTGAAAACAAGAAACTCAATCTACGTACATTAGTCACTCAACTGATAATAACATTGAATATGTAATGCTGTTGCATCTGATTCTATAAGATTAACACGCCCTTAATGTAGTTGACGTACTTTCTGAAGCATACAAGGAGATGGCTGTTTCAAAAATTGAAACAAATTCAGCAAACTCAATTATTTTCTTTTTAAGAAAAATAACGCTTGGTACTAGCTAATCAACATATAAAAACAAAAGCCCAATCATTGTGGAGTGGATGACCTACAAACAGGAATAGCAAAGATAATTAAATGTCACAATTGATCACACTCAAAATTAATAATACTTAATACAGCCTACTCTAGCCCACTACCAAAGTATTGAAGGGCAGATAATCTCCAAGGTTGATGACCTTAATTACTCCAGAACAGAGGTATATAATTTTCCTTGTTAGTCAACAAAAAAAATCAACAGAGTTTTTTTTTTGCTTGTATGTAGCAAAGCTCTAGTTGGTTGGTAGGTGGGACTCTTGCTCAAAAGATTTAAAAGATGTCAAAACTTGCTTTTTTGGTTTTTATGTTTTTGGAAAGTATAAAATATTAAATCTCTAGATATCTAGACTGGGAATGAGTGTTGATTGAGTTTTTCTTTGGCGTGTAAACAGTGAAGCAGAAAACTATATCTAATGATGACATTCGTGGCAACAAAAAGGAGTTCGATCAGATACGAAATCTCAGTGGTGTTTCCATGAAGTAAAAAAAAAAACCTAGCCAAGTATAAAAGCAGACTCTAGAGTGGGTTCAAGGCGAGGTGGGGAGGTAAATTTGTACAGTATATTAAATCCATCAGAGGTTGGAGAGAAAAATCCAAAATTCGTGTGCTAGAATGTCTGCCAGTGGGGAAGCTCGAAGAAATATACAAAGAGAAATAGTTTTATATAAAAAAAGTCTTCATTTTCAAAGAAAGACCAAGTAGGAGGTGGGAATGGAGTAGAAGCACAGCATAGAAAACTGAGCATCAAGAAACCTTGCGATGAATTTACCTTAGCCAGATATTGTAAGGTGCATAAGGGAGGACAAAAGTGCAGAAAGATAAACTTCAGAGCCACTGCGTATCATCAGGTCAGCAAATTGTGCAGTCAAGATCCTTTGAGGTAGCCAAACACGAGCTATGAAGGTTTGAAAGAAGAGTGAATAGTCATATATACTCTGAAATATTCTGCAAAGAATGTGTAGTGAACGGGAGGAGGAAGAAGATAAGTGTCTAGAAATAGTATCCAAGTTTTGGACAATTTTGTAGACATCCCGAATCCGGGGGGTGACGCAAAAAAGAAGTAAAACCAAGGGAAACCATATGGAGTAAAAGATACAAAACCCAGAAGATTATCCATAAAAGTCACCAGATTTACCACAATAAAGTCAAAACTAGAAGGATGGAGGTTATTCGCGGCAAAGATGCTAAAGAAAAGATTGATGTATGAACGAAATCGACTGTTTCAAAAATTGGGAAAATGAAATGAAGAAGAGGGTTGATATCAGACAGATAATGATGAAAAAGGTGTATCTTACAAAGCATCACCAGATCAGAAGAAGCTGCCTTGAGTGATAAAGGAAATGACTAAGAAGGCAAGGTAGCAAAGGGATCCAGAAGAGCGACTATCTTGCTCGTCAACAATCTACAAGCTGTAAGTTGTGTTCATTCAGAGACTGCGAGGGCAACCCGACAGATAAAATACGGCTCTTGTGAAGTTTGATACGTGCCTTTGAAGCAGAGGCGTAAGTGGCGAGGTGGTGCTGTAATCAGGACATGTCTTGGGTCTGCGAGCGAGAAACCAAAAGATCATCACCATATGCGAGTAGCTTTATGGGAAGAGAAGAGTGTTGGCTGAAAGTATCTTGTATGCCAAATCCAGGAAATTATGGATCGTGAATATGTTGGCGCAAAAGTGGAGCGAAGACCAAGTTAAGCAGAGCAAGATACATGAGGTCATCCTCTCCGAATCCACACATTTGACAAAGAGGAAAAGAGGAAGCTATTGACGTTAATCTTAAGGTTGTAAGAAAAGGAAAAACTTGAAGCGCAGATTATAATGGAAGAAGGAAAACTGCATCGGGCTAGAATTTGTTTGAGATAGTCAGAATTAACCTGATCATAAGCTTTCTCCTGATACAAGAGAAGACCGATTCCGGAATGACCAGTGGAATTGACATGATTCATAACTAGCTTTGTGAGTATACCATTATCAGTAAGAAAAAAATATCGTAAAAGAGTTTGGTTTGGTACAGGGATACAATTGATCTAGCACCTCTGGCCACGCGGCCGTTAAGAAGACTAGCGAAAATCTTGGTGTCAGCGTTGATCTGGGTAATTGGTCTCCAAATCTTCAAAGACGAAATACAGTATTTCTTTGGTAGTAGGAACATAGATGGTCTGCCAGGATGATAGTAATTCACCACCAGTGAGAGCTTCGTTATACATTTGGATTAGTAGTCGGGTGCAGGAAGGATAAGTAAATACAAGCTGAAGAGTATCATAAGGGAGTCTATATAATATTTGGGTGCTTTTTCTTGGATACCGAGGCACTCCTCGTATGTTGTCAACGGAAAATATGACTGCCAGTGAGGAACGTCTGATATTTGAGAGGCAAGTATTTTAGGGTGGGTTATGAAATAAATCGTCTATGGGTATATGGTCTATTTGTTTAGGCGTATACGGAGCTTTACATAATCCAGTGACCGCCTCGGTAATTCTATCAGACTCAGTGTACAAGTGGTCTGTAGAAGAATAGCGAAGATGGTTAGTATTCTTTCGAGACTGTCATTCGGCAACTGCACACTTAAGGTAGTCTGCTGGAATCTCTCTATTCTCCTGCCGGTGTTTGTCCGCATTGTGGGCAAGGGTTTGCACTCTCTCCAACTGGAATTGTTGTAACTAGCTTTCAAGGATAATGAAATAAAAAAAATGGAGCTGGTTTATGTCTGGACTTGTGGATTGGCGTGTTGCGTTTACTTTGAAGGCTAGCCTCTAATGTAACAAGTGCCTGGATTCCGCACCTAGTAAAGTATTTGATGAAAGTAGTTGGTTTATGTTTAAGTTTCTCACATCAGTCTTGTGGAGGATATATACGGGGAGGAAAGAAAGACGATGGTATGAATGTAATATTCGAGTTTATTACAGAAAGCGGGGTTTCGGGCAAGTTGAGGATTGGTGCGCCACGGTCCCTTTACTGTTTCGTGGGTGGCGGTGAGCATAAAAGTAGCCGCTACCAAGCAATTATCAGACAAGACATTGAGACATATAGCAAGGCGAGGAAATTCGAATACATGATCTACGTAGAAGGAAAAGGAGCAGAGTTATCGATAGAAGGTTAGGACAAGGAGTTCTCTACTTGGTGGGATAGAGTCCATAAAATAGTTAAGTAGAGTTTGGCCATTTGAGAGGAACTTGTTGAGAGTTGGCAGAGGTAGTACGATAAGTATAGTCAAGATCTCCAAATAGAATGTATAAGGCTGGGAGATGAAGAAGTTATTCTGGAGAGCCTAGGAAAGAGTGCAGAAATAAAAAGCGGTTCTGGTAGGTGGGAGGAATATATATAGCGCATACACGATAAGAGGGGGATATATTGTTAGCATGGATTATATTAGTGGGGATTAAACGGCCGCAAATACGAAAGAGAGGGTTGATAAAAGATATACGCGGAAAAAGAGAAACAAGACCACAGTGTACAGACCACAAGAAAGTGTTTGCGTTGAATTATGTATGTGAAACATTTGCTGCGAATGATCAGTATTGGCATGGGTTTCTTGAAGGGCTAATAAAAAATCGATCGCACATAATCTAAGGTCTCTTATAAGCAATGCACGGCAATTCATAGATGCAATTTTTATCATAAATATTGAGGGATGAGATATTTCGCCAATACTGTTTATAAGGTCGTATTCACAATTTTCATCAAAGTGCTCCTCTACACCTTCCATGTCTTTATCTCCTTTTTAGTGAGAGTAGGATAATCTTCAAAGATAGTTTCTCTATTATAAAAGTTTCCTTCTGGAATGAACAGAAGGTTTGGCGCTGACTTGGTTTTCTTGTTGACGAGACCAGCGTTGTTCGAGTTTTTAGAGCTGTGCCGAGACCCAGGTACAGAGAGGGAAGTATCAAGAAGGGGAAAGTAGCCATCTTCGTAGACGAGCCGGAAAAGTAAGTGGAGAGGGTACAAGGGGAACAATGGGGTTCAGGAGCCTTATGATCCCGTTTGTACAAGTTGTCGATCCCTCCAGTGCGAGAAGGTCGACCATTTCGAGTGAATATGACCGACTTGGTGGCAACCATAGCAGAAATATGTTTCTTTTAAACAATTGAGGTAACTATCACGGCCATGCTGTATAATTTGCTAATTAGCATAGCGGGTTTTTAGTGTGGGGCTTAAGGTGCATCCCAAAACAATGTATGGGGTCACATTAGTGTTGTAAATCCTGAGTCGGCGGTACGGAGGAGAAAAGAAGTTGGTCAAAATGAAGAGGAGCAGGATTATCCAAAAACCGGGATGCGCTTTGATGTCAGGCTGGTTTTTTTTGAGAGCACATTTTCGGAACAGATGCTTATAGTCTTCAGAGTTGTCGCACAGAACACAATTTGGATCACTCGCATAATTTATTTTATGACTAAACAGCCGCCGTCTATTAGAGTTCTTGCTGTGCATTAGATGCCACCAGATCCTGTATGGTTTGTGAGGGGAGATTCGATTTCCTAAATATGTCGCCAGTGTGCTAGTAAGGCACACAGAAAAGAATGTGTGTGCGGATCAATTTTCCACAGTTTCGTATCTAAAGAACTGAGGGAGGATAGAGTGATACATGTAAGTGAGCGTACTAACTATCAAGAAGGTTTAACAGATCAGAAGATACGGGATTTGACTCGTCTTTGTTTGTTATATACGCCGTTGACGTTTAGTATCTAATGTGTGACTATATATGAAACCATCGCATATTTGCAATTTGCTACATAAGATAAAGGCTGCCTACAAGTGAGCTCTTGCACATAAAGAGAATGTATTCTACCTTGGTTCTGCTAAAATTGTGCTATCTCTGAATCTTCTTCTTCTTTTTGTACTGCCTTCAGCAGAGCTGTACATCCAGTGTATACCTTTGAATTCCTGATTTCGTTGAATATACCTTTTATCAGGTTAAAAACCCTACTATTCCTCCTTAATGTAGACTTTATCGGGCCTATCTTCATAGAAAAAATGTGGTTTTGATGATGTTATTTTAATTCCTGAGGCGAAAAGAAGAAATAAAGAAAGAAAGCTTTTACATCATATAGTGAACAGTATTCCTTCAGTAACGCCAAAATGACCTGACCAAAAGAGATAAATACACAGGTAGGTAAAGTAGTGTCCATATAAATTATATAATAAATATATTTAAAAAAACGGAACAAAAATTTATCAGCCATAAGTTGATATCATTTTTTTAACTTCAAAAATTTATTAATTATTCGGAACTTTAAACCAATAAATTAAATAAATAAATTAAATAAATAAAAAACATTATGCATTATAATTTACATGTTGAAATGCCAGAGCCTTCTTCTTTTTTTTTTATTGTATGTACGCAGCATTTACCCTGAACATGTTGAAACGTTCTATTTTACAAAATAGATGATATTCTTTACTTTGCTAGCTATAAAAGAAAACAAAGAAGATAATGAAGATAAAAATGGGAATGCCTGGTAACTGCCATAATGGTTATGAAACAAAGAAGCGCAATGATAATATTTTATATGAGTTTTATAACGGAGAGAAAACAGAAAGAGAGATGGAAGGGGGAAAATAAAGATAAGAAGGATGGTTTAATGGCAAAAAATAATAATTTGCTTTGTATACCAACACTCCTCCAACTTAGTAGCGGTAGTGCTCGGGCTTGTAGGGACCTTCGACGGGGATGGAGAGGTAGTTGGACTGGTTGGCAGAGAGCTTGGCAAGCTTGACACCGAGCTTACCCAAGTGAGCGCGGGCAACCTCCTCATCGAGCTGCTTGGGGAGAACGTGGACACCGATGCTCCACTTGCTGGGCTCGGTCCAGAGAGCAATCTGGGCCAAGGTCTGGTTGGAGAAGGAGTTGGACATGACAAAGGAAGGGTGACCAGTGGCACAACCGAGGTTGACAAGACGACCCTCAGCAAGGAGGATGACGTGACGACCGCTCTTCATGGTGAAACGATCAACCTGGGGCTTGATGTTGCTGACAGAGACAGCGTTGGCCTTCAACCATGCGACATCGATTTCGATATCGAAGTGACCGATGTTGCAGACAATAGCATCGTCCTTCATGGCGGAGAAGTGCTCACCGGTGATGATGTCACGGCAACCGGTTGTTGTGACGAAGATCTGAGCCTCAGCGACAGCATCCTCCATGGTGGTGACTTCGTAACCCTCCATAGCAGCCTGGAGAGCGTTGATGGGATCGATCTCGGTAACAATGACACGGGAACCGAAAGCACGGAGGGCAGCAGCGCAACCCTTTCCGACATCACCGTAACCAGCGACAACGGAAACCTTACCAGCAATCATGACATCGGTGGCACGCTTGATACCATCGACAAGGGACTCACGGCAGCCGTAAAGGTTGTCGAACTTGGACTTGGTGACAGAGTCGTTGACGTTGATGGAAGGCAACTTCAAGGTACCGTTCTTGAGCATCTTGTACAAGTTGTGGACACCGGTGGTGGTCTCCTCAGAGAGACCCTTGATGCCAGCCAAGAGCTGGGGGTACTTCTCGTGAACAATGTTGGTAAGATCACCTCCATCATCCAAGATCATGTTGAGGGGCTGACCGTCGGGGAAGAAGAGGGTCTTCTCGATACACCAGATGAATTCCTCATCAGTCTCACCCTTCCAGGCGTAGACGGGGACACCGGTGGCAGCAATGGCAGCGGCGGCGTGGTCCTGGGTGGAGAAGATGTTGCAAGAAGACCAGGTAACCTCGGCACCCAAGAAAGTGAGGGTCTCGATGAGAACGGCGGTTTGCTATATGATTTGTGATTGTAAGAACGATAGACCGGTTGCCCATTTATGTTTTCAAAATACTTACGATGGTCATGTGGAGACATCCTGCAATACGGGCACCCTTCAAGGGCTGGGAAGGACCGTACTTCTCACGGATTGACATAAGACCGGGCATCTCATTCTCAGCGAGTTCGATTTCCTTGCGACCGAAAGCGGCTAGATAAAGAAGACCAGGTTAGGTTGGTGATATGGTTCGTAATTGAGGACAGAAAGAGTAGACTTACCGAGGGAGATATCAGCGACCTTGTAGTTGACCATATTGCAAAATGTGAAAAGGAGAAAGAAACAATGGTTTGATTCTTTTTTTGGTTGTGTGTTATATAAATCTTTTGAATGCGCTCTAAAGTGAGAAAAAATTTTCCCTTCTCACGCTTGGCCAATCAAACCACAGGCTGTGAAATCTTCTAGCTCCATCTTCTCCGCTTTGTGTACCGTTCTGGATCTCATCTTTTTTTTTTTTTTTTTTTTTGCTTTACTGCAGTATGAAAGTTTGTACTTTTTTTTTGTAGATGCTTTATTCTATTGCACGTGCCTAAAGATGGGATCTATACTTCTCTGGCTCTAATAAACTATATCCCCATCACTTGTTTCAATTTTAACTTTCTTCTCCCCCAAAAAAAATATGCACAAAGACCAGATCTATCACTAAATTGAACATCTTCGTTACTTGATATGTACACCACTTGGTACTATCCCCAAATTATAGAGGTATCTTTATGTTACCTCTTATAATACATAATCAGTTTACTTTACTTTATTTTATAGCTACTGAGCCATTTATCCTTGGCTTGCCTTTTTATTATTATTATTTTATTTTTACCCCAAAGGCTTTTTTTTTTTTTTTTTTTTTTTTTATTTTATTTATTTATTTATTTTGTTAGCTCAGATGTAACACATCAAATGTTAACAATATTGAAAGAAACTAGAAATTATGCGTCTATGATAAACCGTTGTTCTTATTAGGCTTTGTTTGGTTTGTTATCTTAAGAGCTCAGTTACAGGAACATTTGATTTATTCCAAAGTTACATCACCAACCAACCAAGAAAATGATATATGAATTGAAATAAATTCAACTTCTTTAATATCCTTTGATTTATCAAGTGCAAATTATTTTTTGCATATTCAATATACTAGAAGCTTTAGTGAAAGAATTAGAGTGATTTCGGATACATGGATGAAACCCCGGGTGCCGGTTGAGACGCTTTGACAAAGCAAAAAAAAAAAAAAATGAAAAAAGGGGAAATTTGCTAAGCACCTTTTGTTAAGCACCTTTTGTTAAGCACTTTGTCAAGCACTTTGTTAAGCACTCGGGGAGGGAGGGGGCAACGATGACATTGTGGAGATTGACGAAAGCAAGTTTGGTAAATGTAAGTACCACTGGGATCATGCTGTCGAGGGTTGCTGGGTGTTTGGGTTTTGTATTTGTTCACTTTTGTTGACCCAGTCTGCCCATATGCATGGTCCAACATAATTGCCTCTTACCGTTTATACAAAACTAATGCTTAGCAAAACGCTTAGCAAAGTGCCTAACAAAACTCTTAACAAAATGCTTAGCAAAAAAGAAAAGAAAAAGAAAACACGGCAAAGCCCACAATAGATCGAATAATTCTTTTTATTTTTGAGTTGATTACTAATTATGTTGATATTTCAAATGACATGATCTTTTGCGATCTTGGGATGGTGAAAAAACGCCATTGAAGGCAGACGTCGTGATCGTTGGGCGGTGTCGGCTAGGCATTGTTTGATGGACTGATGGTTTGCAGATGCGATTGAAGGTGTCAAGTACGCGACAAACGCGAGGCATATCCACAATAAGTTTAGTTAAATCATCCAAGCAGCTAGGAATCTTGATTTTTTCCAGCTCGTACATGACATAAAGTCCTGTTGATGGCAAAACCAAGACATAAAACGTAACCATTCTTCCAATAACCTGCAGACCCAGTACACCTTCCATGTTATGTGTATCGAGAGCATTCTTGCAGAATATACCAACGCGAAGTAGATCCCGACAAATCGAATAATTGTTACCACCTTGAGCAGCTGACTTAACTTCCCCATAGCCATGATTCGACGCCCATGTCATCCCATGTAAACGACTTATACATATATCGGGACGTTTTGTTGATAAATCTTCATTCTGTCGAGCTTCTAAAGTTATTTCATTAGTCCACCGTAGGTATATGCCCTCGTCCGGATCGTCAAATAAACCGGATAAAAAAGGATCAACGTATCGAGTGCTAAGTTCAAATTCGTTGATGTCTTCTGCAATAGGTACAGGAGGAAGCTTCCGAATCAAATCGATTATGCATTTTTTGAACTTGTTCTCATTTGTGGGAGGTCCAAATCCGAAAGATGTACAATCGCTTTATCTCGACTGATTACTCCCATGGTAAGATTTTGAGCGATGCCGATCATGCTGGTAGTCGTCGCCATTGACATAGGAAGCTTTCTAATGCCATATTTTGTCTCAATCCCATTGATGGTTGCCTTGAGGTCGTGATTGCTGAAATAGGGTGATAAATCCTCTGGGTACTGATTTCGTGACAAGAGCAAAATGTGGGTGGCTGCCATGGCGCAGTGGATGTGATTTTCGAGTGATAGTTTCCATTTGTGTTGACATAATGAGAGCTGCAGCTTATGAAACGCCATTGTTGCATCGAAGTTTTGTACCAACAAATGGTCATCGTGATCAAGAGGCGGAAACGATAGGCATAATGGATCCAACAACTCAGTTCCAAGGATATTGCTTAAGCGACGTTTGTTAGGCTGGTCTTGGCTGTTGTAGCTTTGTTGTTGCCCTGTCGCTGGTTCTTCCTGCGATGTCGTCTGTGATTGTTCTGGCAAGGTTTCTAAATGGTTGGCATAATAATGGGTCTTCAACTCGTCGATTTCCATACAATGAGCGATGCATGCAGGGCAGCCAAAGTGCTTCTCAATGTCATCGTGTGATTTGGTAGCCTTAACATAGGTATATTCATCATTATTATATCGTCTGATTCCTGTTATTCGTTGTGGCAATTGTATATTGTGCTTTTGCATGTGTTCTCGAAGGGATTGTGGAGTGCTGTATGTCTTTCGACATTCAAAACATTGCTGTAAAATAGTAACAAGTTTTGTTTTACTCGCCATTGCAACCATAAAAAAGAATAAAATAAAAAGAGGGAGACACAACAAAAGCAGGCTGGTTCACAAAAAAAAAAAAGAGTAAAAAAAAAAGAGTACTGCTTTTGGTCAATTTTGTTGACCCAGCCAAAATATATGACCAAAACCCAAACACCCAGCAACCCTCGACAGCATGATCCCAGTGGTACTTACATTTACCAAACTTGCTTTCGTCAATCTCCACAATGACGTCGTTGCCCCCCCCCCCCCCCCAAA